AAACCTCATATGTTTTCTCTAAAAATAATCAGCTTAATACGGACACCCAGATAATATGGACACTTTGGCATGTCTCCTTGGTGTCCTTATTAACAAGGTTCCACTGTATCCGACTTGAAGTGGCAAAATTGCTGGTTGCCAGCTTATTATGACTGGGCTGTGTATATGGTTCTTGTGTTGGACCATGAGTATTGACCCTTTGTATTCCTTACATGACCCTTGTATCAATTAATGTAATAAGCAATTTTTGTGGGACAAAAAAAAAATCCAGGAAATGGACCAGAGAAATATGTAGTCCCAAAACAACGTACCAATGCAACTTCTAATTAAAAACTTTTCCATCACTTTTTGCGTTTGTGTTTGGTCTGGCCCTTTCTGCCTTGTGCTTAGTCTGTTAGTTGATCTCATAGTACTACAAAACATTTTGAGAGGTCTGAGCACAACCTTGTCATAAAAATAATAACGTTTGGATGCATCGAGTACCATTATAGACTTAAAAGAAAACCGTGAATTTCAGACACAATGACACACACCATAAAATGTTCTATCTGCATCCCACACAGTTCAGGAGTTGAGCTTTGCAATAGTTCCAAGAGAAGAATAAATGCATTTGTGATGAATTTCTCCTCCATCACATTGCATGCTGAATCAGGTGATGCTATGGGGCTAAACAGAAAAAAAGAACATCACATAAGAAAAGACATTGATTCACTATTTCCTTGATAGTGACAAATACAAGGGGGGAATGTCCTACACAAATGGACGCAAAATGCCAGGGGCCATCAAGCCCTGCTATTAATAGCACAGCATTGATTTTGAATGACTAAATCGCAAACATTATATTACTGTTTGTCTCATTACTGTTTTTCTCATTTGTCAACAAGTCTTACCAGGCAATCTACTGATCTTCAGCACGCAAAAAATAATTGGTGTCCAGTAGCCCGGGGCTAGAAGATTTAGCTATCGGGCTAGTGAATTTTTGTTCTAGGCTTGCCAATGGGCAGGCGAAGTTTTTTGAGGAATTCAAATTACAGAAGAACTGTGTAATCAAACCTACTCCTCATCATTTTGGGGCTAGTTAAAATGACGTTTTGGCTAGTACATGCTAGCTACAGCTAGCCTGAATGGCAAGCTGTAAAACTGACCTTCTTTGCACCCTGGTCTTATAAACTACGTAAAAGTTTATTACTCAGCCCACGTAGAGGGAAAAGAAGAAAGGTGGAAATTAACGCTATACAAGGTTTACTACAATAGCTGCACACCCAGTAAACAGGAAACACTTGTTATTTCAAGCTATTGTTAAGAAAAATTACTGTTATGACTTACTTGGTACACATATTTGCAACACATTGAATGGTACCACAAAGAACATCAGTGTCCTGTGACTCATCTTTACACAGTCTTACCAAGACACCATCTGCACCCAACAGGCTGTCAGCGAACTGTGATTTAAAAATGGAATTGCTGCTTAGAAACAACAATTATACAGCTAGTTTTTAATTAATGCAGAGCTAATTCCAGTAGTAAGCCACAAGCAAATTAAAAAATTTTATAGATTTAGTGTACTTATGTAGTCATGGATTTAAATAGTTCTACAGTTTCTTCGGGTGCAATTTAATATTGGAGCCTTACTCTGTTGTGTGACACTCGCCATTTTTTCTGTTTTTGCTTGGTAAAAGATTTTTGAGATCATTTTAGGATTCTAGGAAACTGCCTACATACCCCTCCTCTAAACTAGCCTTCAGAGCATACATTGATCCCCTCCCCCTCCTCCATTTTAAACCCATCAACCTCTCCCTTGAAATCAGTTTTTTACTCGCCTCAACTCTCTGGTAGTTTTAACGTCCAAGATGGCAGATTAGCATTATTCCCCCAAAAAGTGGGTCGTGCTGCAAAATACACCAACTTTGGAGGCTACATACCCCTAAGCCAACAATGATAATACTTTTCACTTAGGGCAACATGGGAGAAGTTGATGGGCAGTTTTCCAAAAACCTAAATTGATACCTTTTTTAAAGTAAAAGAAAAGAACAGCTGGATTACCTCATTGCAAAATTGTCCATTTTCGTAAAGAGTAGCTCCCAAAGCTTTAACAAGATTCAACTGGGTCCACTTTTTGCAATTATTCAAGGAGTTAACAAGGAATGGTATGAGAACATTCACTGTTTCTTGGTTAAGGGAGATCTGTTAACAAAACAATATCATCATGAACACTCACCTTGTCTGATGAGAAATGTTTCCCAATACAGAGTAAACATTTAGGTAGGTCAACATATATTGTCAGTCTCTTAGGTTTCAGAATAAACCAAAACTTTTATCTACCTTGAAGTATGAAATTTTTGCTGGAATTCAATTTTACAGATTGCTAATTTCTCACATTTCACAGGAACAAATTTTTGCAAAATCAAATTTCAAATTTTACAGTACATGTCACAGTACGTTTAGAACTTCTATATGTTTTGGAAAAGTAGAGAATGTTATTCGTGTGCAAGACTTCCTACCTTTTGCTTTGCTAATAGATTGAATATGAGTTGACAGAACTTGGTGATGAGAAAGTCATCAGTTCCACAGGAGCAAACAAGTGTACAACATTTGGACAGCAATGGTAAAGCATCCTGCATATTAGACAATCAATTGACAATAATGATAATTTCCGTTATTTACCCTCAGCAGTATTTATAGTACTAACGCTAGTGTGGCAGAGCAAATGCCTGATACAGAGAACTTAAACCAAACAGAAGGGGATTACAAATCCCACCTGGCTGGAGGCAAACCAGTTGGCTATCTACAAGCAAGGTGGAGGATATGAACTCAGGATTACCAGGAACAAATCCACCTACAGTGTCTGTAGCAGTCACGGAGGCACTTGGACTTGGGGCCTTCAAATTGTAAGTCCAGCACTGTGACCGCTCTCAGCCACACTGCCTCCTCCTCCTCCTGATACAAGGCTGGTTTAATCACCTGAGATTAGTTGACCAGCCACCCACCAAAAACCTATTATTTCCAGTAATATTGTAATTTTAAAGTGAGTTTTGCTTTATCTTTTCTTGAAAGCATAAACAAGCTACCATTTCTGTGCAATTCAGGTACAATAATAAATTTAACAAATTGCTACTAAAGGTATTTCTTTAACGTTAGATCAACTTATGTGATAACCTTTATGACTTGCAAGATAATGCCATACTGGAATGGTGTTCAGGTTTGGAATAAAAATAACAGATAATGTATTCCCCCCACCAACCTCCAAATGTAAAAATGCAAAAACTTCCCCCCTAAAATAAAATGTAAACAAACAAAAAATAGGACTCCCCCTTCCTCAAACTCTCACGCCCTGTCATCCTAAATACACCTATCAATGTAGACCCCATGGAGGGGGGAATGCAGGCAATAGGTGGGGATTCAATGAAAAATCCATTCCCTGGGTGGGAGATTTGATCAAGTACACTTGCTTGGGTGATGGGGCTTTTGATTGTTTCAACAGAGAAACTGTTAATTTTGATTTAACCAAGGTTGATTCTCACTTTCCAATGTCTCCTAGTCCTTGAAGACAAAAGAAATTAAAAATTAACCAAGGTTAAAAACTTTTAACCGGAAATCAAATTTGACTTGTAACAAATACAAAACATCAAGTTAAAAGTTACATTTTTTCCTGCTATGCCTTTTTTTCTTTGTCATCACCAAATCAAGCTACAATGACCAAAGAACAATTTATAGTATTTACAATATAGGTCAAATCAGCTTTGTGATATTCATTATGAAAGGTGTAGGCTCCTGGGTGGGAATTTTTAGCTTTATTTTCATTTAATGAACATATCCTTCGCCACCCTCGGGAAATTGACCAAAATTTTTAGTTTTTATCAAATCCCCAACCCTTTGCCCACACTAATCCCCACCCCCCACCTCCACGGTTTACACTGATAGGTGCATACATTCGACTGGGCATGAGAAATTCTCCCAAGTTAAAACTGGTTGTCCTGTAGTACTGAATTGAACAGGGTTTCTAAAATAGCTAAAACAGAGTTAAGAAAATATTTCTCTGAACTCAATATTATTAACCTCTTTGTTCTCGACCACATTTGTTGCGTAGTCTAAAGAATTGAGTTCATCCAGGATAACATTGAGGTTTGTGACCAAACTTCCACCAGCTGACGACTGCTGCAGATTCAGTATTCTACCGGCTGCGTCCTTCCAGTGCAGTTTGTCATCTATAAAAGACATTGTAGCTGCTTTTCTCAGTCTTGAGCATTATAAATTTGTTTTTCCGCAAATTAACAGCCCTTTTGACATTTTCATATCGTCGAAACTACAGTGTGCATGCTGTACACAGCCACATTTTTTGCATCCCGTGCATAGTGTAAAGGAGCCCACGGTGTTTCTGGTGATAACTGGTTAGATGGGTCATTTATGGCAAACGAAATATATCGATCTACGCCGGCACTCAGATGACCATCCTCGGAGACCCAGGGGCAGTTAGTCGGGTCGATAAAATGTTCGTGGTGAAAGTTTACTGTAAGATCGAGACGAGCTTACAGTAAACTTTCACCACGAACATTTTATCGACCCGACTAACTGCCCCTGGGTCTCCGAGGATGTCAGATGACGTGACCTAACGCAACATGACACGCGCTTGAGAGAGAGTTTCGCGAATTTGTTGGTTGGGCGGGGGGCCGGGGGGAAATGGAGGGACAGTCTGTCTATTTTTCAGCTTTAGTGGACCTAAAATGCGAAATTAGTGGCCTGGTCCAAAAGTGCACGGAATGCCAAGTTTTGACCTGTTGAGCATGACAAGGGGACAAGAAACCATTAGTGGCAAAACTGGTATCTCGGCGCGTGCAACTACAAAACATCCCCGCGTAAAGAAAGTTACAAAATTAGCGTCATCAATTAACAGACTATTCATGACGTCAATCTTGATTGATTTTTCAGAGTTCTTTATCATTGTTTATAACAAGGTTAAGATATTACATGTTTCAGTTACAGTGAGGTAAAAAGAGATTAGAATGAAGCTGTTTAAAGCAGTTTGCTTCATTTGTTTTTTGCTCGTACCCTTGACGGCATCATTCGCCTTAGAAGGCCGCCCCTTTGAAGAAGAATTTGAAGGCCGCCCCTTTGAAGAAGAATTTCAAGGACCAGGTTACTCTCCAGTGTATTGTATATCGCCCAACTCAGGCAACTCGGGTAAGCAGTGTTTCAAAATTTTCTTCTCTCTTTAAAGCAAAAAGTGCAACCTTCGTTTTGCTATAAATGGAGCTTACATTTCATCGCAAATCATGTTTCAGAGAAAAAACTGTTAACCAGCGACTAACTTCTAAATTGTTCTGTTTTCCAAGAATATCCTCCGAAACTTTTCTGTCACCAATTCAATCTCCCTATTGTAACTTATCGTTAACCTGGAAAACGATAACTCATTCCACTGAAAAGCATCCAAGTCAATGTAGCAGCAATGCCTTTTGCGCGATTACAGAATTTGTTTAAACTAATGCTGGTTGTCAAAGCATACTTTTTAGCACTGGCTGTTCTTTTTTTTTTTTTTTCTGATTGCACCTTTCGGAAGTTTTGCTACGGCAGTTTATTAGATTTCAAGGGGTACGTGGGCTTCTCTAAGGGAATTAGGAACGGCTAGCTAATCGGGACAGCATTTTCACGGCAGGCGAAATCGATATAGACCATAAAAGTTCACAAGAATAATGAGCAGGAAAGCCCCTGGGTACTCACTCTTACCGAAAATATTCCAGGGACGTTATAATTCTTTGCTTCTAACTGATAAAAAATAAAATATTTTCTAAATTAAAATGAGTTTGGGATTCCTCAAAAGTTTTTCTTGTAGACTCCAGTCTCAATTAGCTTTGCCAGGGTGTCCGAGGTCGAAGATCAGCAACCCTGGGAAGTATGACCACGTGAATAATTTTTAAAGACGGTAAAGCGACTAGAAAAGAACAGTCGCAAAAGTAGATTTTTCACGTCAACAGCTCATCATAGCAAAGTGGCTATGAATTTCCATCAATGGCGATTGAGAACAGCGAACTGTGTTTGATTGGATGAGAAGATTAACTGCCACATTCTATTCAGCCAGGAACCCACTGACTATTTTCGAATCCCCCATAAGACATTCTGTTTGCCCCCCAAATTTTGCGTAAGTTATTGTCTTCCAGTGCTCTTGGAAAAATGCAGAGAGCATTTGAAAACAATGTTTTTTGCAAAATTTGTTAGGCAAACAGAGTGTATTATGGGGAGAATAAAGAGAATAACTCGGCCTCTTCCCGGGCTCCTGTAAATTCAGTAAGTTTCGCCGAAAACTAAACTAAAAATAGGCCGACTGTTTAACGCACTGTGATCACCTAGCCGATGGTCAAGGGCTCCTGCTGAAAAACATGTAAACGGAAAGACTGAATAAAAACAGGGGACATAAAAACAGTCTTAACGATCACTCAAATCTTTGAATGGACATATCAGAGATAAGAACACGAAGAGTTACTTTTGCACTAATCCTTTTTTCTTTTCAGAATGGAAGAAGAACGCGCCATATGAAATTGGCTATCCGCTGTTCTACAGCCTACTTATAGTTCTACCACTGCTACCATTCCTATGTTTTATGATTCCTAACGAAGAATCTCTTCTGCTACAGGTACGTGGCCAGAGTTTATTACAAACCCTCTTACTTTCCCAGGGAGACGCACTGCGACCAAGCTCGATTAAAGATACTTCAGGACATAATAAAACGATACAATAATATAGAACATGTAAAATTAGATATACAGTTTGGCCTCTGCGTTCTTTTAATTTATATACCTTATAATAGATAGATTCTTTTAGTAGTTTTGACTCTGATACCGGGCATTACCTTTGCCCTACAGCAAGAGAATGAACGAAAGAGACAGCAAGAAATTGACCGCCAGCATCAGGAAGAAAGTGAACGCGCAGAAGAAGACGAAAGTTTGTCCGACACCAACGTTGAAGAATACTATGACCCGGAAATTCAGCCCAGTGATATGATTCCCCAGACCTCTAGCGTCTGCTCTAGGAGCGCAAGTTTTATCGGGAAGAGATTGGCCACGGCAGCTCATGTGACAAAGCTCGAGTTACGCGCACCTCGTGTTGTCATGGAGACATCTTCCAAAGACAAGAGCGAGGAAGGCAAGGTTACTGTGCATGAGCAGCTCCCTGATACACGTGACAGTGTTGAACGGCTAAAGGAACTGGGAGCTAGGATTTGTCCCGAATCTGTAGCGGGGTGAGTTAAATATGGAAAATCAGATGTTAATATAAATCAGGAGCCTGTACAAATTTATAACGGGAGAATATCAAGTTATCCCCTAGGTTTAATGAATGAACTTCAAACTAAAAGGCAAATAGTTAGGTTGCCTCGTTCAAGTTCTCTCATAGGGCCGGGTATTCAGTAAACAAAGTCTAACTTAAGCCGCGGTTTAGAAGATCTTTGGGCCTCCAGATCTCTTCCTTGGTGCGTTATTCTAGGAAGATAAATGCTTTTCTAGTCTGTTCTATATGCTTTCATAAAACCGTTCACAATGTAAAATGGTGTTTAGGTAAACCTGTTGGGGCAAATTGAAAATTGCTTAGAACGCGGTTTTGTTGAACACTGGCTAAACTACGTTTAAATAACTGGCCCACAGAGTCTAGGAAAAACCACATACAAACTAAAACCAACTACCTTTTTAATGTGGCAAGTATTCTTGTAAGACTTTATTCATGGAAGTTATCACCGCATAACTTTTAACCCAAATGTATATCTACGTGTCACTTTTAGGTTCAACCAAACAATCATCAATGAAGCAATCTTTACATTTATTTTTTAGGAAAGCTTGTGTTGCAGTAGCCTCTGGCGTCTTGATTTCATACGGAATTTATCGCCTTTTCTCGTAAGTTGAACCGTTCGTAGAGGGTCCCTAATAAGCTTTTCAGGATCCTGGATTCCCTTAATTGAAGAGATTAAATGAGATAACCGGAAATTCCTGATGGAAAATCAAATGGATCGCGACATTCCGTTTGGAAAGCTTCAGAAAATATGGTCGGTGATTTGGGGTGATGTAATTTTTCTACCCTTTTTCGTAATTTGGATATACTTTGTAGCGGGCCGTTCTCCCACCACATCTTAATTTCATGGTTTTATTTTCATGCCCGAGATTTTCACCCCGGTGGTTTGTGTAAATGGTATGATACAGATACGAGATAAGAAAATGGATTCTGAAAGTTCAAGCTCATTTTCTCAGTGAAAACAGTGGGGGGTAAAAAATGAAAACAAGACTTACAAAGGTGATTGTTCATATGTATTTTATGACAGATTTTCACATCAGGCCGGAGTCTGTCCACGAAAACCACTCTACCATCTCACTCAGGGTATATTTGATAATTCTGACAATAACCATGAAAGGAGGCTACGTCGCCGAGTGGTTAGTGTGCTGGACTTGTAATGCGCAAGCCCTGACCGGTAGCCTGTGTACAGCCGCCCCTGTACTCAGACTACTGACCGCTAGATGGATTTGTTCTCGGTAATTCCGAGTTCAAATCCTCGGCCATGCGCTTGTAAAATAGCCCACCGGTTCATCTCCTACCAGCTGGGATTCTTAACCATGTTATGTTCCATATAACTTAATTATTGTTTCATGCAGCCCGGATCCACCCAAAAGGGATCCCACAAGGTAGTTACATGAAATGACATGAATCTGAGAAGTGTTTGGAATAATACTAGGACATGCACAGCGTTAGATTCAGCTAAATTTAAGCCAAAATATTTGGCACCTAATAAGTCTTCGTAAAAACGCTCGAATTTTTTTGAATAACTGTTCTTTTAAATTACACTACAACGCGTCTAAAAGAATACTGTTTCGTTTTCTTTACAGGAAATAACTGCTTTACTCTGGATACCTGGATACTGAAGAAATAAACTGTAAATCCTTTCTATTCGTTAATACAGACCAAGGACAACCATTAATAGAAATGTTGTTACTCTTTCGGAGAGAAAACAGGTTATATTTTTATTTTTATATTCATTAAATTGTTATTTTCCACGAAAAACGGTTGTTTTTTTGTAGCCTGCGAATATACGCCCGTTTTCTCGAAATTTCTTCTTGGACAGCCGTAGCAGTTGTCAAGTTGAGGTAAAATTCTTCTTTCCACTCAACATATGTCCTCCTAACCTTTTCCTTCCCATTAAACATAATTTATGTCCACTTTAACCCTTCCTACTCAACGCAAAAAAATATATACATATAACATTTTCCCGACCTTATCGTTTTCCCGCTTAAAGCATGATTTCCCCCTCGTCACTTGTCTCTCGTTTTAATCCTTTTTGTAGCCTAAGGGTTATCTTCGCAGCCCCCCTTCCAACGGAACGAACCTCACAAAAATCACCATTTTGAGTTTTCACTATCGCAAAGAGGGTGTGGAAGGATAATGTGAAACGTGCGGCAATTTTTTTCTTTTGATCGATGGCATTAAATTGATTTATACAACTAAACTTTACTTAACTGTTACGTGTAACAATTTCTTTCAAGCTGCACGCTAAACCCAAACGACAACTGAGCAATTTACTCAGGAAACTGAAAGCCCATGGATACCAGCATTAGTTACTATAACAGTTGCTTTGCATAAATAAAGATTACCCGTCCCGCTAATACAACGTCAACCCTATTTCAACGAGTAATCATAACTATAACAAAATTCTCAAATCTGATTGGTTCTCAACTGCCCTGATTTCAGCCTTAATAGGACAGTACGCGTCTTGCCTAAGTAATTGGACAGTACGCGCCATCACGCGCGCGCTTAAATGGCTTTTTTTTTCATGGCTAGCGAAAAAATCTTGGAATTTCTTGTGTTTTGATTTAAAAAGAGCCCTATATATCACAAATTTTGTTAAAGTTATGATTAATTGGTAACAGAACTTCGTGTCGTCCAATTCGGTCTGTAATCATACTCGTAATTAAACAAATCGGACTCCCGCTACGCGGTCGTCCGATTTTGTTAATCACTCGTATGATTACAGACCGAATTGGACTCCACTCAGTCCTGTTACCATTACTAATTTCCGACGTCAATTTTCCACTTTAAGAAAGGGCGAGTTAACGTTCGCAAAGACCTCTGGGACTGTCACGGGGCAAAAAATGGCCAATAAGATAGCTGACTGGCGCGTACCCAGCAACGATGCCCGAAACAATTGCCTGAAAGTTGACCCGAAGTAAAACCTCATAAAAATGGAAGATTATGATTAATAACCTAAAGAGTTTCTAAATTATTTCTGAGTTTTTCCAAAGACTCAGGTTTCGGATTATATACAATGAACTGACAAAGTTAACTAAGTCCAAGTTTCTCTTTCCATTCCTTCAGCGCATTCAAAGAGACAATATTTCCGCCGCAGACTATCACGAGAGCTGATTTTAATTCTCCAAGCTTTCCCTGGTCCTGCCAGACCTTGAAAAGACGTTCATACACACAGGCAAGCGATGCACCACACGCCGGTTCAACAAGCATGCGGTGGTCGTCTGAAAACGAAAAAAAAACTTGAGTTTTATGTTTGATAACACTAACATTTAATAAAAACATAGATACAATGAACTAACTTGGCTTGACTGAGAGAAAGTTTGGCTAAAAGAAAGAGATTCATGAGACCGTCGGAGGACCGAACGTTAGCTCTAAGGGACCGGTCATTATTTATGTGGGGGGGTAGGGGGGATTTTTTTTGTTTTAGCATGAAAGAAAAAACGTGACCCACCCCTTCAAGCGCATTAGTTAATTCTTGACCCACCCCCATATAACTTTATATAAGAGGTGACCCACCCCCAACCCCCTTCAATCTATACCTCTATAAGAGGTTGAAGAGAAGTGCCGTCGAACATTTGCACATTATGAGGAATCAAGGACTATTTGCAATGGATGCGTTTGAACTTGTTGATAATACAATTAAAAGAGTATTGGAGAGTTGACAATCCTTGCTTTTTAGATGGTCACAAAAAGGAGCTCAATAGCTCCATATTACAGTCATACTGCCTGAAGCGTGAACAGCTAGTCATCATTATTGATTTCATTAATCGATTATTGAAAAAATAATTTTTGCAATATTCAAATCGGAAGGAGTTTAACATAATCTGCTTTTTTATTGACGGGGGCAAGCGTAACATAAAAATTTAATNAAAAACGAATTTTCAAACTGTTTTTGATTTGAAAATTGGAAAAATTTGATTTCACTAAGTTGAATAATGAATTCAATAATCCATTATTGACACCAATAATGATTTCTAGCTGTTCACGCTTCAGGTAGTAAAAGTTCCCAGACAGTTATATTAAGAAAAAGAAGCATGCAAGCCTTCTCAATAGGGCTTATGTGTATTTATTGATATTTAGTGCCCAAATCTTTGATTCTCCATACTTAGGTTGGATTGCTACATGTGTCATCCAGTTGTGTTATATTTTATATCCAGCATTGCATTAGAATTTATTTAGATCTTCCACATGAATTGTAGTGAGTGTGATTCTTTACAAAACACACAATGACCCACCCCCAATCATCGTGAAATTCTCTTTGGACCCACCCCTTTTCTCTAAAAAAAATAGGCCTGGCCCACCCCATGATTTTTCCCCCCCTTCCCCCCACATAAATAATGACCGGTCCCTAAGGCAGAGTGAATTATAACACTCGCGAGCAAACTTTAATTTAGTTTTCGCTACTCCTCATGAAGCTCATAAGAAAAGAGCTTTTTATCCAAAAAACCAAGTTCTTCTGCCCTGGAAAAAAGCTTTTACTTTTTGCATCAAAGGTTGCAATTTTGTGGGGTTTCGGAAATCACACCTTAGTTTTTCCAGCCAACAAAGAAAATGGCGGCTAAACCCGACATACGTGGTCACGTTGGTTGTTTACCATTTACATGGGTAAACCATTCGGTTCATGGTGTGGATAAATGGTTCGCAAAGTTCAGGACTGGTAAATTTCGTGCCGGAATCGCCTTTATCATTTGTACAAATCAGTTCCATTTACCGAAAAAAGCCGCGAAGGCCTGTAACTGGTATCAAAGATGGCTTTGAAGGAATGGAACACGAATTTCCGTTTGGAATATTCCATGGGGAAAAACAAGACCACCATTTCAGATGTTCCGTTGCTCCCGGAAATTTTCCGTTGGGAAGACCCAAAAATTCTTGTTCCATTTACTTTCCACCGGATTTCCCGGAAAATGTTTGTAAATGGTAAACAACCAACTCCTCTCTTCTCTCGAACGTCACGTCTTCTCGCGGAATCAGCGACATTTCCCGTGCCTTAATATTCATTTGACATGAAAGGGGGGGCTACCCGTTGGTTATCCAAATACGGTATTCAACTTTTAAAGGCCTCTTAGAGGTCTGTTGTTGCCAAATTCTCATGAATTCTGAACTATACATCCCTGAGATTCCTGGCTGAATTTATACCATGCCACATTCTTGGGGGACGGACCATTAGAAAAGCGATGCAGCGGTGGAGTCAAAAACCTAAAACCATCATGCATACTGGAACTACGAAAAAACCTCGCAAAAAGAACGTTCCCCGTTTCATACGCATATTTTGTGTTTGAAAAACTGTACAGGGAGGTTTCCTCGACGCTAATGTTGCTTCAATTAATGAAAACAAGACAAACTGTATCTTTTGATGTGTGAATGTTAACTTGCCTCATCAGTATTCTACCACCACGTACAGGGCCTCAGCTGTCTGCCTTCCATTTTAAGTGTCTTTTGAGAGTTAATCATGGCCGAAAACAAATTCGTGCAGAGGATCACACTTGGAAAATTTTCCCCGGTCACTTTCCATGACAAGTTCACTTCGCTTCGCTTCTTTATACGATGCGCATTTTGCTGGTATTAATATTCATCACATTTTGAAATCTCAAGATGGTACGTTTTCTCTTTTCACGATCCCGCACAAGCTATAAGTCCATCGAATTTTTTTTAAGGCTCAACGGGTTTTTCCGAAAAAGTCTCAGACCGCTCCTGGCGAAATTTCCGGCTTTTGGCGGGGAGGTGGAGTGCGTTCGTAAGGAAGGTTGAAGTTTTCATCAAAGCAGTAAGCTAACCACTTATGCACCATACAACAAGACCCTTTTCACCTGCAAATCGTTCGCAAGCTAACACAGCTTCCTGGTCGCTGCACACGTGATTAATAATTTTGTGATCCTGAGTCCATTCCAGCGCTTTAGCGGCCACAGTCCTTGCACCAAGGCACTTTGCCACGCTGTTAAAAAGAAGAACAGGACATTTTGTAATGACTAATTTACTTTAAAACACAATTCTCTGTCTCCTGTTATATCAGTCACGTCTGGGCTAATCTGGCAACGGGTACAGATAACAAAACAGAGCGATCAGATATTAAATCTACTCTGCTTTTTTAGCATGTACCAAGTGGTTCGCGCCCCTGATATTCGCGTGGTTGGTTTGATTACGCCCACGAGACGCCCCCAAGAAAATCAAAAATCCTTCCTCTCTTTTCCCTAAGTTCCTTCCCCAACCCTGTCAATGCCTGCCACACTGGTAACCCAGCTTAGGTCCAATAGATCTGCTCACCTCTATCTATAACAAGGATATGCCAAAAGATTTTCCTTTATATAATTGGCCTAGGTAAAAACAAACAAGTAGGAAAGTTTTATTCTACTGTACAATGCTTTTGGTACCAGTAGTGAAAATCTGGCATGACATAAGTGTTAAATGCGCAGTACTAAGTGAGAGTTACTTTAAAAACACATTGCCTTGGTCCATCTTTGGATTAGAAGATTTTCAAACAAACCTTGTGATGGCATCTAAGGTAACAAGTTCCCCTGCCTGAACAGCTGCATCAAAACTATCTGCACCTTTGGTTTCCATGGCAATAAGTGGGACATCAGCCCATCCAACATCATGCATGCCTTGTAGTACACCAGACATAAGTCCACCACCCCCGACAGACACCACGACCACACTTGGCTTCTCGGGTAGCTGTTCTGCTGATTCATGAATGACAGTTGCCACACCCTCCCTGAAGAGAGAATGTCCAAGATAGGCAAAGGCTTCATTTGAATAAATATAAGAGTACTCATTCAATGACATTAATTTTTTATAAAGCCATTAGAAAAAAGCTATTCGTACACAAATGGAACAAGGAATAAAAGAAAATGACTCACAACTTGTTTGAGTAGAGGTGAAAATTTTTAAAGCCAATGAAAAGCAAAGAGCTGATAAAAGTAAAACCCATGAGGAAATGGAGTTTGATCCATGATTTATCAAATGAATTGAAAACCACTCTAAGGTTAACTCTAGCCTAGCCCACAGATACAGCCGCCTTCCATTGTTCACTGCTGCTAAGAGACATATCACAAAAATTCCATAGTGGTGGTTAAAGGTAGCTCAGTGAGGCAATATTAGTTTGAAAACTCTAAGTAAAACACAGAACTCTAGTGACTATAACCTTTACCAAAAAATCTACCGGTCATTAAAAACCATGACATACCAGACATCAGGGTGATTAAAGGGCGGAATATAAGCATAGCCTGAAAAGAAAAAACACCACAGCTGCAGCTAAGTAACTTAAAAGAAATGGTTCCAACTTCATAACTACATGTAGTCAGTAGCAGTTATCAATTTTTGATTTTTTGATGACAATAATAAAAGCAGAAACTTCAAATTACCTGGTTGTTTAGCAAGCTTCACCGCCAGGGCATCAGCATCATCCCAAGACTATGACAACATTAAAAAATGTCTCTATCAGTGTAAAAGCCAGAAAACAATGAATAGTATGAAGAAGTTGGGAATGTGTGACAGTGGACCCATTTGTCAGCACCTAAGGGCTTATCTGGGTTTTCATTTCCCCAAAGGATTCATAGGAAGCTGTACCACTGCAATTTCTTACAACCCAACAAAATGGCTACCCCAAAATTGTGTCCTCTCGCTGGCAGTACATGGCATTACCTGCAACACAGGAGGAAAGTGCAAAAAAATTGTTCCAACAAACATACTAGCTGGCCAAAATGGGGGGAAGTGATAAGCCAACCCACCCAATCTACCTCCCCTGGATCCGCTCGTTCGGACTGCCCTTTACCTAATGTACTGATGGCTAATCTACTTATCACGTGACATACAAACAACTCACATCACCACATATTTCAACCGTGGCCCCTTCTTCTCGCAGTCTTTCCACCATAAACATTGGTGTTGTTCCAGGTACCACTATGGTGCATGGGATTTTGAGCTTCCTTGCTGAATAAGCTGCTGCTAGCCCAGCATTACCTCCTACAGTGAAATAGAGGACAAAACAGTTTCTGAAACCTCATTTAAAATTTTGATCAAAGTTGAACTTTTTGAAACCACATGGTTGTCAGCATGACATTTCCCCAAGGTGGTAATCCAAATATTTCTGTGGTAGTGCATCACCTTATGTGCAGGATGCCAGGACCTTTATGGCAAAACACTTCATTTCCTATTCTACATTTATTAAGTTACCTACTTATCTTTCCCAGTATACAATGACATACTTTTATAGACCAAAACTTGCTGATATTTTTTATCCTATATGCCAAACTAGACAGTTTTAAAACCACACCCAGGAAAACAGGCAAATACCTGCAGTATTCCTCCCTTAACTTGACATCTTTTTTAATGGCAAGAATGATAAGCTATGGAACTGATTTAAGAATGGTGAGCTAAGGGCTTTGTTTAAATGCCTGAACCAATTGAGCCTTGCTGGTCTGCAACCTTTTCAACTGGACTAATCAAGACTCAAGCTTTTCCACCTGGGGAAACCTTATGCAGTAGAAGTGTTATGGATACATTAGATGAGTCAAAATATTATATGATTTTCGGTTAGTTTTGGTTCAAGCTAGATTGATTCTCAATTTTCCTTGTTTCCTTAGCTTGCCCCAGGAGACAAAGAAAACTTGAGAATCAACCTAAGTTAAGAAATTTTTACCTGAAATCAAATTTGACCCACATATATAAAAGTTATACCTGATGAACAAACCATGTGATTGCAACCTCTTTGCATTGCCTGTAAATAATAAAAAGAAAGGAAGGAAGTGGCAAATCAATCTCCCTTTGTGTGTGTTAATTGTCCTTTAAGATTTTTCATCTCAGATAAATCAGTTGACACTAATGTGTAACTGAATTCACAAGAAGAAGAACTTTGAAGTCCCAAAGAGTGAATAACCCTCCAAAGGCTTTTTTTTTTATTTTTATATTTAATATGTCTGTTTATTTCCTATAAAACTACAATTACACAGTGCATACTTACTATTACACTAATAATACTAAAATAAACTTACTTACACACTTACGCAGTAACCAAAGCATAACAATTACACAGTGCCTACTTACTAAAGTAAACTTACTTACACACTTACGCAGTAACCAAAGCATAACAATTACACAGTGCCTACTTACTAGTACACAGTATCTTAAAAGTAACAATATAATGCAACGACAATTATAATAATACTAAACCTAACTTATAGAAGCACAGAGCCAGAGGTTATCGCCCATTTCCTAGTAAATTTTTCTATTGTATTGTTTTTAATACATATATATTTCTCTGTCTCATATTTATTTTTGACCTTTAGCTTGAAACCAGTTATATTTGGAAGCGTTTCAGACCTTCTACAATCCCAAAGATATACCTTAGCAATCAGTAACAAATAATTGAGTAAGGGGCATTTAGAGGTTATTATTCCTATCAATACGTCTTGCAGAGTAAGGTGAAAGAATTCCTTTGTTAAAGAATAGTAATAGGATTCGAACTGTTTCCAGAAAAGCTGGGAGTACACACAATGGAAGAAGAAATGAGGTAGCGTTTCTGGTTCTGATTCACAGAAAGAACATTTATCATCCGCAGTATAACCTATCTTATATAATTTGCTGTTAGTGTATAATATAGAATTAAGAATCTTGTACTGAAAAGCTCTAACATATGGTTCGAAGGCTAGATTATGAGGCAGGATAAAAACTTTTTTCAGTTGATCATCGGTTAAGTTAAAATCATGTTTCAGAAATCGTGAATTATTTGGAAACTGTGCTTTTCTGCTTTTAATCAATAGGTAATAATCTTTCGACTTCTTTTTCAGCGCATCAAAATCCTTGTTATCAATTCTAAAAGAGAGGGGGGTCATAGAAAAAGTACGATTAGTTGTTTTCAAATGTGAAGGTACAGAGTGTCGGAGTCCAGCCCATATTAAGACATTTATTCTACTAATTTTCTTTGAAATAATGTTAAACGAATCCGTGTTGTTTAAATGTAATAAAAGATCATTTACATAGATTATACCAGACTCAAAAAAGTTTTTGTAAAATACAGGCTTATTATTTATCCGTATCTCTTTGTTATTCCATACTATATTTTGTTGATCTCTCTCTGTGTCAAATTCCTCTCGAAAATCGGACCACCATTTAAGAAGCTCAGAGTAAAATTGAGATGTGATAGGAATGTCTTTGACGTCATAGTTACAATGAAAGGCTTATAATTATAGAAATAGGGGCAGATCAAGGGCATTGTCCATTTACCAAAAACTTTCAGAAACTTCTGTGGAAAGGTCCATCGAGTGAAGAACGTGTTCCATTTCACTCAAGTTGCAGTCGTTTACGCTCTCGTCACCAAATTCAAGATGGTGGCACAGTTATCACTGTGAATAGCCTGGAACAGGTGATTACATGCCAGAAAACTCGTAAATTGCACATGCATTTCCACCCGAAAGTTCCAGCAGGAAAACAGGACTACCATTTCAAAGTTCCACTTATTTCCGGGAATTTTCCAGTGGAACCCCCGGAAAATGTGTGTTCCATTAACAATCCAAATGAAATTTCCAGAATTTCTTGGTAAATAAAATGGAAAGTGCCCCTAGAACCCTTGCACCTCTTCCTGCTCCAAATACAGTTAGTTCAGTTACCGTTGCAACCTCTTCCTTGTATCTGAGGCCTCTGAATCAAAATCCTAGATCTTCCCCCACCCCCACCCCACCATCGCGGGAATAAGAAAAATTCTTCCCCATGATCATTTGCCAGCTAAGGACACAGTATTGTCCCTATGTTGACACGTGTTATTTTTGTGAATGGATTTCTTAAGGAGAAAAATGCTCGTCAGGTTCCAAATCCCAGGAGTGGAAGATAGCCCTTAAATAAAGAAATGCCAAATCGAGTGTTCAATCATCGGTGAATCATATTTATAAAAGTGACGACAGACGTTTAAGCGGGAAAACAGCGTTTCTTAATTAAGCTTACTAATTGTTAAGTTTTTGTCCAACCTTTTGACATAAATTTCCAAGTCCTCGAATCTTGAACGATGCCACTGGTTGTACATTCTCAAGTTTTAAGTATACTGGAAATCCTGCTATTTTTGTCATAGGATGACTTTCTAACACCGGTGTTTTAATGTGCAGGGGCTCCATCATGCCGCGTATGACAGCCGTGTCACGCAGGGATAACCCGAGGGAAGCTGGGTACTAGCAACTTTTTCTTGCAGTTTTGAGAAGGTGGGATAAATATTAAAAGAGAAGAAATAGGGAAAGAGAAGCGATCTCAGGCTACTTCATTCCTGACCATATATCAACTCATCAGCAATTTTGGTATACCACTCTTGCCTGTATAGTTTGTTCATCGAATTAGTATGACGTGGATTGAAAATCTGCTGTACAGGCAAAATAAATAGAACTTTATTCATACTCGAAGTTGTTTGTGAGTAGGTGCATATTAATTGCGAGATACGCATTTCTAGTTGGTTGTCGTTGGTTGGAGGGGGAGATCATTGAACACAATAGCCTGAATAACCGTTTGAAGCCTGAGGAGAGTTTATGAGCATGCAGTTCCTGATCAGCGGAAGAGCGGGAAAGTTATTAGTCATGCGCAGTGAAGCATTCACGCATGCGCTTTAGCAATGGACTAATTCTGTTCTGTTTTTTCGTGGGTTGGAGAAGGTTTTCTCGCAGTTAAAAGGGAATTTTTGCAATAAGATTCTTCTTTTGTCAAGCTTACTTACATTTTCTCTAAACACGACGTCTCAGCTACGAGTGGGTTGAGTTGGAAGTTATTTTGATGGCTAGGGGCTGAGAAAATGCCCTTCGTCTAAAGACAACTGCAGGGCGGCAATTTGTTCGAACTGTCCCCTTTGGTTGGAATTTCAGATATCGTGAAAAAACAAGCATCACTTGTTCGGTTTATTCAACAAGTGTATCTGTCTAAGGGGTGCTTTAAAAGAAAGAAAAATGGACTACGACCATTTGGACCCCGAGGGAAGCTTGATGGACGTGCGTAGAATATCGATAGTTTCTTTCAACCTTCATCGTTTCCTTGAGATATTTCTTTAGTTTTCTTCCATTAATTGTTTACTTTTTACCCCGTATCGTTTTCTCGATCATTTACAGCGGATTCAAGCCCTGATCCAGCCTCCTCAGTCAGATGAGTCGGGAAAGAGGGTGAAGAAAGTTGATAAAGAAGCTCGAAAGCAAGGCAGGTCTGTGAACAACGACAACTGCGATAGCTGTGGCGAAGGAGGTGATTTGCTCTGCTGTGACCGATGTCCGTGTGCTTTTCACCTCACATGTTGGTACGTTCCTTTAGAATGTTAAATATACACGAAGAAAAAAGTTATTAGAATACCTGAAATTTAAGTGCTTTTAGAGTTTGCCTTTAGCTGCTAGTGACACAGGTACCCTTTTCACTCTCCTCATGGAAAGCCCTAATTTCTCAAGGTTTAATCACCCGCCCGCACTGACAGCTTCTATGAATTAATTCTTTTCTTGAAGCTACGGTTGAAGCCTTGTTGGACGAGGCGCGTTTTAATCCGCAAGGTTATCTTTTTCTCTTTAACAGTTCGGTTCTTTTTCTCCCACCTTTTAGCCTCTGAGTGTGAAAACATATGATGTTTTGTGTACTTCATATTTCTTCAAATTTTACTTCACCTGTAACTAACGGAACTGTTTGATTGATCTCTTTTAGTGATTTTTGTTGTGGCCTTTTTTCTCGATGTGTTTTTTATTTTAATATCAAAACTTTTGTGTTACCTTTGTCAGATTTTTCCAAGGGAAACTGACCTTTCTTATTAAACGAAACACTGCTTGGGAAGTCTTTTGTAATTATAGTCCAAAAAAGATACCAACATACTCTGTATTCCATGTTTTTATGTAAGAATCCTGTCTGGTTTTCTTGTAGAAAGTTGTTCAATGTATTCATTGCATGTTAGTTTTGGATTTTGTTTATTGTCCAAAATAGCTGTGCTGTGCATAATACTTGAATACAGTTTGGCAAATGTGAAAACAGGAAGCTCTAAAATATTCTTTGTTAGTAGAGCAGTTGCACTATGATGTCATTTTATTATAACTACCAGAATCCTTCAGTTTATTGTTTTCTAGTGCAAATTAGGGCTATTATTGTTTAATCTTCAGCAGGACTGACAAATTTCTGTGCAAAAGCAAAAACCAAATAAATTCTGGTAGTTGTAGTCAAATGTTGTCATTGTAAAATAGTCCATTAACAGCTTGTATATGAAAGGGTAAAATTTTCATACACCCTCGTTCATTGCTTACTTGTGGTAGGCTCTTGTACTGTTCCTTATAAACAAAAACATAAACACAAAGAGTTAGACTCAGAACTCGTGTGATAATTAAAATACTAGTATAGAATGCAGGCCCACTTATTGTTATGATATCAAGAATAAAGCATATGGAAGCAAAGTCACATTCAAAGATCTAGTCACATATATGTGGAGTTTTTATGAATTTCTTGAATTTGACTGTCTTCCATCTGTTCTAACCAGTTTGGGGGTAAAAATCTCTTGAAGCTGTAGTTTCTCATGATTAATTTTTCAGTGATCCTCCACTAGAAGAAGATGATATTCCTGATGGAGAATGGCTTTGTAATGAATGTAAAGCAAAGCCTTTTCAGGTAGGTCACTGTTATGCTAGTGTCTTTCTATTGGAATGAAAATGTAGACTTTTATTAGTGTAATTTTTAGTGATGTACTAGTGAGCAGCACACTTACACTTGCAGTGAACATTTACACTTGGAAGAAGAAGAAACCATTCTCGCCCGGGGCACGAAACCGGGCGAGCATGGTTTCTTCTTCTTCCAAGTGTAAATGTTCACTGCAAGTGTAAGTGTGCTGCTCACTAGTACATCACTAAAAATTACTTTAATGAAACTAGCAGAAGCCACACGAGAAACTGAACATAGAAGTGCAATGCACTCAGCTCCCAGTACCGAAGTGTAGTACACTCTGCTGGTATCGTAGAATTCCCACTTCACTAACGCTAGAGCCCTGGTGGTTCACTGGTTAGAACGTCTGATCTAGTATGCGGAAGGTCGCGAGTTCGATTCTCGCCTGGGGCACGAAAATTTTCCTTGCCCCGGGCGAGCATGGTTTCTTCTTCTTCCAAGTGTAAATGTTCACTGCAAGTGTAAGTGTGCTGCTCACTAGTACATCACTAAAAATTACATCAATCAATCAATGTCAATACGTGGGATGGGGTTGCCCTGTTCAGCTGAGCCGGAGGCTTATTTATGAAACGTATGACAGTAAAGATACTAAGTTATTAATAATACAATACATTCAATAAAAATAATTTTAAAAGATCATAAATGTATGAAAACAAATGAATATAATATATCTGTGAATGCTCAAAGCAACACCCTCCCGGATCCCCCTGACAGTTTAAATGTTAGTGAAAAGGGGGGCTCATGCAGCGTTGTCACTAAGATTTCAAGTTGCCGGGTAAATACAACAAGGGCATCACACTCATAATAACCGGGGGAAATCCCCGGCCCCCAGCTCTTAATGACAGCCCTGCTGGTGGCAACAGTTTGCCCAAATCAAGCAATTTTTTAAAATTTTCATCCTCACCATGAAGAGATGTATGTTTTTAATTCAGGATGGAGAAAGCAAAGGCGGTGACCAAAGTGGTGTTGGGAATGACTGTGAGGACCGTACAAGAGCAAACACAAAAGAAAATGACAATTCAAAACCAGAATCTCCATTTTCAACCCTTGTAAAAATGACAACAGGGAAAAACCCAACAACATTTTCCCTTCCTCCTGAGCTTCAATGCAACACTTACTTTCCAGGTACATTTTAATGTATAATAGTTGTTTTTTAACAACTAGACCTAAAACTTTTTCTGAGTAAAGTAGATCGATAATTGTATTTAGTTTGCAATTCCATTACATTTTTACGCTGCACAAAAGAAGTAAAAAATAACGTGGATAAAATCGAGTGGTGTTTCAGTGTCATCATGACACCATTTCAAGTTCAATAACATAGAAACAACATTCGATTTTATCAGCATTATTTTTTACTTTTTTGTGTTACAAAGCATTTACTTATTAGGTTTTTTTGTTGTTTTGAAATATTAAGGCCCAGTTCAGACGCCGATCTTTTTATGAGCTGAACCTAATACATTGAATTAAGTGCAAGAAAAGTTCGGCATCTGAAGCAATTAAGAACACCTATTTAAATTTGGATTGGCTTAGCCGTTCTTCACACCTTGCCTGGCTGGGAATTTCAACTGTGGAACGACTTTGGAATGGCTTTGTTTCAGACACTGAACTTTTCATGTACCGAACCTAATGTGTAAATTATTATATTGTATTTTGCACACAGTTTGACCAAAATTAGCATTTTTCTCCTTTTGAATTTACTTTGGCTGGAATTAATTAACATCAGCATCTGATTCATTTCAGCTAGTCTTAATAGTTTGGGTTGGCCTTAATTTGAATTAGGTTCGGCTCATGAGAAGTGCTGCATCTGAACCGGGCCTAAGTGATTCTGTTGAATATACTTGGGTAGTAAAATGCGAAATCCCTATAATTTAGTGATCACAATGGAAGTTTTTTTTCTTTGGCAGGTGACAGGAAAAGGAAAAACAGCACAGAGGAAAAGGCAGTTCCCGTGAAAAATGGAAAAAGGTAAATTTATGTAATGTCAAGATTTCAGCAAATTGAAACATATAGTGGCCTTTTAAAGCTGTTCTGTAATCTTTGTTTGAAGACAAAATCACAGATACTAACATTGATTTTGCTTGTCTGCAGAAATGGTGATGAGGAAGGGTCTAGTTTTCCACTCGGACGACTTTGTTTTGCCTGTAGCAGGTAAGGCCTATAAAGCACAAAAATTTCCCAACTCTACAATATAGTTGTTGAGTTTTTGATTTGTTCATTAAAATACTGTTTTTTTTTCTTGCCATTGTTTCCTAAGCTCCCTAAGGTTTCCTTATGGGAAGCACATTTTTTGGTTGCTGTTAGGTGACCATATAGTATCCAGTAATGGTGCATGTAAGAGTATGAAAAGCTTTAGTTGCACGATATTGATGAATGTTTGTTTGATGTATTGTAGGAGTGAACTTGTTGGCCAGCTTGTTCACTGTGATTTTTGTCCCCTGGCATTTCACATGGATTGTCTTAATCCTCCCCTTACCACTGTGCCCAGTGGTATGTGGATGTGTCCCAACCATGCTGAGCATGCTGAGGTAGGTGGTTTATTTACTTAGCATACCAAGATATTTATTAGATTACATACTATGGTTTTTATTAAATTTTTAGCATTTCCAATGTGGTATGTTTTCAAGGGCAGTGTTTACATGTATTGCAAAATCACATTTCTTAAATCACTGACAACAATAACAATAAATCATTTGTAAATATTATGTCAAACACATGGATGTTTTAGGTTTTGATGTCTTGCCTTTTTGTCTAACTGTTTGGATGGTATAGATTACTTAGTCATACCGAGTTTTATCTTTTAATTCTCAAGCAAATGCCACATATGTAAGGGCGGCTTTTATGATTCGGTTTTCTACCATCTGTGGTGTTAAATTGACAGTGGTGTGTATTTGAGCGTGGCATTTAATCAAGTTAACAACCTTGTGAACAGGACCGTGTCAATGTTTATATATGTTACAGTTCAAAATTAAATTCAGGTTAAAACTTTTTAACCCAGGTTGATTCTCAATTTCCTTCATCTCCTTGCCCTGATTCATGAATTCTCCGGGGAAGGAGACAAAGCAAAGTGATAATCAACCGAGGTCAAATAATTTTAACCTGAATTTAATTTTGACCTGTTACATATACATGTGTTTAAAAAGGGTTGTTGACACGAATTAATGTTTTGTTTTCTTTAGCCTGGTCTGCGAGATCCTCGCTTCAGTAAGAGATTGCAAGCTTATAATGATTTAAGGAGCAATATATCACAACACACAATAAAGATGAATTTTCTTGAGCGAGTGCACAGGTAGTTATTGTGGAAATTTCAGTTGTAAGTATATTCACTATATAAGCAACAGAACTTTTATATTGATTTTGTTTACTGTTATTACATCTTATTGTCTGCAACAGATTAAAGAGGCATCCTTCTTTTAAAAGAAAAGCATTCTTACCTACAAGAAGGAGAGCAACCTTGGTATGTTTCCCATTTCTTGGGAATTTTATGTGACATATGAAGTAGAAAGACAGTACATGTGCATCTGTTAATAAATTCGTTGGTAACGTGAAAAGTAAACTTTATGGGCAATGTTGTTTGTCACAGGTTCCGCAAGCCATCAAAGACCATTACAACTGTCCCCCATACCAACTGCTTCCAGAACACATCAAGAAAATGCAAGAACCTCTTCCTCTGCATTCACTTCCTCTAAATACTCCCACCTCTGAAGAACAAGAAGAGGTGAGACTTAAAAAATAATTCTTTTGAAAAAAAAGTTAATGCTTTTCTGGACTTGTGTTTTAAGGCTGTGCTCCAATGAAAATTGAAGGGAACCCAGTGCTCTGAACCTGTATATGATTTGCTCAGCGTATTAGTTGTATAAAAAAACTAAGATTAAGGCGTCACTGGGGAGCAAAAGTTGGGCGCCAGGGTCTACCAGGCTCTGCTAGAGCACAGTTCTGTGTTTAAAAACTTGGTTTGTCTAAGGGTTTCTATCAATCTCTTTTTGTTTTAAAGATGGATCAAACAACCAAGTGTTTGGTTAGAAAAGGAGACGCAGCTTAGATTTTTAGATGGCTGCAAGTTGTTTTCAATACAGTGGAACCCGGTTAATACAGACACCAACGGGACATGCCATAGCATTGAAATGAGCTTTTTTTCATTGGGATAAATGAAACTGCACATTATATATGGGTGTCTGTATTAAGCAGGTGTCCATAGAGTGGGGTTCAACTGTAATAAACAGTGACCTTGAGCAGCAGATCCATAAGGGCATGAACAGTGGCGAGCCAAAGTTGAGCCATTGTAAATCCCACAGGGTTCTGACATGTTTGTTTCATCATCATCATCATCCATCAGCTGCAGAGCAGTTGACCTCAAGTTTCCTTTATCAATGGCAATCTTGAGCCATATCCAACCACTGATTGTCTTTTGGCAAGCTATCAGGATCCCTCAGAAGACAATGAATATAATTGGTGAACAAGGTTCGCTGTCTACTGGGTTTCCTCCTCCCATTAGTAGGAACATACATTGCAAATTCTCTGATGAGCTCATTTTCTGGCAAGTAGGCACATGACCAAGGAAACGTAATTGCCAAAGCCTGACTCTTTCAATAAGGGGAGCTCTTTGTTTACAAGTAACCTGAAACTCAGATTGATTTCCTCTTTGTACAGGGTCTTCATTAGGCATCGGAGATCGGAAAGTTCTACTTTAACTAAGCAAATGTAAATGTTCGGTAACCTATGACTATTTTTTATTCAGAGATGGAGCCTCCTTTAAAATATTCTCCTGTAATTTTAAACCTTCCTCCTGCAACTAGATTAATAGTGAAAATCCTGTTTGTATTTTAGTGGCTAAAATGTGTGATCAGCCTTCAGTGTGGGATTGCTAAGCATCTGACTCAACCATCTAGCAACAAAAGTTTGATTTCAAACCACATTGACACTTCATCTGTCAAAGGGGAAACAGCAAACTCTACAAATACTTCCACACCTGTTCAAGCTGGAAGTAATGGAGCAGTAAAGGAACCAGTTGTGAATGGTTTGTCATCCAAGTCAGACTTAAACAATCACAGTTCAACATCACCTTCCAGTAGTGGTGTTCCTAATGCTTGCATCAGTAGAGTTGTTACAACTACTATCACTACCACTAGTGGTGGGAAAACCATAACTAAACCACTGACAATTTTGTATGCATCACCGTCTAAGTTGCAAACTCACATGAATGGACCTCTTACGGCAAAGTCAGTCAATTCTGGTAATCCGGTCAGTATGTGTACAGTGTCTTCAACGCATCTACCTTCTCAGGTTCTGGTGAAGCAGGAACCAAAATCTGTTGAAAAGCCTGTTGCTTGTAATGACTTGAATCAACTGAGTGCTGAATGCAAACAGCTCTCTAATGACACGGCAAAGTTAATCAATGATATTGGCCATTTGAACAATGTCAAGCCAAAAATTACAGTGGAGGGTGTAAAAACAGTGGCTGTTCCTACACCAAGTACGAGCTCTGTAGTGAATACAACTGTTAGTGCAGCAAGTAGAACTATTTCAACTGTTACAGCTGCTGGTAGTCCAGGAAGCTCCAATGGTACGAAAGCTGCTTCAGCGGCTCCAACAAAACTCATTGTTCTAACAAGCACAAACAGTGGGAACATAATTAAGACAATTGCTACTGCAGGATTGAATGCAGCAGGCTCTAGTCAAATCCCTGGTGGTAGTATAGTAACATTAGGTGCAGCAGGAAATGGAACAAGTGTAAATCCTGTAAAACTTGGGACAGTTAATGCTGCCACACCCGCATCTATAGGCTCAAGTCCTAATAAGGTTAACCAGGCAGCAGCTGCTACTTCCATGGCAACTGCTAATGCCATAAACAGCATCTGTGCTGCAGCTGGAGTTGATGCTTTTAATGGTAAGTGGAGTCACTTGTCATATCTGGGATTTTTGTGTCATTTACTAGTGCTTGGTTTTGTTTTGAAACTCTCAGTCTCAAAGCAAACACAGAGAAGAAGTGTGATTTCACATTACCACGGTTGCAAAATTTCTGGATCACAACAATATAAAGCTTAAGCAATGACTATGGCGAAGGTAATGAGAATGGCGAAAAAGAAATTAGGTTTAGATCAGCGATACAACAACTTTGCACGTACATCATGCCTTTTTGTACATTTTCAGCCATCATTGCATGACTGCAGCATGAAACTTCCTATTTTGACGCACTTGCTTTATGGAGTAGGTGAACACAGCACAAAAATTTTCTTTTTCTGCACTTAGATATGGTCCTTTCAGATTCAACACCAGAAATTGTGTGATAAATAAAGAAAGATGGTAAATTTTAAGCTTGGTGAAGAAATGAGAAGTAATGTGATCAACATGTCACAAGCATGTGACAAGGAAAAAATCTGAGTCCCAGACAGGAATGGAACCTATGACTTTCCGTACTCGACTCAAATGCTCTAACCACTGAGCTACCAAGGACTCCCCTTTGTAGCTCAGTGGATAAAGCATCAGACCGGTTTACAGAAGGTCATAGGGTCAATTCCTGTCGGGGACTCATATTTTTTCTTTGTCCGGTGCCCGTGACTTGTTGATCACATTATTTCTCAAAATGAAATTGATTAAGATAGATGAAGTTTGAAGCAGTGCAAATTCACTTTTTAATGACATTTTTGTTTTGTCGTCATCCAGAAATTTTGCTGCCATGGCAACATGACGTACACTGCAATGACTTCTCCTCTCTATTTACATCCCTCTTATGGGTAAAATCTGTCCTCAGAATAAACCAGTATTCAACTTATTTTGATTCTGAATATCCTTTGTTTCCAAGCCCTTAATCAGTCATAAGAGAAAAAGAAAATCCTGATTTAATCTAAAAAGTAACTCATTTTACGTACGAAGTACCCACCATTGGACGAAAGTGTCTAAAAAATGAGTGATGCCCACTAAAGGGATAGTCTACTTCAAAATCACTAAAATGCAAAAATCAGAGAAAAAACTTTTTGGAGAATGAATAGGTTGGACACCCCACCCACCTTTCTTGTATGATAAAGTGCACACTCTTGTATTCACATGGAAATAACAAATTCTGGCAAAAGTTAAGGCAGCTTTCAACAAGTTCCTACAAGATATGAAAATAATCCCCTTGGTTGCTGGTGATATTATTCTCATACCACCGGGCCAATCAGTCAAGTAATAAGATATATATTTTTATCAAGATAAATGGTTTCTGTGTTTGTAATTGTTGGCAATTTTTTCATCAACAGAGTTGGCAAAGTTGGACCCTCGTCTCATTCAAGTGTTGGCATACCAGAGACTTCAGCAGCTTCTCACACAGACCAAGGTAAGGAAGCCCAATGAATTAATCACAAGGCAAACAAAGTACAAAACATTCAGCTGGTTGAACTCCTTTTTGTTGTTGTTATTATTATTATTATTATTATTATTATTATTATTATTATTATTATTCATTCTTACATGTAGATATTATTAAAGGGTGGTCTCAAAATTGCTACAGATACCTTACTCCAAGTGGTATGTACCACTATCAGCATTCTTTACCAAAACTTGTTGACTTTTTGTTATATATCCTCAACTGAGCGATGAAAAACTTGCACAAGGTAGTAAAATTTTGTAGAGTCTAGAAATCCTTGAACAACATGAGTCACACTTAGTTTCCTTTGAACTTGGGTGTGTTGGGAGAGCTGAAGTTTGTTTTCTTGAACTAACTGAAGACGTTTTTTTCTTGAATTTCTAAAGCCTGTTCCTCCCAGTCCTGTGGCAGCTAGAAAAATTTCTTTCAATGGCTTAAAGGAGACAATAGTTCTTCCTCAACAAGCTGGTAAGTTACTGGAATTGTTTTTGTTGTTATTGTTTTCTTATTTTTGTTAACACCTGTAGCTTGAGGTTTTAGATATTCCAGTGAAGGATGTAATATTAAATGTTACAAACATTAATTTTTTGTGGAGGAACTTTTAAATACCAGTAGTTCTCCAAGTTTTTGGCATCTTTTGTTATGAACCATTAGCAAATGGTTAATGATTATTGTTGCTTTGTAGAAATAAATATTTTGGTTCCTGGGGGTGTAAAAGAAATTCTTAAGGTGTTATGAATCCCCTTTAGCCTTCTTAGCAGAGACAAAGGCTAGTACTCAAGTTGCATTCATAAGCCAATGTTTTTTTGTACTTCTTATGAGTGTATGTTTATGAATGTGATAATAATAATAAATAATAATAATTGATGTATTGTGTAATTATCAATGTAATTATTTTCAGTTGTGCATTACAATGAAAAAAAAAGCTAAATAAATAGACTAGCTTTGATAGGCACTTAACAGCTAGCCATTCATGTGGTACAAAACTGCCATGCCGGAGAGGAAAAGTCACATTAGGACAAGACAAACAAAAGAAATAACCTTTTCAAATTATGTATGCCTTTTGTTTGTCTTGTCCCAATGGGCCTTTTGCTCTCCAGCATGTTGGTTTTGTACCATGTGAATGGCTACCTGTAAAGGTCCTATTGGACATTACAGTGGTAAAAAGCTAAAAATTAAAAAAATAAAATTGACTGGCTGTAAAAAAAATGTAGTTAAGTGACTTGCATGTTACCTACATGATTCACTCTCCTTTACAGTTCCAGCAGGTAGATCCATAGCAGTGTTGTGTCCACTGACTGGGACAGGCCCTGTATGTCCTATGATTCACAAGTGTCTCTCCCTTGGACAAGGTGATAACTTCAATTTCTTTTAACTAAACCCAGCAAACATTTTTATTTCATTTCATCAATCTTTTTTTGGCTTCAATAGCTTTTGCAGTAAGTAAATTGCTGTCAAGTATTTATGTTGTCCTAGAAAGTAGACTGAAGTTTGACCTTATTTTTTATTGTAAAAGAGGATTGACACTTTTCTGTCGGTAGGAATCTCAGTAGTGAACTGATTGGTAGTATTAAAGTAGGTTGAGTATGTACGTATGTATTAGTTTCATAATGTTAACCTGTTGATGATAGTGTTTGTTGGATCAATTTATTGTTTTATTTTCTTAAATTTTGGTAGGTCCAGACATGGATGTTTGTCTTCAGGAATATGGTCACTGTAACTTCATTTCAGAAAAACACTGTTCTATATTCTATGATGAGGTATAAAGCTTCCTTGGACAATAATATTTTTGTTGAAATACTAAGAGTTTGGGGAGATTAAGTAACTACAATGGTGATGGCAATGAGAACCTCACTTAAAAATTGCATTTGTGCTGCTTCAAACTGTATTGCACTTATTCCATCTTGTTCAATCTTAAGACTATGAAAATTCAGGAAAAAAAAAAAAAGAAAGTTGTTGTTGTGAAATTAGGCTTTTTTGTGTCATAGTCGTGCAGTGATGGCAAAGAAATTTACAAAAAAGCATGATGCACTTGCAAAGTTGTTGTTTCACCAATCTAAACCTATTGGTTTTTTGACATTCTCGTTGCGTCACCATCGTCTTTGCTTAAGCTCCCCTTTGTTGTAAGCAGTGATGGTGCACACACTAATAACTCTCTAACTTATGATATTTTTTCCCCTGACAGACATCAAAACAATATGAACTCATAAACTACAGTGAACATGGAACATACGTGGACAATGTTTTGTACTCATGTGACTTTTCAGACAAAATTAACAGACACGTTGTCTCATCAAAGGATCTTGACCCATCAAAAGTCAGCAAAAATAAATTGCTGGCTGCTGCTCAAGTCAGACAAAACTCCAAGCCTAAAGGATCACGGAGAACTGTTGGTCTCGGAGTGCAAAAAATTGTGAAAGCTTGTAACTGTACAACAAGCAGTTCAAACTTGATTGGTGGCAGTGGGGCAGGCTGGGAAGGCACAGCACTGTTGCATCATGGGAGTTATATAAAACTGGGATGTGCACAGTTTGTGTTTAGTATAACAAGTCATGCAACTAAGCTACCATCAAGTGCGAAGACAAGTACTAGCTGTGCAAATGAGAAAAAGCCTGTGGTCTCATAGTCAGTGTTAGTCCTACAGTTAAAGAATAGTATTGTTGTATTCGAAAACTTCAGCTTTTGAAGGTGAAGAATTTTAATGAAAAATGAAAGAGCTTCAGAACAAGTTAAATTGCACCTTTTATCTTGATTTTTGCCACAGTGACTGTGATTTTAACAAATTATATTCTGGTTTCTGTAAGAATCGGGAGGAATTCAAGGGTGCTATAGACCCATCATAAAAACTAAATATTGATTTGTCTTTCTTCCTCCCACAATCTGTCACTAGCAATCAGGGAGAGGTGATTAAAATATGTCAGTTCAATGTTAACGTTAAATTTGGTATCTGGCAACTGTTCTTTATGATAAAGAGAGGTTGAACATGAATAACATCACCAACTAAATTCTCTGCCACACAGCACTGGGATGACCAATTTGTGAACTCAAAACTTTCTTTGGTTGTCAGTTATGTGAAGCCCGAAGAGTTGGTTGGAAGTTATAAAGTATGTAGGGTTTTGCAAAGGTTATAGGAGGACTCCATGTAAGAGGCACAAAAATGGCCAGTATTTTTATATTGTATAGGTATGTATGTATCAGAAAGGAAGTGTATATGAGATTTTATGTGACTGATGTCCAACCTTTTTGAAAAAGTGTATGTAATTTTATTCTTGTATCATTCTATTTAAGACAGGGATGGACAAAATATTTATTACTTGTACAGTTAATGTCCATTGTTGTCTTACAATTCACAAAAGCTTTTGTGATGGCAAAGGTGGTTAAACTTTTAACTAATAATATTCTAAGTTACACAAATGTATTGTAATTAAAGTAGTTAAAGTTGGTTTGTTTAGTTAGCTGATGATTGAGAGTTGCATGCAGTATATAAGTGCACAAAGTTCCACTTATGTCATTCACAATAGAGGAGATGAAACCCTACCCTGGCATAATATACCTATTCAGATTACCATTCTCTTTGCAGTTGTTGTCATTGTCTTTCTTATGGTAAAGTGAAAAAGAAAACAATCAAAGAAAACAATCATTGTACAGTGCACAAGGACATGAGAAATTTCTGTTATTACACTGAAGCTTATTGAGTTTTGTAAGGACTGATGTTTAGTTTATTCTTTTGTTCTGTATATTATTTTTTTTACTCCGAAATCCCTTAATTATTTATCTAGTGATTCTAAAATAACAAAACAAACTGTCCGTTGTAATGAGGTGTCCGTATTAAGTGGGTGTTCTTAAAGCACGGTTTGACTGTAGTTATAAAAATTATCCCCATATCCCTGATCCTTGCAAAGCCTTTCCCGCAAACCCCACTTCTTAAAACACCCAGGGCACTGGGTCCCCATGGGTGCTCCAAAACAAGGCTAGAGTATGTGCTTTCGTACTAACCTCATTCCTGGGGTCAGGCGAGACCCTGAGAATAAGCTTGCCATTTAACTGAGGGGTGATTTTGGGTTCATTATTGAGTATGTAAACATAGAAGCAGGTGGCAGTGTACGAGATGACATCAGAGGTGATATGGCATGGATTCAAATTTGGAGACCTGGCAACACTAGCCCATGTGCAGTTGACCCCTCCCCTAAAAAAAATCGGAGAGAGAGAGAGAATTTCCTTCCGATTTCTTTAAGGGGAAGGGTCATCCGAGCACAGGCTAGGCAACACAAACCCACCTATCCTGCAGTGCAGGCGTTTTCTTTGAGCGCGAAATTTGCTCGCGAAAGTGCCATGTTGAAACTTCCCGAAGAGAGGAAGAGATGGGGCGAGTAAGGGTTACTATTTCTACTCTCCCCAATCTTCCACTGTCATAAAATCAAAGATGGCGGCTACAACAATATTACGAACACGAACAAGGTTTCCCCCACCCAAAATACACCTGCACTGCAGGCTAAAACCCACCCAAAAACAGACTTCCTGAAAGTCCCTCTTCCTCTCTTCTTTGAAACGTAGGCTATGTTCACACTATTAGCGCCAACCTGAAAAGGTATCCAGTAAAGTATGAACACCTATCCACCCCTTTGGAGATCAGCTCAGTGTAGCTTCTCTCAGTTACAGAAATCGAGCCAAAATCACCGTTATTGTGTGTGAACAGACGCCCCGTCCAATATGTTTTTCGTGCCAGTGCAAAAGCTATCCAGCATAGCATGAACATTTACGCATAAGAGATCTTGGCTCACTCAAGGAATCAATTACATAAATAATTACTGGTAAATGGACAAATCCATCAGAGTATGATCAAACCTCTACGTGCAACCAACTCTCGCAAGTGACCACCTATTAAAAACACCAAAATTTTCCCAATCTAAGACCTCTGATAAAAGACCATCTTTCATAAGCGACCACGACCCCTCTTTGGCCTGAAGGTTTGATAATCGTTGTAAGCGACCATCTGATGCATGGTGTGGTCTATTTGTGCACAGTCCTCCTGGTTCCATTTTGGTAAGCAACCAACTCCCATATGCAACCACTAACTCTTTGCATTTTGTGTGGTCACATATCAGAGGTTCATCTGTTGTCATGCCTTCAAACATGATGCACCCAACGTCAATTAACTCAAAATTTTAGGAAAGGGCTACCATTAAATCAATGGTTTGTCACTAATGTTTCAGATTTGTGACAAAATGATATAGACTATTGACTGAAGGGAAAATTGGATAAGTGACAAATGACTTCTAATTCAAGAAAGTTTCAAATTTTTATTGGGTTTAATCTTGTCTATGAATAAGATGTAAGCCCGTGTAGGACATTCAGTCATTATCATTTCAACAATACAAAATTCCATTCATGCTACTTCAAATACCTATCAGCCACTTCTTTCAAAGCTATTACTCTAAAGTAATGTTCGGACTTCATTTAACTAATTTGCGAACCATGACAGAGACCTGATGGGTTGATATCGTTCCAAATAAGATATATATTTTACAAAAAGTGTTGGCTTTGATAATGATCACAATGATCAGCCTTTGAGAATCCTGTTTCAAATGAACAATTCTTTCCATATTTTTTCTACCTAGCTGGATTGAAAACAACCACTTCCCTTATAAAATAACCCTTTAACTTCCCAGAACAACTTGTTTTAAAATGTCCTTGAAATCCTATCAAATTAAGCTTGTTGTTAGAAACACAAAATTAGTCAGCTAAAGCAGTCTACATAAATAGAACCATTACAATTCTCATGTAGAAGGAGGATTATACAAAATACAATGATAGTATGAAAAATAACTGACAGCAATCTAATAATCCTATTCTGGTTGTTGAACATGGGTAATTTATAGGGTTGAGCATGATAAGATGTTTATCTTTACATGTTTTCTATGAATGTTTCTGTACATAATACTAATATTAGTACATTGTAATTTTTACAATGGTTGTGCTTAAAATTGCTATCCATCATACGCATAATCTGCTTTGTTATGCATGATGAGTTTGCCCTCTACAAAGTAAAAGCTATCCGACTTTGTCTCAAATGGATGATCAATCATTTCTTGCACTGTGAAAACAAAGAAAAGAGAAAGAGTTTACATGTCAAATAATCCTCTTAACTGTGCATCAGTCTAAAAAGCACAAAGTGGCCATTTCCTGATCCTTTTTTTCAAGAGGTACAGATTACAACAGAGCTGAGGCCTGTTAAAGGAAAAATTCTGACGAGCGACATGACCTTAAAACAGCCACATAAGTGTAGATGAAATGGCAGCAAACGACAAAAAGATGGGTCAAATACCGACAGGGACATGGCCTACTCCTCAAAATGCAAAACAACTGTATTTGAAATTCAGACTAGGGACGTACGTTTTCCCCCTAAGAGAGTCTTGGAGCTGTCACTAACATTTCAAGTTGCCAGGTACATTAAATTAGTACGTGGGGGATTTGAACAGCTGAAAAGGCCTTTTGGTTCTATTTTCCTGTTTCTTTCCTATAAAAATAGCCAGGGGGAAAAAACCCCGCCCCCCGGCCCTCAATCATCCATTAAGTACTGCAGACACCCTGGAACCATGAGGTTGAGTCCTTTATGGTTATAGTCCGTAATAATGGGAGTTTATTTTAGGCCTCTAAATTCTCATACAACTTCTCCAAACTGTTCTTCCTTTGAAGAACAAGTTAGCGAATTTCCTGAAAGATTCAAATTTTACAACCTACTGGAATCATGCAAACTGGATGGCGATTATTATGCAATTATGATTCGGACAATTTAAATTTTTTCCTGAATAACGTATTTGTTAATGTCATCATAAACTTAGATTACTACTAAACTGTACATCACAATGTTGTGCATTAACGTTAAAGTGACTTCCCTTAAATAGCTTTTGGTTCAATATACCAACATCAAAGTGTAACGTTTCAAAATAAACAAATAAAGGATATGATCTACCTTCCCACAAAAAGATTAATCTTGCGTTAAAAGCTGTCAAGGAAAAATTGTTTTGGAGAAACAAGAGTACTACAAGACAATGCCACGCTAAACAATATCAACTCACTAAAATTAAAATCGGAACATTTTATATAAAACGATCAATTCAAATATTTAATTCCAGACAAGTGATTTAAGTTGTTGGAGCGTACGGGTAAAAAGAGTGACATTATAAGATAACACATTTAACACAAGTAGAATTGAATACTTACTTTCATCGATATCTAAAGCAGGAAATTCGTAGATATGCTCACACGTGTTCTTGCTGTTTGGTATACAAAATCCAAAGTTAAAATCGAAGTTTTTTAACAGGCGGTCTCTAAAATAGTGACGTTCTATCATTCGAAAATTGTTGACAGGTTTGTCTCCCACAGTGAATTCGACTCTGAAAATAAGATAAAAAAAAAAACGATATTAGAATATCGGTAACATAAAATAAGGGGGCAAAGTTAATGGAGGGAAATCCGAGCAATCTTAAAAACAATCGACGATTACAGATAGACAATAGGTAACGAGAAAAATTAGACTACGTTTGAACGTTATCCATGCCACTTGAGCTCAAAATATTTTAGAAAAATATATAGGTCGATCGCACCACCAGTATAAGAAATAGATCTCTGTTTTGCCTAATTTCGTTTGCTTGGGCAAAGAAGAAACGAAGAAACTCACGTTGCTCCTACGGTTTTTAACTTCAAAAACTCTGGAGTAAACTTGTATCTGACGAAGCGGCCTGCATTGGGATCCTCGTCATTGTCAATGATGTCTTCCTCAATGTTTTCGGGCTTGGCTATCTCAAACAGTACGTTCCCGGTTTCCATATCGCGGATTTTAAAGCGAGTAAAATCGATGTGGTAAACATTTGCACTGGGTTCACAGAGGTAATCTGCAAATGAGAGCAAGAACGAATACATGTAAATACCTAGTTAACACACGAACGACGATGAAGTTCTAATCATTTCCAGCGTTTATTACTCTCCGGCAATTAATCAACGTTAGACCAAATTCATTGGATCACTAAAGCTGCAAACCGAACAAATTTGTCGTTGCATGCACTTACTTTCTGTGCATTTTCCTAACTTCAAAACGTCATCCGGAGCGACTGAGTCCTTTTTCAGCAACTCTTCCTCTGTAATTGTCTTCTTTGCCTTCGATTGCCGGGCCAAGAAACCGCCACCTTTCTTCTTTGCTCGGCCAGTATCGTCGTTCGAATTGGACGATCTTCCACTCATAACTGTCCAGTTAAAACTACAAGAGTACTAAGCTGTATGCTTACACTAATTACACTGCGTGACCGAAAAGAACAGTTATAAAATAAATTAGTTTCCCCAAAAGAGAAGACACGATCAAACATGGAGGTGTAAGAAAATGCGCTTGTTATGGCCAGCGGCATAAATATGTTACCATAGAAACGAAAACGCAACAAACGCGGAGAAAAAAGAAGTCCACATCCGGTGTTTCAGCTGTTGTCACGTAAAACTTAAAGATCTTTTCCTTTGTAAGGGTAGTACGTGGTGTAAGGTGCCATACTATTACCGAGAAAAAACAGATTCTAGACATCAAGAGACTGGTCCCTTGGCCCTTACGTACTAGTCAGTAGCAGGAGCCGATTGTCAGTAGCCTAGCCACAAGCTGCTCGGCAACTTTTGAGCATCTGTTTGGCAAATTTTGATGTTTGTGGCAACTTGATTGGATTTTAAGCAACTTATGGCAATTAAGAAGTTCTATAATACCGTTTAAGTCTTGTTATGTATGCTTGTAAGAAAATTTCAGTTCTCAACCCTCCCCCCTCAGTTGCAGGACCCACCTTATGAGGTCAGCGGTATGCAAATAAGAATCGAAAATATTTCAGACAGTTCAGAAGAACAACTGAATTTCCATCTCGATTTCTCTTCCTGGAATGAAAACGCTTCTTTCAAAGCAGGAAAATGCACTCGAGAAAACTGTTGAAAACCTAAAATACTGTAATGCTGCGTTAGAATGAGAACCAAGGCGAGGGAGGGCAGCATTTTTTCACACCCTCCCTCTTCCCGTCGCATGTGGCTTGCGCTTCCTGCTCGCCAGTTCTGCAGCCGTTTTGTGCGCCCTAGGGAAGGAAGATGCAAACCGGACTTCCTTCATATGGAAATCGAGCCTACGTCAGTGCCCATCCGCTTGTTGAGATTTCCGGTGGTAGTCGCGGCGTAAGTCATGGCATTTTTGGTGTTAAGCGAGAAGAATCATGGGAAAGCTTCAGAAGCACAGAAGCATGTCGGAAATTCCCATAACCCATCGCGCCGCCACTACGGCTGAATAGGGACCTTACGATCCGACATTGGCGACGTCCATGAAAACGTCGCTGAAAAATAGACTTGGCATCCTTTCACTTTTTTTCGCGATTATTCCAAGGGGCCCAGTTACTTAAAAGAAGGGAATTTAGTTTGGAGCTGAAGAGAAAGGACAGCGCCCGAGTTTTGACAGAGATGGTAGAATTTATCGCCTTCCGGTCCCATTCCCAAGTTAATTTAAAATTTGGTCATTTCACGTCGTAGTTCTTGCAGGCACTGCAAAGAAATGTACCAAAAAGCGTGATGTACGATCAGAGTTGTTGTTTTGCTCATAAAACCTATTTCTTTTTTGACGTTCCCGTTGCCGTCGTCGTTTCGTAAGGTCCCTAACATCCCAGAAAGCGCCAGTGTACTAGGCAGCGATAAGTGCAGACAAGAATGAGAACTTGTCAGCAAACAAACTTGAACACTTACTTCAGGAGCCTGTTGGAAAGCTCCTCTCACCTCGATCGCTAAGGACAAAAGGCAAGGGGGCTAGCAAGGAGCCTTATGACCAAGACATTAATGAATCTGAATTTCCACAGGAATTTATTTAAAACGGGAACCGAAAGCTACTTACACAAAAAAATGCTGAATTACATTTCACTGACACACAAATGAAACTGTTTAGAAGTGATACAACAGTTGGTAAATAACTAAGCAAAACCACTGACTTGGATATCAGTGCCGGATCCAGACCTTAGAGATAAGGGGGGTGGGGGGGGGGACGGTCATCCAGACCTTTAGATAAAGCAGGGGGGCGGACTTTTCGGCCCTTCGGGCCTCAGTTTAGACTAAAAATAAGGGGGGGGGGGGGGCGGGGCCCCCCCCCTGGATCCGCCACTGGATACATCTACGGAAAAAACAGGATAACTTTTGTCTTCCAAAGTATCTTTGCAGAAAAAGAGGGGGAATGAAATAATTTGCCGTCGGTCAGTTACTGCCCTAATAATACGCATTGCTAAAAGCTCTTGACTTTTTACACGGTAAAAGAAAATTTCAACAAATTTACGTACAGTAAGTTTTACAACAAATTTCAAAGCCGGGTTTAGCTCCAACCAAAAATAATAAGACAGTCAGATAAGTGAAACAAAACCATTAAAAATCCGTCGGTTCAGTTTCGGTAGGTTATGAAGTAGCACTTGGTTCGTTTGAGCACGAAAATGAGCCAAGGCTGTTATAAAAGCATTTTTGGGGGGTTTATTTTCGCAAAAAGTAAATATGAAAAAGGAAACTGACAAATCCATAACTGCTCGGTGTGAGGTAGTGGAAAGCAGAGTTATCAAACTTGACTGCAAGAATCCGACCAAAAAACCTTTAACTAACCAAGAAATGTCAGCCAGCAAATCACGTCCTACAATGTCTTCATAAGTTGTTCCGACACGGGTGACTTATGTATTCTTCTTATCTACAAAGACTACGTGATAAGTTCTTCAGGGTAGGCCATGTTGTCACTATGTACGCAAAGGCGTCGGAAATACTGTTACGTTGCGTGACAAGGTATTTGTGACACTCTCACGATGCCACGCACTGTCGTTTTCTACCGTGAGTAGAATTTAAGATGGCGATCAAGGCCAACTGAAGCAATGAATGAAGCATGCTTGCCGAATTTTACTCCAGTCACCACACCAGAGTGTTCTATAGAAAGAAAACAGACAAGTTTCACCATTAAATAACTCAGATTCAAATGTAGCAAAGCATTCCCATGTACTTTAATACTTGAAAGGATTGGGTTTGGTAAATGAAAAGTTTGACGTTTGAGCTGGGCCTAACAAGCAAAACAAAGCAATAGTTTATGATATTAAACTCTGGAATTCCTCATATCTTTCAAAGTCCACTAGATGCTTAGTCTACGTAGCAGGCGTCGAAAGGAGTAGGGGGTAGAGAGGAATGGAAAAAGGGAGGGAGATTCGCGCTTTTCTCCCTCCCCCTTCCCTTTCTGCGCCTACCACGCCGGCTACTAGTTGCTCTGTTTGTTTGTTTTGGCAAGAATATTAATTTAGTTCAGCTCCTTAAAAATAAAAGGATTGGTCCGAAGACTAACATTTTGGCATTTCGTTTTGCTCAAAGCACATGAGGTGATAGTCAATTACTACGGTACGAACTGAAGCATAAAATTCCTCCCACTTCTTCAATGAAAGATTTCAAACGTAATAAACGCGCCACATACCTGCAAATGAGTTGATCATTTCCCACTGTTTAACCAAATATATCCTGCAAAAACAAACAACAGGTCAACAACACTAAATCTGAGGGTGTTTATCTCCTATACTTACATTCTCCTAAACAGCCATTAAATCCTCGCAGGCTCATGCCAACAGTATTTTCTCATACACAACGGGATAAGAGCCATTCCAACCCAACAACGTAACCTGACTTTTAATATCAAGACCACAAATAATTGCTATTACGTTGCCAAAGAGCTACAAAAAAATGGCTGACAAGAAAATGTGAATAGATACCATATAAACGGAATCTATGACACTTTTTCAAATGCTGAAACAATCCAAAATACACATGAAAGGTGTGACAGCTCAGGCAATGGCCGATGGCAACAAAACAAACTAAACTTTGGAACACTATGTGATCCAAAGACCCCACGCATACACTCAAACCTATACTTTCTAGCTGTGTGCAAGAAAACAACTCCTGCTTCACTGGTTCCTCTTTCAGCTGAAATTTTAAGTTTAATCATTATGTTTATTCCTGAAAGAAAAGATCTATGACTTACTGCACTTCAGACCCGCCAACAGCTAGATAGGTACCACTCTGATCAAAACTCAGTGTCTTAACCTACAAAGGAGAAAATTTACAGCATAGACGGTTAGCATAAAATGAGCACAGTGACTAGTTAATACCAAATGGATATTGGTACGTAGTCTCACAACGTCAGAGAAAAACAAGTTGGTTTACATCAGTCTTACAACATACCTCAAATCTGTCCTCTAATGTAATGGTTTTGAAGTTCTTCAGTTTGCGCAAATCCCATAGTTTAACCACTGAATCATCAGCTGAAGTAGCCAAGTAGTATCTTGTAGGAATAGGAAATAATAATATAAAACAATCCAAAAGTTCAGGCTGCACACAGTCAAAAAATGACTTAGCACTAAAATCAATGTTTCTAGCCTGTATAGCAGTCATTTTCTTTACATTTTAGCCAAGCAGGTGAAGTGCAGGAGATATGTGAGAAGGGAGAAAATAAAATTTAATGTTTTGTTGCCCTTGCACGTCTCTCGTGCTTCTCCTGCTAAAAGGAGACTAAAAGGAAACAGAAACAACTTCTAAGGAGGCTTCAGTGTTTTCTCAACACTCACCCATTTTCTGAGAAGGAAATATCTGTAATGGGTCCTGAATGTCCAGGAAACTTAGCGACATTAGCACCTTCCTTGAGATCCCAGATCTTTATCACGCTAGAACATAAGCACAAAATAAGTTAATGACGTAGCAGACAAACAATGGAAACATTCTTGACCCCAGTGCTTACAAATGGAAATTTCCTTACTTTATACAGAGTTCACATTAAATGGAAGTGCACTTTGCTGCTCTAGATTGTTTCAGGCATTCCACTTAAATAATTTGAAACAAATACAGAACAATCCTGATTTCTTAAACCTTTCTTTTTTTAGGAAATTCCGGATAATTTGAATCAAACCAAACTTCCCTTAACCAGTCAAACACTGAGATTTCAACCCCACTTTCTGAGAATAAAACCAATTTGCTTTTCCCATGATGATTAGTAAAACTGGATTCCACTGTAAGACAAAAAGAACATATATAACAGGAATACAACCCCCAACTGGCAGGAGGCAACCAGCTGTCTTATAATTTTACAAGTATGGCCATGGACTGGAAATCATAATGACCAAGAAATGCTGAAACAATGGACTGTGTCTGATAGGTGGGGCACCCAGCCACCTTTCCTCCTGCTGCCTCCTTCATTTTCTCTCCAACTGACAGAATAGAATCCAGAAGTTTTCCAGAGAACAAATGAAAATTTTAGGTTCCACCACATTGCCACTATCACTGTCCCAGACTAGTGTTACTGGTCAAAATTGATTTCAGGTTACGGTAATTTTGATTTAACTTAGGTTGATTCTTAATTTCCTTTGTCCCCTAGCCCTGGCGGACAAAGGAAATTGAGAGTCATCCTGGGCTGAAAAATTTTAACCTGGCCCAGTTGTTCAAAAGTTGATAGCACTACCCATTGGATGAATCACTATCCAAAGGATAAGTGTTAGGGATACCAATAATAATTTACACTATCCAGTGGATAGTGATTTGTCCAGTGGATAGCCTTATCCACTTTTTGAACAACTGGGGCCTGAAATCTAATTTGACCCGTTACATATTGAATACAATAGTGCCAAGAGTAGCTAGAAAGGAGAATATTTTCAAGGAGTTTTTCAGACCCTGAAAAATTGTTCTCGAACTTACAAGAGTTTTTCAGTAATTCAGGGAGGAGTATTTAAAATATAGTATTCATAGTAAGACACAATTATATGGTTGTCAGAAGACGAAACAGACTTCACAAACCTGTCTGCTGTTCCAGTTCCAAAAATAAGACCATCAGGATGAAATTGGGCACAAGTAAGGCCTGCAAGTATGGCAAAAAAGAATTGGAGACTGGTTCAGATTTAATGTGATTTATTTGGTGTACTGCAGAGTTTTCATTGTTGGCCAGTCTGGCTTCTTTATTTTGATATTAGGGTGTTACGATTTTCATTTTTGCAAAAAAATGTTCTGAAATTTCCAGTTATAAGCTATTGCCTCAACTTCATGAAGCAGGAAAATGACTCAGGGTGGTCAGAAAGTTCTGAAGTAGATGGCTGAGTGGTCAAAATAAGCAGCCAGTCCAGGGATATCTATTTTAAAAACACCATACATAAAGAAATGCCAAGCAGAGTAGCCGGCCGATACTAACCAAGTAGGCAGCGAGTTTCACCAGCAGCCGGCTACTTATGACAACCCTGTGACTTTAGTAGATAAGACTCAAAAGAACATATTTTCACTTGTACTGTGAACGTTTCACAGTTTAGATACCAAGGCACATGTTTGGTCAAGCATTTAAGGAAAACAAATTGTAAGGTCTAATATCGATTTATTAATGATGTAAGTAGCAACTTGCTGTCCTAACTGCTCTCAATTGTCAGACTTTGGTTGAAACCACAGACATTTTCCTGAAATTACCAGTGAACGGAGAAAGCCGTAAAGTCTAGTGCAAAGCTTCAAATCTCTGGCTAATCTTAATAAAAGTAGCACCTTCATGCATAGGTGAGAGTCGGGAACCTCAAATAGTTTGGACCATGGGTTGACCACCCTACAAGGATACAGGATACAACTTTAGCTTGAAGGTAGGAACACCCAAATGGTATTCTTCGTTTAAATGTAAGGCAATGGATTAAAATCCTGTCAGGGACTAAGAATTTCTTCTTTGCCTTATGCTTGTAGCATGACAAGTATTAATGTCTTTCTCATTTTTGATATTGAACAAATGTCAGGACACATTTTGTATTTCTTGGTTACCTTGATTGATGTTAGGATCTGAGAGACATCTTGTGAGGACATGTCCAGTTCTGAGATCAGAGAATGCCCAGTATTGATCACCAGAACAGCTAAGAAGGTAGTCACCTGACAAACCAAGTTAACAACAAAATATATCAGCTTATGGTGAGGATAACAACTACAAAGAAAAAGATCTACTGGTAGTAGTGATGAGATTCTGATTTTGTTTTATACTGCTACCGGTTCAATAAACATTCTTGCCATATAAGAATGTAGAAAATGATAAGGGGTGTTATGATGTAATTTCATATAAAATTCTCCCTTTGTTTCATAAGCAAACAGAACACAATTTGGAAGGAAAAGACAGGTCAGTTGAACATCTTGCAGGTGTACCGACTGAGGATCTGGTGCAAGCAGACTTATAAAAATACAGATTCAAAGACAGTATTAGCATTAAAGTAAGCATTGTACTGAGAATTAAGTTACCTGTTGCATGAAGACTAAGACCAGTAACTGCTTGATCATGTGCCTGAAAAACAAGAGTAAAGAGAAAAGAGGTGTTTAAGGTAGAAGGAAAACTTTGCACCTGGTCATTGTAAAGAGTTAAGACTGACAAAAGGAAAAAAAGTAAAAACTTTTCAACATTCAAACCTTTATAATGTGAGAGCAAGATGCTTGTGGAATGGACCACACTCGAATGGTCGCATCTGCTGATCCCGTGAATCCAAGGTCCTGAAAAGTAGCATTCAAACAATTCACTTATGAAAATAAGGTCATTTTCCTGATCGACTAACTCAAACTAGCTGTGTGGAAATACATTTACCATGACAAGTAACATGGTTACCTATAGACCAGAGGTCTTCAGTACTGTTATAAAAAAACTTAACATGGTGATTGTCTTTTTAAAGGCTTAATTCTTTGCCTCCAATTTAGTCTTGATGCCAATAAAGGGTCTATATATGAGGTAAAATGATGAGGCTAAAATTTGATGTGGTGGAGCATCTTACAATTTACAAATAAATCAAATTGATTATTAAAAGGGAACCATTTTAATTAATGATGGTAATGATAAGTATACCTCATGTGGGTGATATAAAACATTTGTAACTTTCTTGGAGTGTCCTTTGAGAGTTGCAATAACCTAGATTACAAAACAATCAAATTAATCAATCTTTCTTGTGCAAGAAAGAGCAAATACAGTGTCTATGAACTTCAAACATTTTGCATGGCAAAGCAACAACAAAGTAAAAAATGAAAAAACTTTGTTACCCAGTATATAATCTAAATACAGCTTTTACCTGTTCTGTGTCACGGTAAAATACCACAGCATTTTTGTCAAGGCCACCTAAGGAAAAGGACAATCAAATGTTATAAACCACTTAAATAGAACATGCACTCCACTAATGTAATAATTTTTGACACCTTATGTACAACCTCTACGTGGACATCCCCAGTAAGTAACTTCCCTTAAGTGGAAACCTCTCCTAAGTATTATATACCAGTAATGTTGAGCTCCGTGGCAATGTGAAACAGATGATACGATAGAAAATTAACTCTGCAGAGATAATGTACCCTTCCTATTCTTTCCTTGCTGCTTTTCACCACCTTAAATTACCCAGAACATTCATTTACATCATAAAAGTGTCATAACAATCATTTAAAATAAATTTGTACAATTATTAACAAACCTGTGATAACTCTGGACGTATCTGCAGCGAACAAATCCAACGCCAAGATTCCAGGATTACTTGCACTGTGAAGACCCTAAATTTTGAAAAGCAATTTAAATTCCTCTAACTAATGCTGATAGTAGCTCAACACATAACAAGAAAAATCAATTTTATTGTAAGAAGCAGAAGACATTAAACCCTTTTAGTCCCAATACTGATAATTGCCAAATTTCTCCTTGTAATAAAATTGCTTAATCAATCAGGGAGGTAATGAGAATTAAGGATATGATCACCCAGTATCAATTCTCAGGATAACTGGACACATTTGTCCCATTACTACTGTAAGCAGATGAGACAAGAAAGGGGAAAATTTATTTTAATATTTGGTGCTGTAGGGTTTAATGTGCTAAAATTGCTGAGTGATTTATCAGCAATGTTTGGATTGGCAGGATTTTGTTTTTAACTTACTGCATGTGAGGAGATGGGTTTGTAAGATCTTATCTCATCCACTGTACTCAAGTCCTCTGGAACCTTCTTGCCTCTCTACAAGGAAACAACATTCAAACACATTTCATAAGAGGTTCTGTTAAGATCTTGAACTCATGGCTATGATGCTACATTTCTCGAATTTCCGTTTTTCATAATTAAAAACTCTGTTTCCTAGCTATCAAAGCAGACCACTTAGATGGGTACTTGTCTGGTTGCAAACAAGTAAACAGGATAAACTTGTAAGTCATTATTGATATTTGGCTGTCACTGAAGTTTTTAAGTAGGCCAAGTTGAGTGTTTTCGCCAACTAGCTTGGGCTTACATTTCTAATATCTTCACAAAATCCAACCCCATCAAGACAGCCCAGTGTGGAGCCTTCTTTCCATGATTTGTAAACTACAGAAAAGATTTTAAAGCCAACCTCAACCAACGCACCACCTAAACTGATTTCTTGTCAAGGTTGTGCTCTAGCAGTGCCCAATGGCCTCTGGGGTCTAACTTTTGCTCCAGGGCAAACAGAAAATCTTAGGTTCTTCATAAACATCATATACTGGCAGCCTAAATTTTACAGGTTCAAAGTACCAGGCTCCTGTCAGTTTTTCTTAGAACACAGCCTTGATTGGTTAAGAAACCGTGGTCATCCATTCATGGTGGGGTTGGGGGAAGGAAACAGTCACTCTGAAGGTAATATTTCCCACCTGCTTACATGAAACTGTCAGTGGAGACAGTGATTGTAAGCCATTATTTCTCGCATCCATAGGATACCAGATTTTCTTACCAAGAGGGATTCACACAAGCATGACGCAGGGCAAAGCTCTTTTATTTCCTCTCAATGTGGCACTTACCTTCTTACGTTCAGCAGTGAGGAGAGTAGCCTTATCTTGCAGCTGTAGAAATGAAAAAAAAAACCAGCAACAACAGCTTAGTATTACTTTGTATATAACAAGAGAAGAATGACAAAAAAAATGGAGACAAAATTAACATCCAAAAGAAAACGACCTTAGCTAAAATATTCTAAAGAAATATGTCAAGCAAACATACCTTCTGTAAAACTTCCTCTGTCATTCCCTCTTCTTCTCCAGGCTAAAAAAGAGTGACAAGAATAATTATGACCGCAATCTTAAGACACCGAACACTATTTGTGAAAACGCTTTAAAAACTAGAGAGCAAAAATCATGAAGACAGTAAAGAAAGTTATAAACCTCTTTTAAGAAGAGAAGGTCTAAAGATTCTTTGTAAAAAAAAGACATGTACATGTACCTGTCCAGCAACCTCCATTGCCTCTTCCATCTACAAAAAAGCCAAGAAATCCAACTAGTTAATAACTTGGAAACCAAGCTTCATGGCTAAAGTCTAACCATAGAAAAATGTCACTCTGTTTCTCTCTTGTAACTTCAAAGCTCCGTTCTCTTCTATTTAGCTCCAGCCTAAGTTCCTTTATATTGAGTTCCCAGTCTAGGGTATACCAAAATTATAATAGCTTAATATAGAAGTGAAATCACTGAATCAAACTCATGAGAGTTGAAAGTTGACAACCATAAACTCTTTTGGTGTGCATATATCAAAATCTTGTTTGAAATAACACTGCTGAGCACATAATGACTAATTTGCGCAGTCACAAAATATGAATGGAGGTGATAATAATCATTTTGTTATGAAATTCAAAAACTGAAAACATGAACATATATATATATTTGTAATAAGCCCACCGTCTAGCAAGAGCAGAGGGCCCCCAGAGGGCTGAATAGAGGATCAAAATACTGTCAGTATAACCATAAAATATACAGTAGAATTTCCATGGCTAAAACTTTTCAGTACCTTCCGAGGAGCAACATATTCAAACAGCTTGCACTGCTTTACTTGACTGTTCAAGTTAATGCTTGATACAAAGTTTTCTGTTAGTAGTAGGATGATTTAGCAGCAAAACAGGAACGTCAGTTGACGACCGCGAGCACAAATCAAACAACTGACTTGACCAATGACAGAGCAGCAAATTGGGCACCTGAAGTCGTGTTTAGTCCTTTCCGCGCTCTTTCCCCTCGTCAACTGGCCTTCCTGTTCTGTTGCTAAATCAGCCTAGTAAGTTAGCGCTTCCTACCTGTACTGGTGTAGCTGCGGGAACACTGACAGCCATACCTGCCTGGGGTTTGAGTGTGGCCAAAGCTGGTGTTAAAGAAAAACTTTATTCAGTTTTGATATTAATCTTCATTGATGCATCAATTGGCTACATTCAGACTAAATGAGCAGCAAACTGGTTTGACTTATCACTGCAAAAACTCTAGGGATTGCTTGGAGGGACAGGGTCATTCTGAGTGAAGATGACATACCTGGTGATCAGAGTCTTTAGGAATTCTGTAATAGTGAAGAAAAGTTGCATTTCTGAATCTGTTATCTCATTTTGGAATACAGCAGTTGTAGTGCATCATGTTTGTTGACCTTCATGCTGCACCTCCAAACCATGCATCCCAAGAAACTTTGCAGTTGCACATCATACCCAGTTTTTCACTCATTTAGAACATGGTGAATACTATCTGAATTTAAATAACATTATTAGTAAAGGTAAAGTACCTTCACGGGCAGCAGTAACTTCCTTAGTCAAACGAGCAATAACACGACAAGCAGCATCATGCTGGTACAGTGCGTGAGACAACTCTGAAACAAGGAGAGCAATTGCACAATTAGGTACAATTAGCCAAATGTAGATTACAGTTGAAGCTCTCGTAAGTGACCACCTCGGAAATTTGAAAACCTGGTCGTACCTAGAGCTGGTTGCCTACGACAATGAGCTCTGATAAGCAACCGCAGGGTAAACAATAGAGGGTGGTCGCTTACGAAAGCTTCAAAAACTCATAAATAATTCATAAAGGAAAACAAAGGAAATTTAAGTTTAATGAGTGTCTTTACATCTGACATAGACATGGCTAAAAAATACGTGCAATTGGTCGCTAGGGAAATGACCTTGAACTTTCACAAATACAATACTGAACTGTGCAAGATCTTTATCAATGAACCTTTAGCGCAGTGCGCAGTTTCATTAACATGGCAATTTATGAATAAGACTCTGAGTGGTCATGCACTTACAAGAGCTTAAAAACAACGGAAAAGTCCAGTTGTGTAATTCCAAAAGTGGTCGCGGTCCCTAACAGGAGCGGTCACTTAAGAGAGCTTTCATTACACAGTTGGAGTCACAGTTCAAATGGGGTTTCACAAAGGTGGTTGTAACTAGAGCTGGTCACTTACAAGAGTGATCGCAAGGAGAACTTCGACTGTATTGTACTTTTAGAAATTTAATTTCATTTACCGTAGAATTCCGAAAATAAGCCCCTCCATGTATAAGCCCCTCATATAAGCCCCCCAAACTCATAACGCAAAAATCCCTCTGTTTAATCACCCCTCTGAATATAAGCACCCCGGGGCTTGTACTTGGAAATTGCCCTCAAATACAGAGTAAAACAAAGCAAAAAAGGTAAATTTCCTTCCAACTATGGGCTAGCCCAATCAATTTTGAAATGCAAAATTTCCCTCCGTACATAAGCCCCTCCAAAAATAAGCCTTTCAAAAAGGGTCTTTGAAAAATATAAGCCCCGGGGCTTATTATCGGAATTTTACGGTATTATAAAGCGAGAAAGACATTACAAAACAAATCTGATTCAGATTAAAGCAGCATAAAACTTAAATAACTAACCTTGTCTGGCTGTTTGAAGCTGTTGTCTCAAAGTAAAACTGTGCAACATGCAGGCATCCTGAGGAATACAAATAATCAACTACAATCAGGTACAATAGCCCTCAAACTAGACTTCAGACAAGCTACATGATGGGAAAATATGGAACCACTTCAAGAACAAGTTGGAGATTTTCTTTATTCTTTTGTTCCTTTAACTGTTTTTATGTAATAACTAAAATTACTTAACAGTTTCATGATAAAATCCAAACATATGTTATCACCATTTCAAACACTGTCGGTGAAAAAATGATCATGTCCAACTTATCACAATTTGAATGACAGCAAGGTTAGAGATCAGCTACAGTTAAAGAACTTTGCATCATCACTTACCTTATAGTTAAATATGGTCTTTATTGTAACCAACAATAATACCATCAAACAATATATATTATAGCAGTGCACGAAACAGGCTGATTGCCTGGCTTAACAGTAACCACATCTGCAAACATCGGTACTTACCCACTCATCCTGAAGAGCTTTCAAGATTGCTGGAATACTGGTGGCTGAAGGAGGCCTCGGTTTTACAAGAGGGTTTACTGAAAGGGGAAAAAAGGATTTAAACTTTACCCTTAAACATATTAAAGTGATCACAATATAATAATAGTTCTACTTATTACTTGTAAGGTCAGGGGAATAAAGGAAATGATCTCCAGTAGAAGTAGAAAATGACTTGATTGTTGAATGACTTTATTTCTTTCATTTTCCCTTTTTAACATGTTCATTTTTATACAATGTCAAACCCAAGAACCGTAGAAAATAGAAAACTGAACCACAACAGATACAAATACAATTTAGACCAGTCTTGTAAAGTCAAACCTAGCCTCTTCTTTGTTTAGCATACCGAGACTGTGTGAAGTTTAATCTCTTCAGATTAACAGGACTCTCAAGGAATGTTGTCTATGATATACAAATGTGCAAAAAAAAAAAAAAGAATGATTGTATCTAAGGACGTAAAAAGATGCATTCAACAAGGGAATAACAAGTGAAGTCTTAAAAGGGCTGAATGATAGCTATTACCCAATCTATCTGTTTTTAGGTGTTAATTAAGCAATTTTGTTTAAAAGGAACGCATCAGTCTATAATTATCGTACCTTTAATATCAATGAGCTGCTCCTCTGAAATAGGTTCCCCACTGATGGGATCAGTTCCATTTTCAGCGATATATTTTTCAATCAGCCGTCTCTCAAACACACAGTTAGATGATGGTGAGACACATGGGTGTTCTGGAACCTCATTGCTAACTATACAAAACATATTATAAAAATATAATATTTAAAGCAATTATCATATTAAACCATGCAACACACATATTATTCCAAACAGTAAAAACTGCTGGAAACAATAGACTAACTCAAAAAATCACTTGGGGTTCCATGTTTGAAAATCTTACCAAAACACTATAATAGCATCATAGTCTTGAGATGCTGACAAGAGATCAACGAGTGCACAAATAACATACATTAACAGTTGTATGGATACAAATTGATGGCAGTTGTTGCCTTTATGTCAACCAAAGAAACTCTATTACTGACGAAGTGTTTTAGTTTGTTTTACACTGTCAATTAAAAAAGTAGATCTAGCGGATAACTGAGCCCAGTTGCTGGAAAGCCACTTATAAGAGCTAACTAACCCTGAGTTGTCAACTTAAACTAGCAGAATTAATTAGGCCTTGTATTAGAGATCAAGACTTTGGCCTCAGCAGTATTTTGAAAGCTCCAATAATTTCGTTTGAAATTAGCTTATCTCTGAGTAAAAATTGACCATAATTATGTGCAACTAGAGAAAAATTTTTAAGTTTGGTCGATCGCCCCTTGGAGACCACGTGAAGAAATATTTAAGTCAATTTCGGGCCCTACTGACATTGTCTGACAGTATTTTCTACGATGGAACAAACTGAAAGGGATCAAATGGCTTAGATATTATGCCATTTAATACGTAACACTTTCAGCAAAATTCACAGGTGACACTCGATCCTTGATAGATTAAACCGCTAAGAACGAGCACGCGACTTTCCAACGCAAATGACAACAACATTAGTTAGCTTGCAGTGCGAGATGTAAGTACGATCTGTTACATCAGTCGACAACAACTATCAAAACACTTGGAAAACGCCAGAATTTGGCAATCAATGGTTCCTACAATGAGGTTTTAAACAATGTATTGAGCTGTAACTTACTTGAACAGAAGAGCGCCATTTTGTTTCCTCGCAAAGCATGCGTAACAGCAAGGGATTATGGGAAGAATCTTGACCAGCTAATGCACAGGCAAACCAACTAACGTGGCAATAGAGTAGTCTTAGACATAAGCTATGGAAAGTTGCTTACTGGAATGTCAAATAGTTGCTAAAAAATTGCCAAAAATCCAGAAGGTTGCTAACTAAATTTCAAAAGTTGCTACCTAAATTTATTGATAGTTTTTGAATATGAACGTTCATTAAAAGCTTTGCTTTCCATTCTTCACAATAATTGTTGACATCGTTCAAGAAAAATTGCTTGAAACTAGCCTTTAAATAGTTGTTCGCAAATATGGGTTAAGCTTACCCTCTAGGCTGATAGATTAACTTAAGAAATTCGCATAACTTGAATTTTTCTGTGAACTCGTTGACTTTTTCTTTTTCTAAACCTTTATTTTGCTCAAAAATTGCTCAGAAAGCTGACGTTGCTCGAGGTTGCTAGAGCAGCGAAAAGAGTTGCTATGGGCAACGCCAAAAGCTAGTTTATCAAAAGCTGCCGAACGCAATAGGGACAAGCCGACATTTAGGTCATTTAGACCTTCAACAATGGTTGCTATTGTGCGTTAAGTTTGGTCAGAAGCATATAACCACAAAATGCTTCTGGTTTGGTCGATAAGTATTAATCTATCCGGGGGATCGTGCGGTCAGAAATGACTCAATATAAACGTGGAACAATGAAAGGCAAGACAGAATCACCTGGATAACCCCCTTCTCCCCTTCCCCCTAGCAAAATGGAAAAAAAAATGCGTTTTAATATCAAATCGCAGTATGCGAAAGCTTTTCAACAATACTTCGATTTTATATTGGTTTTAGTGATGCTTCTCGGCATTCATTAACTTCACGTGGACCAAGAAACAGGGTCGGCCAGGGTTTTGGGGTATGCGGTATACAGGGGCTTTTTAAATCGGGTGTACGGTATATTGCAGCTTAAATACGGGTATTCGGTATATCACTTTCTTTGAATTTCAGGTATAAAGTATACCTGGGTATAATTTTGGGTATATTTGGATGAATTTTGGGTAATTTGGCGAATTTTTTTCGGGTATACTGGTATACCACTCCCCCCCCCACCCGGCCGAACCTGAAGAAGCTGAGATCAAAGTCTCATGCTAATCTCGTACCCAGATCTCCCACGGCCACTTTTCAGTGTAAAAACAGAGTGAAGATCTGGGTACGAGATTAGTCTCATGCAAGCGAGGAGATCATGATGAGAATGAATGAAGCGAACAGCGTGTTACTGATGAGAAAGCGTCAGACCCCGTGCGATTATTGGTACCGGTCCGAGGAAGATTGATAGGATGGTGTGATGGCCGATAGGTTGTTATGGAGAAAACCACTTTATTCGATTGGTGAAGGTCTTCTACGTTAGAAAAAATATTCATGATTATTTGCACTTTAGCTATAAGAGAATAAAGTTAAATAAAATGTCTAAAATGTGAAGGAGTTACACCACTTCCACTCCAGCCCCTGTTATGAGTTCTCTTCCCTGGGGGCTGGAGTTTTCTTCCCCGTGCGGCGGGATGCTTCGGTGTCAGCCATCCGCCCTGGTGTCAGCCGCCGGCCAAAGCCACGACCGGCGAAGAAGTGAGAAAAAAGTTCTGCATATACACCGGCTTTTCACGCAAGAGCTAAAGGAACTTTTTGGCTTTTCAACATCCACAATCAGTCGCCTGCGCATGCGTGGCAGGCGCTAGGAAATAATGGGGTTCTTTCTTGCGCCCATTATTTCCTAGCGCCCGCTACGCAGCCTATAAAATTAGTGGAAATATTCACAGAAACTCACAAGTTCACGAGTCCTGTTCCAGTTAAGCCGCTCTGATTAATTCGCCTCAAGAGATTCTTTATGATCTCTTGTTAGCCTATAATTTTGGATAAAATAGTCAGCTCTCGCTTTGCTAACACCGCGCTAATACAGATACCCCAGATAATACGGAGAGGAGCGAAATCCCCGGAAAGTCTTACAGTATCTCCTTAACAGAGGCTTTTTCTCCCGCATGGCCGCGGATGTTTCGGAATCGGCCGCGTGAAAATGTCTCTGAGACAAACTCCCACTGTACACACAATGGGCTTCGCTATTACGGACGTACGGACACTTATTTTAGGTTCCGAAATCACAGTTTTATTGTTTTAACTCTCTTTGTAAGAGACACCACGTGCCACCTTTCAACAAACAGATACATTTTTCATTCAGTGACACAGGCGGTTCTCGGAAGAAAAATTCCGAATCACTCTCAATAGGAATCGAACCTGTAACCTAGTCCATATGCTCTACTACTAAGTTCGTGTCACATTCGTCTTTTATCTAGCCTGCGGGGGGACAAACTCTCCCTTTTGAGGTACTGTTGGCGGTTTGTGAGTCTGGGCGATTTTTTGCGAGTCGGCCCCAATGCCCACCTTCTGTAGCCACATGCACTGAATGAGGCTACCTCACAACTTAATTCAAGTATAATGAATGCGTTCTTGTGATGTACATGATTGGAGCATTTTAAGAGCATAATCGAGACAGGCCTAATTCCAATAAGTCATAAGTGGCTGGCTATTATCCAAAAAGAAAATACTGCACACATGATGAAATGGCGTTCAAAACTCTTGGAAAATGTTGACACTCACGCACAAAAACTTGTGGTGAAGATTCAACATTCCCGTTCATAGATAATACGACATTAAGCCTGTTTTAAGAGAATGATGGTAGCTGTACTGCTGTAGTTTCGTTTTCAAACCTAGATTTAATTTCTCAAGTTCTATCGTGAGTCTGAGCTGGCATAGGACTACTTTAAATTAACTAATGAATATCAAACGGTCACAAACCTTTCGTGCAGGAGAGAAACTATAATGACCATTTAATACGAGAAACAAAGCAAAAACACACGACATTGTTAGACGATCCTGGAAAAAACACAAACACACACACCCACAAACAGACAAAGAAAGTATTGTTAATGGCTAGGACTTTTGAAAGAACAATGGTTGACGCTAAGACGAGAGCAAGAAGGGTATGTCGAGGTAATTCCGACAAGCGACATGACTAAAAAGTAGCGGTAGCAAGTAAATGAAATCCCGACAAAAGACAAACTAAGAAAAAACGAAAATATCCGCGTTTTTCAGTTTAGAATGCCGATCGGTTGGACATAAACTGCCTGCACGATCGATAACATGGTTGCAGCGTTACAAACTTCAAACTCACCTTCCTGTTTCCAGTCAGCTTGTTAGGGCAAAGATTCTTGTGTTTGGGGACTAGTGCATCCTTGTCCACATCCCTGTCTGTCCGCCCATATTTTCTTGCTAAGATACGCATAAGGCTCAATTGCAAATAAGAACGTACGAAAACGCAAATAATAAAAAGAAAAACGCTTATAAAAATGATAAAAAGCAAGACAAAACAAAAATAAATGGTAAATAATGGGGAAAAATGCAAATAAGAAAAGAAAACGCAGCTATGAACCCAGTCTGACACCAGCCGAAAAGCAAATAGAGAAATTGAAGAAAAAAAATTAAAATAGAGAAGAAAAGCCGTTTGCTTTAGCCTGCGTAGGAAGCGTTTCTGTGTGGTTTCGGAGCAAAGAAAGACTGAACCACGAGGAACGGGAATTTCGGTTCCGGGACCCGTTTCTCGAAAGGCTCGGTAATTATTCGGGCCCGAAGGCAAATTCTAAAATCAAAACCTGTTGAATAGTAGCACAGTTCCTAGCACACAGGTCACTTTTGCTTCGTTAACTGATGATACGGTTACATCGTATTACCGAAAAGTTACCGGGACTTTCGAGAAACAAGCTCCTGGCCGCGGAAAAAAGGATCGAGATCGAAGTATAGTAACATGTTATAGCTGACACTACAGCTGCCCCAGCTGTGAGGAGCTTGATTGTGTGTTTTACTGTAGACCACCTGCATATTTTGACTGTACGTTCTTCGTTATAACAGCACGGACTACAGTGATGCCTCCTCGGAATTCTGGGTAAATCACATATTTTTCTTTTTAGAATAAATTACAAAAGTCCCTTGTTCGTGTGTTCAGGAGTCCATTTCTCGAAAATCCTTATAATTACCGGGACGGAAAGTTGTTTTGTTTCTAGATTTTTATTTCAAAATATTGCTTTGGGCCTGTAAAGGTAACAGGACTTTTGAGAAATGGGTCCCAAATATGATAAGATAAGGTATAAAGAAAAAATCATATTGCATCATGAGCAGTTTCTGGGACTTAACTAGCTTATGCTTTCCTTTGGTCCTAGTCACATGGGTAGACACAGACAAAACAATAATATCACTATGTGCACAACTCAAAAACATTATTTTAATCATTTACAGTCTATTTTGGTGTTTTGAATTCACATCGCTTTTGTATGTTTACAGCAGCTATAATTTACTCTTATAATACAAAACAGTTGATGTAGGTCTATCAGTTTAATTTCTACTTAAGCTTACAATATTGTTTTTGCAATGAATTACCTTTGAAATCACATGCAACTTAACACCAGAAAAAACCTAAACACTCTTTTTCTATCTTACATGCATATTTATAGGTTCAGAAGAAATACTTGTGCACTAGGATTTGTGACATTGATTGTAAAAAGAGAAACTGTTAAAAGACCATAACAAAATTACTAAAAACCTTCAATCATAACAAAAAATCATCTTTAGTCTGCCTCCATTACAGAACTTGTCGTTGTGAATTTATCAATGTATTCTGTACAATACAAACAATGATGAAGAGTGTAAAACTGTTTTTCTTACTGAGAGGATAAAAAAAACATCTTGAAAACTAAGGTTATGCACACTATTTACAAGAAAGAATGTACATATTATTTTACACTGAAATTGCTTTTCCTAATACCCTCACTAGACATTTACATGGCAACAACATGCACCCCTATTAGTCTGGTCCATTTTGCTGCTGTGGCTGCTGCCTGTGCCGCCATCCCTTCTCTGGCGAACTTAATGGTGACACAATAATTTTTCCAACATCCTCTACTGCCACAGGACCATCTCCCTCGGGGGCCACTGTGTAAATAGCTGCAGGTACTCCCTGGGAGGAGTGACCCCGCGTCATCTGTACTCTTCCAGTATATGGAGGTTTTGGTGTTGTTGAAAGTCTTTCATTTGCTGAAATTGGAGGTAAGGGTTCAGGAGCAGCACGTACAACAACTTGGGGTTCAGGTCTAGTGCCAGTTTTCAGGAACTCAACATAATCATCTGGTAAAGGCTTGTCCCTCCCTGCAGATCGCTGCAAAGCTCTAGAAATTCCCAAGCCTGGTCTTGAGGGTGATGAAGCTCGTTTTGAGCGTAGGGGCATTCCTGTACTTGATTTTACTGGAGAAACATTGAGCTGAATCTCATTTGGAGAAGCCTGTATCCCCACAGCTCTTGAAGTCTTCATTTTGCTACTTAATGCCTTAACATCCTGTGAAGCTGGAGATGTTACAGATCGTCGATAACGTCGGTGTGCATTAGAAGGAGTACCCTCAGATGGTGGTACAGGTGTCCTTGAAGGTGGGGACGCCTCTACCTGAGATGAAATATGGCCAGTAGTGGCTACACTTTGAGCTGCTGTTTCCTTTGCTTCATGTGATATTTCTTTAGCATTTTTGACACTTGATGGTCTGCTTTGATTACGCCTTCCAGACTGACGAAGTTTATTACTATGTAGTTGCGAAGTCAGATAAGCAACAGTGTCCGATTTCTTCTCCAGTTCCTTTACTACCACAGCCAAATTAGATTCCTTATCAGAAAGATCTTTCACATACTTTTGGTTCAAACTTTTTAACTGTCCTTCAAGTATGACAATCCTTTTATTCTTCACTTCAATGATCCCTTTAAGTTCCACATTCTCAGTTTTTAACTCATTTAAAATCTTTTCTGACTCATCTAAACTCTGCTTGACTTGTCCTGTAAATGAAAATAAAAAAAAATTCAGTTTAGCTGTTAACATCTACATCAAACTCTTAAAGTATATATGTCCCTCGGATGAATTTCAAAACTCTTATTTCCAGGTATTGAAGGGCTAACCACGTAGTTTCGTACGGCATTTGCCCTTGTTTTTGTTGGAGCTGAAGTTTCAATCCATCTTTCCGTCATTTGTTGCCAAAGAATGTCCTCTGAAAGAATTTTCCCTAAAAGGGCCTCTGAATTTAATAAATTTTAATTGTAACAATTTGTCTTTAAATTTGGGATCATACATTAAATTTTGTCATTCAACATATATAAAGTAAAAACACTGATACTATTTCTAGTGTACAAAAAATTGCGGTTTCTTGAAGTACTTATGAGGCCAAAAAAAATGTATCTTACAGCCACGTTGTTGAATAATTAACAATTAAAAACCCAAGGAAAATCTATCCGCTCTAAAAGATGAATTGGATGCAATAGACGAAGGTTCTTAACAAATTAAAGTAATACTTCCCAAAAAACATGGATGACAAAGAGATAGAAATTCAAAAAGTATAAATGAAGATCTCTCACTCCGGAATAAGTACAAATACAGTAAATCACAAGTTCATGCATTCTTAAAGAAAATGTTTTTCCTTCGAAACCGGTTCACTAAAACATTTTTCGCCATTAAATTCAAGTCGAACTTTCAACACTTTTACACTACTTTAACACAAGAACTAAATAAATAGATATATTGAAACTAAAAATTCGTTGGATTCTTCACGGGACGGAGACTTAATTGATTTCAAAAATATATTTTGGTATTTGGATAATTTTTTAAAAAAGGAAGGTAAAACATCTGTTCGCCTTTGTACCCGCGTAAATAATATTAAGCTTACACTGAGAATATCACACGGAGAATCGAACGTCGCTGGAAATCATCCAAAACTTACCCTCATCTCCGCTAGAACTGGTAGCATTCATCGCTAATTTGAAAGTCAGTTCTAAAAATTAAAAAATAGAATGTTATTCTCACGAAATCAAACGGGAGTTTACGAGTAAAAATGACCCATACCTCCGCATTTCTTCTGAAGTTTATTGATTTCAGCGTAGAGGCCTTGCAGCGTTTTCGCATGTTCTTGTTGCATAAAAAGGATAGAACTTTCTGCATTTTGGAGTTGTACGCGAGCCTGAGCTAGCGTTCCCGCCATTCTGAATACCACCCTGCGATCGGCAGCGATGAAAACGAAGAAATCAATATAAAAATCCCAACCCCTAACTCAGTTGACCATAATTTCAATATGGCTGCTTCCCCGTTGCCACGAGCAGCAGAATCCAAATATTTCTCGAAAAAACCTTGGCAAACCGGTTTCGTCACAATAAGCTCTTTACGTCATCATTTCCTTGTAAATGAACATTTTTCATTGGTTGGCGTAGGACCGACCAATCAAAAGTAATAATCTATCGTTTCCATCTCTCTCGGCCTAACAGGCGCGGTCCCCAAGGCAGGCGGGAAAGTTAGTGGAGTGACGGCATATTTTGATTCCATTTTTCGTTTCGTTGCGCCGTTTTTTTCCCTTATGGGATGGCTACCGCTTCCCAAACCAGCGGTGTGGTAGTTTGGGAATGGGAAGAACGAGTAAATCTCTGGATTCCTTACGAATTGAAGGCTGTTCATCACTTAGAGAGGAGCTACTTAAGTATCAAACGAAGCACGTCCAAAAGGGTACCTCCAGTCAAGTTGGGAGATTGTTCCAGTGACTTAAGTGTTTATGAAGTTGATTTGACGAAAAACGAACAACGGAATTTGGAAACAGGTAAAAATCGTTGAATCATACATTTTAAATACAGGGTAATAGAGGAAAGGTGAAAAACTCTGAGACCGTTAGCAAAAGGCGGAAGTAATAAAGTAGGGAAATGTGACGTCATATTTGTTTTTGTTGTTGTTGTTGTTGTTTTTTTTTCCTTTCCTTTTTAAGTTGTGTACAGTAGGGTTATATGTAAGCTTGTGCTTAATGATATTCTTATGTCCTTTTTTACATTGTAAAGCGCTTAGAACAGCGATGTATAAAAGCGAAATAAATTCCATTATTATTATTATTATTAATTTGTGAAATTATAGGTTACCTGAGATATTTAGAAAGAACAAGATGAAAATGTCCACTTGTCGAAATTCAGCCGATTAGAGCATATTGCTATTAAATTTAAGGTACACTCCAACCCAATTGTAGAAGGATCTGTATGGTTGGAGTCATGCGAGCATAACATTTATATCTCACATACAATGTTGAAACCAGGTTTGGTAGAGAGAGGTTCTGGTATCCACTAGGCCTATGCAGAAGATTCACTTATCATGCAGTCTCTAGGGAGAACTGCATGACAAACTTTAAAACAATGCAGCTGAGAACTTGAAGATGCTTTCGGCTGTCACTGTTGCCTTAACGTGTTATTAAACCTTTTAGATGCCATTATCAATAGTAAGAGTGACATTTTGGTCTTTGAAGAATTTAAAACTATAAAATTGATGCAATTATCTTTTAGTCTTTCATTTATTGCATACAAGTGGTCATGTCCTTAATTTAACCCTTTACTACTACAAGGTAATGGGCCCCAACCCCCCATCTTCCTGAACAATTATCAAGGATCTAAGATGGCTGTGATACTTAATCAAAACATGCATGCTCAGTGGATTTCAGAGCCTTGTTTCACACAATAAACTACACAGACATGAAGCCAAGAAGTCATTTTATTAGTCTGAAGAATTAGTTAAGACAATCATCCCTGCATTCACAAGATATTTAAGATAATATCCCAAGTAACGAAAAAAATTCAAATTTGCTGCCATTCGCAGTGCCTGTTGTCAAACTTTGAATGAGAATTTATTTGCAATCCATCATAATATAGCTTACCTTTTTACAAGAAAACAAGGGACATTTTTAGAAATATAACAAACATGCCAGATTTGTTTCCCTCCATACAAGCTGAAACATATTGATTTGGGGGTACAGCATGGTTCAGTTTGGAACCTTGTTCCATCTTCGCTTTTGCTTTCATTGCAAGAAACCATCGATCATTGGTGTTGGTGTGTGAGGTAAAGTTTGAAATCAAGTGTTTTGCCCTTCAATCCAACACGTTCTGATTCAAGAACAAAATAATTACAAAAAATACATTAAAAAGAAACCAAAATATGTATCTATACCACTTTTTTGATTGCCACCCCACACATATAAAAAGAACGAAGCTGATCAGCACAATCCATGTCACCCATGTGAGAATTTTAAACATCTGAAGTGGAAACTAATAATAACAATTTTTATACAGGAAGCTCACTTCACAAAGAGTGATTAATTCATTGAGGTCCTGTAAAACAATAGAAAAATAAATGAGCTTAGATAAATGAATAAGTAATAGTAATAAGTAAGAAGTTAAGAACTAAAAACCTAACTTATACAAGCTGGAGGTTAAAAATGTTAAAATGTCCATTAAAATATTAAAAGCTATAAAATATCTAAAATATACAGCTTTTAATGTTCTGTTTAAAAAAAAGAAGAGAGTTAATTTCTTTAAAAGATGCGTCTAAAATGTTCCATTCCTTAGCGCATTGATAAAAAAGTCTGCTTTCCGTAATTCCTTTTAGCGAGAGGAAGACAGAAAGTGTTTCTTCTTCTAGTCTTATAACTCTGGATGTTTGAGTTTCTCAAAGTATTAAAATTGTGATCCACAAGTCTGTGGATGTACTTAAAAGTGGTAATGTATCTACGTACAAGGTGCTCTTGAGATAAGGTAGGCCATCCGAGAGTGGTCGATGAAGCATAGTTGGGCAAATCAAGGATAACTTTGGTAGCCTTATTTTGCAAGACCTGTAAATCATGCGTTAGTGTAATATTATCTCTGTCTCCCCAGTTAGTATCAGGGAACTCAAAATTAAGGCATTGTATAATGCAACTCACGCATCCAAAGGCAATAGAGGTTTGATACGATTTAACAAGCCACTTCTTTGATTTACTTTTGCAATCAGTGATTCAATATGGTCATTCCAAGTCAGGTTCTTTTGAATGACAGCACATTGTAGATACTTGATTCAATCTTCACTCTCAAGGTTTTTGTGATCAATGACAAGCTTGATACCTTGACAGGTTTGCAACCTTCTATCACCACCAGACAATGCAAACTTCGATTTCGATGTATTTAAGGTGAGATAGTTGTTGTTAAACCATTTGGCAAGATTGTTAAGGTCCGCATTCAGCTGGTATTCAATGTTTTGACAGGAATTTACACTGAAGTAAATCACTGTGTCGTCGGCATACATGACTACCTGGCAATGCTCTAAACAGTTGGGAAGGTCGTTAACGTATAGTGGAAAAAGAAGAGGCCCAAGGATGCTTCCTTGGGGTACCCCAACAGGAACCTTTTGTTTAGTCGACTGGCAGTTTTCAACAGATGTGACTTGATACCGACTTTCAAGGTATGAGGCAAACCACTTCACAACTTGAGAGCTAGCTCCAATGGTCTTAAGTTTTTCAATAAGAAGCACATGGTCCACTGTATTGAGAGCCTTCGAAAGATCTAAGAAAACTGCTCCATTGAAGCTGCCTTTATCAAGACTAGTAGTATGTTGTCTGCAAAATGAGCAAAGGCAGTTAAAGTTGAAAGTTTAGGGGGGAAACCAAATTGATTTGGAGTAAGTAATTTACTCGCTGATAAAAACTTGTACAGCTGTTGGTGCACAGCCTGCTTTAGGATCTTGCTAATGGTTGGGAGTACTGTGATTGGCATGCAGTTGTTACCATCGGTACGATCACCACCTTTGAATAAAGCAGTCACCTTACTACATTTCCAAATCGATGGAAAAGTGCTTGCCTCAAGTAACAGGTTAAAAAGTCTGATCAGTATAGGTGCCATGCATTCAGCTGAGTCCTTCAATAGTCGTGCTGGGGCGATCCAGTCCTATAGCTTTGTTAGTTTTTAAGGTTTTCAAAGGCTTGAGAACAAAGGATTCTGTGATACTACAAAAGGAAAGCGATTTATTATTGCCATTCCATCGCAAAAAGGTAGGTGAGAAAAACTTTCTGGAATTGCTGGCTATAAGCCGGAGTTCATCACTTGCGACTGAGTTGTTGTCGCTTTTACTGTCTTCAGACTCTCTTTCGCTACTTTCCTCCTCACAAAATTCTTGCACTTCGATGTCAGATAAGTCTATCAACATTCACATCACTAAAACTTAAATTACTCTTACTATCATTGTCAGAACCAAAAATCGCTTTGATTCAGTGGCAGCAATATTGATAAACAAAGATAAAATACAAATCTAAAGCATGTTCAAATTTGTGCAACACAAATCTACTGAATATCTATAGCTAGCTAATAGACAAATTAAAGAAGGAAATGCTCAACCATCTGGCTTTTGGTGTGTTTAATGGAGTAAGAGAAATCCAGTATACAAATCCTGTGCAAAAGATTCACCCAGGTACGTCTTCGTAGCGAATCCAATCGGCCCTTCACTACTTGCCTCATGCAATAGTTTTGTATGCGCAGTTCATGTGATTTGATTGGTTTATGCCTGCCCTTAACAATGGAACAATAAGTATTGACAAAGACTGCCTTACCTAGGGTATACAGCACATTTTTTTGCACCCTTTTCTTGTGGCTGCTTTTGGCCGCTCTAGGAAAAATATGTCATTTCTGACTGGCCGCTTTTGGCTGCTTCAGTAGTGAAAGGATTAATATTGATTTCATAATAAATTCTTATTATACATTACTTTTTATTTTCTTAACCCAGGTACTGTACGGAGCATCCGAAGAAGTGTATACCCAAGCAATTCTGTTCCTGGGAGAGGACTGAGATGGGAATGGTTTAATGATTTTGCATGGACAGCATATGATATTCCTACATCTGAAGCTATCGAGAAGAGTCATAGAGCTAAGGAACGGTTTATAGATTTGAGCAATACTCCACTTGGAATCCCAAATGTCTTGGATATTAAGGCAGAGATACAAATTAATAAACATACAAAATTTCAGAGGCATGTTCGTAGGTTAACCGGTCAAAGTTACCCCACAGCTGGAACTCAAGACGTTAGTACTCCTAGTATGTCACCAAATAACAGTTTGCATGCCACAGCTACTGTCAATGGCCATGTGGCTTCAAGTAACACCAGAGCTTCAAAATCTGGCGTTACCAGTAAAGGTGCAAAGACTGCAGTTAGAGGAGCAAGATCTAAAAAAGTTAAGGTGGAGCACTCCCAAGGTAATACCTGTTTTTCTCAAACTCTACAATATTCCATAGTAAAAAATAAAGGCAATCACTGCTGTGAACAAGGATTGGGTCTTTGTGTCTAATAAATTTCTACATCAGTTCGCAAGCTAGAGCCTTAAAATTAATCTGTTCACTTAACTACAGGATAATTTTGTTTGGCTAGTTATTCAATAATAATAATGATTAACAATAATGTTAATGTTATGACTACAACTACTACTACTACTGATAATAATAATAATAATAATAATAATAATAATAATCCTAGGAACGGCGCACATACTGAGAAGGCTTCTGTCCATCAAATAAAAAACTCCCCTGGTACCTCAGGATTAAGGATTGGCCTCGGTTCTAGGAGAGTGTAGGAAGCAATATTAACAGCTTTATAATACTAACTTTGTTGGGTTAATGCAAATTACTGATAAAGCCAGTGTTTTTAGGTAGTCTAATGTAGACCACAGCTTAAGACAATCAGTAAAACCCCAAATTATTTCATTCATCTACATGAATATGTTACAGGTCAAAATTAAATTCAGGTTAACCATGTTGATTCTCTATTTTCTGTATCTCCTAGCCCTAATTATTCATGAATTAGGGCTAGGAAACAAAGAAAATTGCAAAAAAAATTGTTAATATTATAAATTACAAAATTTTAACCTGAATGTAATTTTGACCTGTAACATATATGCCTTCTTAATACTTGTGATAAAATAATGCTTAGATGCCATGATTAGCCATGAACTTCATTATGACTTAGAACACAGTTTTGTTGAACAGGGGCTAAACTCCTTTTTAATAACCAATCAGTGTTTTGTATAGATTTTTTTTTGTTTCCTCAAAGGTGAATTTACTGCTACTGGTGGAGATCCTCTCTCTAAATTCTGCCATGATTTGAAAACTGCTCCTGATGAGGTAATTGTGCTTGTAATATCATAGGTGACGAATTACCCCTTAATTTTGGCGCGAAATTTCAGCGTTAATTTGTAATTTCACATGTGAAATTACAAAATTGCCATGGCAACCGTTTCGTACGTCTCAGTGTCAAGATGGTGACGAAGTTTTAAAATGCCGTGAATGAAGATGTCAGGGCAGAAAAAGGCGCTTTAGAAAACCTGAACACACAAGAGAACATCAAGAAGGATTCTAACAGGTATTTTTCCGAAAAAGTCTGAAAAATTCTGAACTTTATAAGCCAAATTTAAGGTCTAAAAATTTGAGAGAGTGGAGTTCTCGATTGATACAATCCAGGATAAACATGTCAAAAATCCAAGACTGCTAACGTAATTTGTCACCTATGATATTAATAGGTAATCAAATTGTATACTCGTGAAATTAGGGAATATTTTCACGCGCGTTTTGTCCAAATCCTAATAATTTCCCAAGCCTTTCACTTGTCTCCATTTGATTACCCATACTAATTATGTATATAGCAAGTAACCCAGCTTACTCAATCAGGTGGTAATCAAGAATGAATGTTACAACTCATCCTTCTTACTATCCCACAGCAGTCACCTAATTTCTGTAATGTAGCTTTACGTTGTTTGGATATTGTAGAACCTCTGATTGTGGCAAATGAATGAGTTGACATCAAACTTAAGATTAAAAGGAAAATAGCATTTACACTGGACCCTGCCTTATGACCACCCCATTATCAGGGCCTGAAGAACACTTGAATTTCAGCTTGTCCTGTGGATAAGCAGTGCTGAAATAAATGCTCATCAAGGGCATTGTCTAAGTTATGATTTAGATTTGTGTGTTCTTGACCAAGCATGAGGAAGTCAAGATGGCTGGATATTGGCCAAGTTGTTTTTTGCTTTTTTATGGACCAAGACAAAGTTAAGGTCATGGGCCCATCTTTCCATCTTCATCGTCTGCCATTCAGATCACAGGATTTGCTTCAGCTTGCCCACTCGCAGATTCAGCCACATTTATATAACAAGAGGATTTATTAGTGAGATTAAGCATCACGTTTATGGCAAACATGAATTTGTAACACGTGACCAAGTTTCCCCTTTACTTGTCATTTACTGTTCATCATAACTGCATCAAAATCGGTTGATTCACTCCAATTCTGTGCATGTTTGAAGCTCTTTTTATCTGCTCATTTCTCATTCTGAAAATTTCTCAACTTGAATCTCACGTTTGCTGTTTAGCATAAATGCGATGCTTAATCATGACTTGGGCATGACTTACTAGACAGGGAAATTTATTTGTCCTGCGTGACTGGACAGGGCCTTTTTGCAAGCCCTGATTATCTGAAATGACGGCATTAGTAATTAGTGTGGCCACATTTTTTCAGCCCAAACATAAATCACTCAGGGTTTTCTTACCTGAAACCCTTATTAATACTTACCAAATTTTCATGCTTTTTGCATGGTTACATTAATGGGGTTTCAACATAACCTACAAAACATAAATTCTGCAGCAAATAAATAAATATCCTACACAGTAGATTTTAAAAAAATAGTAACTTAGGCTTTGTCAGATTATTTTGGTTTGCGTACCAGTGCAACAATGGTTTTAAAGAAAAAACAAAACTGAATTATAAACAAACACAATGAGATAGTGATAAAGAGACATTCAAGTGTTTTGTGATTAACTTTTCGTAAATTTAAAAGTAAATCTTTTTAATAAGTTTCTTTTGTTTCTAGGATTGTGCCATTTGTTTTGAAAAGCTCTGTAACATCTCCTCATTTTATGATGAATGTGAAAGCACCAAAGAAGCTTGCACCATCAAACAGCTGGACAAATGCAAGCATTCATTTCATGCCTCTTGTTTGCAGGCAATGTACAACAGTGGAGCAAAAGTGAGTGACTTATGGATTTCTTCACAGTAATAACTGTGGTCTGAGACAAGATTTTAAGGGATCAAGCAAACAGGTGCATGCGAAAAGACTTTAAATGAACAATAAATTTTTCACATTGCTTGAAGGCCTTTTCCAAGTACCTTACCAATTAAGCAACAATATTGCGTTGCAGTAAAAGCCATTTTAAGGTAGCTTTATGTAGTTGCAAGTTAGCTGGTCCCTTTTAGATCTCCTTCTGAATTGCATTATACTTAATTACAAACTTGATTTCACAATGACTAGTGTGTTTTTTTTTTTTTTACAATAAACTAAGGATCTTGTAACTTACAGTGTTCTGTTTATATGCTAACATTATTTTTTTCACCATCACTAAAATTTTGGGCGACCTTGCAGCTCTCGGAAGACCTTATGGGATTGGTTAGAAAGCAATGAACAAACAAAGTTAACAGAGGAACCTAGCGCGAAAACAAAAGAGCTGCTACCTATAGGGGTCCAGTTAAATTAGAGGTTCTGAAGAGCTGTAAGGCTGATGAAAATTTTGAGGTGGCAGACGTTATTTGTGATCATAGCATAAACAGGCAGTTTAATTGTTTTTTTTTTAGAACATCACAAGAAGTAACAATCAACAAACAACATTTTATACACGTACTTCAACAGGACTCGGTGGTTTGTTGCTTTACCTCAATTTTTCAAAAAAATTTTTTATATTCCCAGGATGGAAGTTTGCAGTGCCCAACGTGTAAGGCAATTCATGGTGTCAAACATGGTATTCAGCCAAAGGAGGGTAACATGGATGTGCGTCGCTTACACCAAAGCCTTCCTGGACACCCTGACTGTGGAATGATTACAATAACTTATGACTTTAGAGGAGGAATACAGGCATGTCTCATTCAAATGTTTGCATTTACAGAGAAGAGAGTAACTTATCCTTAATACAATAATTAAAGCAGGCTGTGCCCCATTTCACTCAGTCACGTAATGGCAGGCAGTTTTAATGAACAGTTACTTAGAGGAAGTGTTGAATGATATTATTAATTTGCTTGCAGTACATGCGGAAATCTTTCTTGGACGGGTTGTTCAAAGCTGGGTTAAAATAACCCAGGGTTGAAAGCTAAAAAGCATTTCAGTTTTAATTCTTTTTGTTTACAAGTCGACGATTAGAAGTGCTAAAAATAACAGAGAAAATTATCCGAGAAAATGCTCTTTAACCCCAGGCTTTAAGCGCTTATCGGCCTTTGAACAACTGAGCCCTGGACTATTAAGCTTTGACTCTGAATATCAGCAATTGTCCTCTAGACAGTATCTTACAGTGAGACTTTATTCTTTTCAATACCTTCAAAACCTGGAGGAGAATAGGAAACTAACAAAACATTGTTATTTCAGGGACCAGAACATCCTAATCCTGGAAAAATATACAGTGCAAGGGGTTTTCCAAGAACATGTTATCTTCCCGATAACCAAAAAGGAAAAAAGGTGGTGTTATGTGATTTATTTTATCATTAGTAGGCCCTTAATGACATACATGTAAATTTGAGGACCCTCTGTCACTCTCTCCATTTGATTCCCTTGTTTTCTTCATTTGAAGCTGTGGCCCCCAACATTTCACAGCTTTTGGTCTAAACTGTCATATTCTGATGCATGTTCATCTTTGGAAATCTTCAGACTTTCTCTGGATATGATAAAGTCCTCTACAAAAACTTCTGGTAGTCAGGATAACTATTATTTATCTTACATGTTTGATTAAAAAATGTCTGGCAGTTAACTAACACACAGTCATGACTATTTTTGACCGAAAGAAGTGGGTTGAAAGCTGTGGCCAAGTTTTTTAAACAACCTTATCTTTGAGGTATCAGTTTGAAGCTGAAGCCTTCGCAGCATGATTCATTCTCTTGTTGTGACAGGTTTTAAGGCTTCTCAACGAAGCCTGGAAACGAAGACTAGTGTTCACCATAGGAACATCATCAACAACTGGGGAACAAGACACTGTCGTTTGGAATGAAATTCATCATAAAACAGAAGCATTTTCAAACCACATGGGACATGGCTATCCAGACCCTAATTACTTGGACAATGTTCTTGCTGAATTGGCTGCACAAGGTGTTGAAGATGATGTTGAAATCACAGTTGTCTGATTAAAAATGGGATAAAACTGCCCAACAGAGAAAGAGGAGGCCTTGAAAGATCCATGATGACACTGACTTACATTGTAAATTATACTCATAAAAAATCGTTAAATAACCAAGGCTTTTGAGTTAACACAGCAGTACCAACCGTGACAGTGAATACAGAAACCTTTTAGTCCCAGTTGATTTCTACAACAGTAACTGTTCTTAACTACAGGTAGCTAGGGCAATGAGAGGTTGAAAAAATAAATTTCACAGAGATAACAGGGTGCAAAGAAAATCATATTTACAGCTTGCCATTCGCGCAAGTTGAAGCTAGCATTTACTAGCCCAGACGTCATCTCAACTAGCCCTATAAGCGTTTTGACAAGCAGAATTAATTTCACAGTTCTTCTGTTATTCAAATTCCTCAGCAAACATCACTTGTCTGTCGGGCAAGTAAAAAACAGAATTCACTAGCCCAAAAGCAAAATCAACTGTCTAGTCCCGGGCTATCAGACACTACTTTCTTTGCATGCTCAATAAAAATATTATTATAAGGTATATAGTGTACATAAAAAAATTGGAAGTTAAAATGAAATAATTCATGGCGTACGTCCCATAGGAGGCAAAGAATGATCAATCAATTTGAAGAATTTTTGGTAGAATATCCTGTTTGTGTGATTTTTCTGAGTTTTGACCTCTGTCTCCAGATTAACTGTCTAGTTACATAAAGGGCAAAGCATTTTCAATTTAGGACTCCTTGTTTTTTTGAACTGGGACTCATTGGTTATTGACAGGGACTCATGATTTTTCACATGTCGATGATGAGTCCCAGGACTCACCATAACTATTTGTAACAAAATCACTGCTTGTATCTTTTGGAACCGCATATCAAGGCATGTAATATATCATCACTTTCTGAGTTTGCTGAAGAAAGCCATTCATGTAAAACTCTTCTGGTGTTACTTACCTGTATTAAATTTAACTTCCTACTTCAGTCTGACCAGATGATAAATTTATTGATAACAAAATGTTTTAGTTGCATTTAAACTTTATTCTTTATTACAACCCTATTGATTGGTAGCAAGGGACATTGAAATCAACAGCTGAAAAAGATAAGATAATAGCGTTTAAAAAATGTGACTTGAAGTTTTAGTATTATTTCCAGTTTATTAACCAATATTGTTGTTGTTGCTTGGTTGGTAATAGTTTTACAAATTAATTTTATCACCATCAAAGTGAGGTACCTGATAAAAGTTTTTGTAAAAGAGACAACAACATTATAACCTTAAGATTGGCCTGCATTAAATGTTTTAGTATCATGATCATGTTGACAACATTAATCATTTTTAGTACAGTGCAGCTGTCAGAGGTAGCCAAGGTGGATTTATTACGAGTTACATACTATATTATCTTCTTTTCTTGACAAAGGACTGAGAGGGGTCATTAGTACCCCCTACCAACATCTCAGTTCTCTAACTTGTTAAGAGATGGCAGGGTGCAAAGAAAATCACTTTTACAGCTTGCCCTTCGGGCAAGCTGAAGCTAGCATTTACTAGCCCAGACGTCATTTCAACTAGCCCCAAAAGCTTTTTGTTCTTCTGTTATTCAAATTCCTCATAAAACATCACCTGCCCGTCGGGCAAGTTAAAAACAGAATTCACTAGCCCGATAGCAAAATCCACTAGCCCCGGGCTATCGGACAGTACTTTCTTTGCACGCTGGATGGTTTTGTAGAACCAAAATTAGCTGCTGGAGTGTGGCAAAGACTGATTTTATATGATCATCTTTACAAAAGATGTCCAATCAAACATTAATTTTCCTTTTGAGATGTACTGAGTGTCCTGTTTTTGATTAAAAAAAAAAGTAATTTAAACAATGGAATACCATTCTACACATTCAGATTTGCTATTACATTTTATTATAGTATTTGCAAAAGATAAAGGAGGCCCTTCTAGGGTAAAATTCCAGCAAGCAACATGGCCTTGAAACAGCAACATAAGACAGCAGCAATGGCATGAACAAATGACACAAAGATGGGTTGAAACTGCTACAGCGACAGGAAAAGCGCAAATACAATGGTAAAATCAGTACCAACAGTAACATGGCTTCCCCCTCAATACGCAAAACAACAGGTTTTGAACAGTGCCGGATCCAGACCTTGAGATAAAGGGGGGGCCCGGTCATCCAGACCCTTAGATAAGGGGGGAACCGGTCTCCCCCCAAAAGTTTTGGACCCTTTGAGCCTCAATTTGGTCTAAAAGTAAGGGGTAGCCTGGGCCCCCCCAAGGCCCCTTGCCTGGATCTGCCAGAATCAACTCCGAGAATAGGGACAGTCTCATTGACTGAATAGGCCATTTTACAGTTATGTAATCAACCAAGGCTGGAGTTGACCTTGTTTTGATACAAACCTTCCTGCTTTATCATGTAAATCAAGGTACTCTTATGCTAACCAGTATTTTTCACATACAATTTCCATAACAAAGCAAAGGAGGTTTGTATCAAAACAAGGTCACCGTCAGCCTCACATTCACTCAAAGGCTAGGGTGCTTAGTCCACAACTGAAAAATGGTCTATTGCAGATTCAGTGTTCCTTAAAACTTGCTCTGTCTTTTTTAACTTTTAACCCATATCATTTATAACAACCGACGGAAAAAGAAATGTTATAGCCTCTCTTTCAAAACAACTAAGTTCTGGATGCCAGAGATCCAACATAAGCACAACTCGGTCACCATCCATTCCCCTGTTCCATGCTTCATGGAGAAAAGAATCGTCAAATAACAAGAGTTCATTCTCTTTCCATTTCCTTTCCACTCCATTCACACGCAAACAACATCCTTTTGGAACAAACAAAGGTACGTGACATCTTATTCGACAGTTTGTGGGACCATAATGTTCAGTTATGTGTGTTCTAGGTCTGATTACTGAAAACAGAGCATTCCCAAATGAACAACCTCTAATGAATGGTTCAATTGATTCTATGACTTGTACAGTATATGGACACAAGTTACAGTTTCTTGTGACTTTTTCGCCTTGATTAAATAGATGATAAACTAACCATTCTCCATCAGGAGTTGTATTTTTAACCCACCCCTCGCCTTTATTAAATCTTATCCGCTTAAATTCTGATTTTATCAATTCATAATTCAGTTCCACGCTCAACGTCCTTAGTAGTTCCAAGCCATCAAAATTATACCAAGGCTTGCAGCTAAGGCCTTTAATATAAATTACTGTTGGTTTCTGGGCAGATACTCCATCAGCATTCCGTGCTTTAGTCTTGTATTGTTGAACGCTTTTGTAAATGCGTTCAAGTTTGGCTCTGCCCCCTCTTATGCGTACGAATTCATTCAACTTCTGTGACAAAACGCCGATCGCCATTGTGTTGTTTCTGGAAGAACATCGAATGCACTGAGAAGAGGAGCAGAAATTTGTCTCGTCCGAATTCGATTTAGCAGCATCGCCTTGATTATTCACCTTTTTACTAACCAAAGTTGCAATAAGCACCACAATCACAGCGATTAAAGCTTTAAGGAGGCCATTGCAGACAAACGAATAACTTTGTGAAAGAAAGTTGTCCTCTTCCGCCATGTTTGTCAAACTAATTCGGTTCCAGGTTCTTCTCCATGTTTACTCAAATGACCCTCGAAAAGGTTTTTTTTTTTTTTTTTTAAGTCCAAATACTTAAACGAAGTCTCACTTAAGCCGCGGTTTAACTCCACAAGCGAAGCTAATTAATCTTTTATGATGCCATTTACGACAAACAAATCAATCTGCAAAATATACATGCACGCCTCCCCTATGTTTTCCAAAGTGATTCGATTTTGGTTTTTTATCCGTTTGTTCTCAATTGACCCGCGGAAAATTTTTTTTTTTTTTTTTTTAAGTCCAAATACTTAAACGAAGTCTCACTTAAGCCGCGGTTTAACGAATCTTTGAACCGCAAGATTTCTTCTTTGCTGGGTTGTTTTAAGAAGATAAATGCTTGTCTAGTCTTCTCTATGCTTTCATAAAACTGATCACAATAAACGATGTTTAGATAAAATCGTTGAGCAAATTTAAAATGACTTAGGATCACTTAGAGTGCAGTTTTGTTAAACTCTGGCTAAACTACGTTGAAATATTTGGCCCACTGCATTTCTGTTCAGCCATCCTCGAAAATTTGATCATTTAACTGATTGCTCTTTTCTCTTTGTTTTAGAGTGGCTATGTATTTGCTATTCTTAAAATTTGTTTTAACTAATAATGTTTACCTATCTCCTCCATCTTGAACATGTTGAATCATCTATTATTCAGTGGCAGGAGCCTGTGATTATTATTTACAAGTTTTTATCATCTCCTTGGTGTCTTCTATTTGCTACAGAAATACAACGTCTTCTTCAATTTTTAGACATTTTCGAACCTTGCAAGAAATGACTCAAAATATCTTGTGAAAGCTTCTTTCTGTCCTTTAATGTCTTAAATGAGCATCCTCCTGTATTTTTTTCTGTTGTCGGGCTGGCAGAAGTGGGGTTGTTCGAAACGTGCGCTTTATCTGTCTGCTCGCACAGATTCATTTGTGACGTCATAATTAAAGATTTTGGTGGTAATTTCTGTGAAAAAAAATTTGTTTCGTACTTTTCTAATATGAGTTTGAAAGAGTCTTTGGAGGAATCTCAGGTTCAATGTAATTCTACATTATTACTGCACGACCTTCCAGATTCAATAATACTGCAAGTATTTAGTAAATTTACCATCAAAGAACGCCTCCTATTCCGTCGAGTTTGTTGGAAATGGCATCACCTTCTCAATGATTACAGCGTCTGGAGAAGCGTCGACCTCAGCGAGGACAGTTTTCTTTCAAGCAAAGTCAACAACAGAGTTCTAGAAAGCTGGGTAACCTCATGGGGGAAAACCATTCAGCATATAGATGTTAGAGACTGCAAATGGCTAACAGATCTCGTCATTATAACTGTTGCGGAAAATTGTATTGATCTTAAAAGCCTTAATATTGAAGGTTGTTTCCAAGTGTCCGACCATGGTATTGACAAGGTAGCGCTTAATTGTTCACGTTTGAGGAAAATCAACGTATTCTTAAGCGGCTTGTCGGAGGACGGATTTGACAGGCTGCTTAGAAAATGCTCTGATTTAGAAGATATCAAACTGGGAAGCAGAGGTAACTGCCATCGCATGTTATTGTCTGTTTGTCGTAACGTTAAGGATTTAAAGGTGATCGCTATCCATGATGTCATACCGTTTGATGAGGGAGAACCCGTGGTAGATGATCTGTCGCTATGGAGACTGTGTACGTGTTTTCCATGTTTAACCGCCATTGATCTCACTTGGTGTTGTTTTATTACTGATGACGCGTTGTTAGCCCTTCCTTTCTGCTGCCCCAATCTTGCGTCTTTCACTGTCCGTGAATGCCACCAAGTTTCCGATCGCGGTATTCGCGCCGTTTTTCACGTTTGCCATGAAAGCTTAACGAAGATCCACTTGGAAAGACTGTACAATGTTTCTGACGTTTTGTGCTTTTCGCCCGAAGAGTTAAAACCGTTTCCGAACCTAAAATATTTAAAGGTAATAGACACTTCAGTTTCCGACGTCGGCATAGCGAAGATTGCCGAGAAAAGCCCGAGCTTGGAAACGCTGATCGTCGGTGAGCACTGTTTTAATCCTTTTAACATTCACGGAATGTTCATCTCAACGATTGCGGAACGTTGCCAAAAATTACAGCAATTCAAGTTATATTCAGGGAGAATGAAAGACAGCTATCTCACCGCTATCGGAAAAAGTCTACCCTTCGTAAGAGAGCTTTATCTTGGAGATTGTCGCGAATGCTCGACAGAAGGCCTCAGTAAAATCATTACGCAGTGTCGCTGGCTCCAAGTACTGAACATTCAAAACTGCATTCACGTGACCAGTAATACATTGAGTCTTATATCACAAAACCTTAGGAATCTCAGAGAACTGGAGATTCTGAATTGTAAGAGCATCACAACGTTAGATGTATTGGAACTTAAAAGAAAGTTGCCTTTATGTGATGTCAGGTATTAACCATGTTGCTTCAGGTGGCTAGGCCAAGATACGTTCTCTCAGCCTGGTCACGCTTGCTTAACAAAGGGATCTAAGCTTTGCATCCGGGTAGTTCCGGTCCTTCAATCCAATCTTGCCCCGGGTGGAAGGCAAAAAGACATAAAGATGCCAAATTCATCCAAAGAGAATTCTCAGTGTTGGTATCAAGGACCTCAGTTGAGGTTTGATCAGTGAGACCGGAGCCATTAAAAAAGAAAATAACACAGATTTTACGACCAAAAAAGACTAAGAGATATTAAGTCTAGAATTGACAAATGCGTCACTACAATACAAAGTACTACCAGAATATTCCATAAGGGCATAGGCTCGTTTGCGAGCTAAAATACATGACCCTGCAACATACCTACAGTAAAACAGCGCATTACGCCTCTTCTAGCTTTGCGCCTTATCGAGTCCTAAATCTGTGCAGGAGCCCATGAGTAGGGAAATATGACACTTCGCGGGAAAGAAGCCGTTCTATTTATAAATCTACTCGGCAAAGGGCTGACGCGAGAAATGAGTGGACATAATAGGGGCTCCTGATCATGGGCTCCTGACCCCCTGACCCGTGTCATTAAACTTTCTTGAGAGACTAGTCATACACGAAGGAACTCACCCAACCAACCACCCCCACCTTCGCAAAGCTGTGTACGCCCCTGTAAATAACGGATCCTCGACTCTGTCCCTTTTCTGTCCGTATGTGTAATAAAAGCCGTTTGACTGTATTTATGAGACTGCAGTTGTATATTTGCTCCTGATCAACTTATAACCCCTCCTGTGACTGTCCACGAAATTTTCTGGCTCAAAATATTCAAACATCATGCTCGCAGATTTTGCCACCACTCATAACTATTTTAGATGCAGTCCTAACTGTACCCTATCTTTATCTTATGAGATCTTATTTAAAAAAGAGGCGAAATAAAGACATTAACAGCTCATATTAAATTTTGCTAAAAGTAACGGAAAAGTGGAAAAGGAAACGGCGGATTCTGCACGAAAGCTCTCCACCAAATTAAGCCGCGTAAAAATTAACTGGGGTTTACCAAAGGCTTTTACAGATACTACAATTGCTGTAAGAATGTAACCCAATCCTTGCCTTTTTTGGTCCAATTTTGCGTGCCTGACTGAATTATAACACTCGTGATTCAAAACTAAATTGAGAAAACGCTGGAGGTGTAAAAGCTAGCCGAACACCCCTAGGAATTAGATAACCCCCAAAGAAGTGTGAAATGTGGGATAAGACTAGAGTATAAACAAAGTCAAGTCAGTGAAGTCGGTGAAACATCTCATTTACAATATAAGCAGATTTATTTCATTAATTTAAAAATATTCACAGTGCAAAACAAGCATCGTTATGTAATTTAAATACACAAATAAATCTCTCATGCAACTGTTATCGTTTTAAATCCCTTCTTTTGTTAATTTTTTACGAATATTTTTTGTCCATATATTAAATACTGTTCTTATTTCTTTTCTTTTTTTTTTCGAACAACAGTTCTATATATTAACGGTATTTGATTTTCTCTTATTAAATACGCGTAGAAAAATAAAAATCTCAGACACAATATGTGCCTTATAACTATATAAATATGGCTAGAGAAACGAATTCAGAGCTTAGAAACATGAATCTGTGGTCTCTTGAGAACACGATCCACCATGGCACTGGCTTCTATAGCACATCCCCAGGAGAAAGTCACACCTGAGCCTCCGTGTCCATAGTTGTGTAGAATCGACGGACACACAGGATCCCACTCCAGACGAACGTTGCCTTTACGAGCGGGCCGCAGTCCTACCAACACTTCTTCCACGTCTTCGTCTCCATAGTTACGAAGTGGAGGGTAGAACTCTTTGACTTTCTCAAACATTCTTCTGATTGGTGGATAATCGAGGGTGAGATTTCTGTCCCATTGGTAGGGTTGTACCATGCCACCCAACCACAGTTTGTCGTCACCTCTTGGAAGGATGAACACAAAGCTTTGTCCGTCTTTTTTGGACTCGTCAATGTCCTCGATCAGCGAGATGCACATAGAATGGTTGAGTTTGGGCATCAAGCTTCCATCATTTCTAACTTTAAGAATACAGCCTGAAAGAAGAAATTGAGCACTGTTTAGAACGCAATGGCATAATTTTCCGTGAGTATAACTTAGTGTCAGAATGAAAGGAACTATAATTTTCTTTATCATCGATCAATGCGATCCAAGAAGTGGTCTGTCGTGCCGGTTTATGTATTTTTCATGACGCAATAGTCTTTTTCCAAGGCAACCATCAAACCATACCCCCGAGACACCCATTTAAAATTCATGGTCAAGATTTCGGTGTGACCAAATTGTTATTGTAGTGGAGAGGTTAGGATGGCAGATTGATTAAATGTTTTCACTGGCGTTAAATTTCATTTATCGAGTAATAGTATTTGGATTGTCAAGGGACTGAAGTCCCTTAAAACATTCTGAAAAACTGGGAGATTATGGTCAAATCCCGCGCTTTACGAACATCCGCTTAATACGTACGGACAGTTTGCTTTGTCCCCGGGGAAAGAAAGCCCCTAGATGTACCCTAAACTCATCCAGAGTTAACACGGACACCGACTTAATTTCTATGGTCCCCTTATAGTGTCTGTATTAACGGGTTTTGTATTTCTGATATGATAAGAAAAGTCATCTTAGAGCTTTCGGATTATGCTGATTTTAACTGATCAAAAATGCTACTTTCCGGTGCCTTCTATCAGATAACTAATATGTGCAGGTGTATATTGCTGATCAAAGAGTGAAATCTCAAAAGAGTTATTTACCTCTCAGGGGGTAAACATCTTCGTCTCCTGCCAGTTCTTTAGCGCTGAGTCCAGAACAGTTGAAGATCAGCTGAGCTTTGTATTTCCTTTTCAAGTCTTCTGCTTGATCTCTCAGCAATCCTTTAATTTCATCGTGTACAAAGCGACAGCCTTTATCTTTACACTGTTTGTAAAGCCACTGCATGTACACAACTGTGTCAACCATAGGAGCCATGTGCTGGTATGCGTCCACCACGCCCGTGTCTGTGTTTACGGCTAAAGGAGAGACCGAAATAGTTAGCAATCAGTTAGCATTTAGGGTTTAGAATAACTGAAAAGAGAATCATCACTTTTAACTACCGAATACTTTGATAATCCACACTATAGGAAACTATGGAGGATTTGTCAGGAACAAGTAGAATAAAGGAGATGAAAAAAAGAAACACGATCGCAAAAGTAATGAATCAGCCCTGTCAGCACCTCAGTTAATCAGGTCCTAAAGTAGCGCAGCTCCTAAACAGATGATTTAATATTTTGAAGAGTGAAACTGAAACTGAAAGACTTCACACTTTTTTATAAGACTTAGATTGATAAAAAAATACTAAACAGAGAAGAAACTGCTGAAAAATAGATCAGTTTGTAATTTCGGGGCGAAGAGATGTACACTTACCGGTTTCTTTGATAAGTTTTGCGTCATGACGAAATCCTGGCAAATGACAGAGTTCGTTCATTTTCTCCAACTGTGCTGGAAGGTCTTGAACCATGTCCTTGAAGTAGAAGACAGATTGCCTAAGGTACGCTCCAGTTTCCTTTGGTTTCATAGCCAATTCCATGAACTTTCCATAGCTGTCCATACACCACACCTTGGATCTCTCAAGTGACTTCTCATCTGTGTGCCGTCCGCACACCGCAGGAGGCCATTCCCACAAAGCACCGGCGATCTCGGAGGTGATGCATTTACCAGAAGCGACTGGTGAGGCGAACTCCTTTGCAACAACTGTGACCTTATATCCTTTTTGTAGAAGCTGTAATGCTGACGTCACACCTACAACTCCACCACCGATCACCAACACTCTAGGGATACGTGATGGCTTCTACATAAAGAACAAAAAGCGGATACAAAAGGGTTAATCATCATACAACGTTTCATAGGAGGGAAAGTCGNCTCCTTTGCAACAACTGTGACCTTATATCCTTTTTGTAGAAGCTGTAATGCTGACGTCACACCTACAACTCCACCACCGATCACCAACACTCTAGGGATACGTGATGGCTTCTACATAAAGAACAAAAAGCGGATACAAAAGGGTTAATCATCATACAACGTTTCATAGGAGGGAAAGTCGTTAACTGCTGGATAGATACAAAACAGCAAACTTAATAGAGTAAATGCTACCTTCTAGCTAAGTTTGGAGTGTAAAGATTAAAAACATGGAAAAAAACAGCGTTATGCGCTACGCTTACTTCGGTCAAAAGTGCCCCTCAGCACTGAGTAAATTATAAAATTCTGGCATTTCAGCAAAAATGCGCCATCTGAACTATCGCCGGGAACCAGGTGTCCTTTTTAAATTCCCTCATTACTCATATTATTCATTCAAAGAGAAAAAATACAGAGTCTTTGTCCTTAGATTAGAATCCTCAATTTCTTTGAGTGAGGGTAACTGATACAAAATTTTCAAGTGAAAATGAGTTTATTTGCATGATCGAGGACAACCAATTTCAGCCATCAATGGCTCTGCACTTTACAGTAGCCGGTAGAAAACACAGAAATTGCCTCATAAAAGTTCAAGAAAATAGGCTATGAACAGCTATTAAATATACAAAACAAGAAATATTTAGCCGGTCCTAACTTGGTCCTAGCGTAGTCAGTTACCTTTGTAGAACGAGAATTTCTCGGGACCGACATTTCTTGAACTGTTACTGGCATTTTTGTATCTTGATTTCTTGAGTCGTTTTCTCTTCACCTTTACTTGCACAAATGGATTGAACTGTTTCTTAACAGTTTTTCCCTGATATTTATATGGTTCAGGATAAAGTGTGACGTGACTCACTGGTGAGCATGACTCTCCATTTGATCTGTTAATCAAACCAGTCAACCGGAATATTTGCACTTTGTGGCAACCTACGTAACAAAAAATGCTGACTAGTTATGAAATATGGTGACCACATCACGTAGATTCGTCAAAAAATCGTGAGGTGTGAGTTTTCCATGGATGGACTTTCTTTATAAGCAAGAAGTCTAAAACGATTTCAAACTTAAATTAGGAAATTAGGAGAAGAGGAAAGTGTTATATGTTAAGGGTCTGTGGGAAAGTTTCGAGGCCAAGACCTCTACATCTGATCCATTTAATTTTGCCCCCGAAAGGGTTGCTAGGGTCAACTAATATTGGAACGCTGGGTCAGCTACTTTGAGTGCTTGTGAGTGTTAGCTTTTTTAACGTTTCAATTATCTCCAAATATATAACGAAGAAATCTCAAGACGGGCTGAATTTATTAAGCGTGTTGAATTTCGTTCTTATTTCGAGAACTCTCCTACTAGGCCATTTGCAGAATTTCCGTGTGTTATTGGGTGCCTACTAATAAGAGTCTTTATTCATAGTTGGGTATTATTAAAATACATTTCAAAAGTGATCTAAAGTGACCCAAGAGCTTCGGTATTATTTTCCCGAAAATTTTAGAAGTAATTTAAAATTTTAAGAAAGTAAGAATCTTTCTGATTCCTCTTTTCATTGCATTTTCGAATCCGAAAATTTTAAGTTTCCTTTAACTACGAAAAATAGTTTCAGTTGAGGAGTGAAATGTGAAAAATTAAACTTTAGAAAATCGAAGGGAATTTATTAGATAAGCTTCGAAAAATTTTACATGATTAGAACGGTCATCTAGAAATTTTTAGCCTTCCTCAAGCTATAGGCAATTGTTGCTTCTCCGAACAGATATTTTACAGAAAACAGTCGTTGGGTACTCCTGACTGACCGGTGCATGATAGCGTTATCCACCTAAGCTTTTGAATAACTGGAGTCTGAAGTTCATGAATTCACGTCATTCACTCCGGCATTCATTCTGTTCACTGAAATTTAATTGTCATGTTGGCCCATCCAGCAGGCGCAGGCGATGGTGTAACAACATCGATCACACTTTCACGTTTCTCTGTTTCTCACGTTTACTTATCGATCGCACGTCAGTTCCTGGTTTTTTGTTCCGCTACTCCCTAGAATTCGAAAACGGACAAAAATCGTGACATTAAAAGGAAAGAATCAATGGATTTGTGCTACTCCAAAATCACGTCTGGGGTAATCATTTTGAGAAAAGTTTTGGGAAAATCGCAGATAAAATTCAAACTTCAACGTAAGGTGTCACAACATACGTGTGGCTTTTTAGCATGACAATGCAATCTATTTAAGATCAAGTACAATTAAACAAAATTAAAAAGACACCTATAAATAAAAGATCTCTTGAAGCGTTCTGTTAAGGAATTGACAGGTTAAAGTCCGAATTCTACCGCCAGGTAGCATATACGAAACGAAATCTCCTGATAGCCAGTATACGAAACGTCAAGTTTATAAAAATGCGAAAGCTGACAATGTTTGTCACCGCTGTTTGTGTTTTATTTTTGATCAAGTGGGGCCAGATTTCCCTTTCCATTTCAGTTTAAAGATTCCTTTGCCACAGACAGTAATGTTTTAGTTAAAAATGGTTCACAGACCAAGGTGTCGCAGGGATTAGTGTTTCCCCGTGATGATCATGTCCCTGGTTTTGAATTCAGTTACTTCTTTGGGACCGAGGGCCGGAGAGGAAAAGAATGCGTTCCTTTTTTCCCTTTCTCCGTCCCCTGAATTTCCCTCTTTCCCGAAAAAATAGAATGCCTGATCGCAGGTTTGTAGATCCGCAACTTAGATCAAGTACATTAATCAAGTCTTCACGTCTCTAATATATTTTTGATAGGTTCTAAAGCTATTTTGTATCGTATAAAAAGGTTCGGGAAAAGGTTATCTAGTCCACAGCAATGGTCCTTGAAAGACTTGATACCACACGGAATGTTGTCCATAATGACTACCATATTGAAACGTTGTACGAAGAATTGCTACTTTTTCATAGTTATATTTCCTTTGCTTTCTCAATCTAAAAATGATGAGAAATGTATTGTGTATCCCTCCCACGCAGACATTCTTTTGCAACATTACATAATCTCTCCTCTTTGCGTGCATTGGGGAAAAAACGGATTGCGTGACGAGTGTGGCGTACTCGGAATTTTAAAATTAAGGGCAATTATCAGAGCCTGATCTCTGGTTCAGTTACGCCATACTGACGAGCCCTAAAGAGGGCGAAACAGCTGTCTATGGCTACAATCCCGCTCTGTTTTGGGTTCTTTCGGTGTCGTGTTGATGTCTTGCAGAGTTAATTTTCACGTAGTACGATCAGCATTGCAGTATTCTGCTTGCAGAATTTAATATGTCTACATTATTATTTTTGCTGATCAGGTCTTTATAGATCCTACGTTCTTCGGCATATTCACTTCTCGGCGTTTGCGGTCCTTTGCAGTCCCTTGTGGTTAATGTTTGTACTGGCAATTATCAACTTTATTAAGATATTTAAGTCATACGTGAATCCAGGGGGAACGTGTCCGCTTTATTTCCGATGGGCGAGCGCGCGTCAAAGACGAGGGAAGTTTAGCCTCATGAACCCCGGCTTGCACTCGAAATTGAAACCACAGACTGAAATGGCCAATTCTTTGATCGGCAAAAATTTTGACGTTGGAGGCTTCCCCTTTATCTCATGACATTTATAATTTTGACTAAAGATGTTGTAACATTTGGGAGCTTTAACACCATCGACGGCGACGAACACGAGAACGACAAAAAATCAGTACGTTTAGGTTAGCAAAACAACAACTTAAGAAGAAATCCATTAGGAAATTGAGTAATTTTAATTTTTAGTGGACAAAAACCTTGTACCAGAATAGTTTTAAGCATATTGCATTCTTTTTCACACTTTTCAAGGGCTATAAATGCAATAAGTTGTATGAAATCACTCCAAAGAAAAGGTTCTTATTGGAGCCCGAGAAAACAAACTTCAAAAGGTTCAATTCACTACATGAAATCTTACGTTTGACAATTTTACCTGTGTTTTCTCAGTTCCTGTGAAATTAGAATTCATTTTTCGGGCTCCCGTAAGAAATTGTCTTTGGTGTTATTACAGATAACTAATTACATCTATAGCCCTTGAAAAGTGTAAAAAAGAATACAATATGGCTTAAAGTATTCTGGTACAAGGTTTTTGCCCACTGAGAATTAAAATTACTCAATTTCCTAATGGATTCCGTCTTAACACGTGGATGATGCTTTTTAAGTGACGTTTTCGCTGCTGTCACTGTCGTGGTTGACCTGACGATCCGGCAACGGCGACGTCCATGAAAACGTCGCTGAAAAATAGACTTTGCTTCCTTTCACTTTTTTTCGGAGTTATTCCAAGGATCAACTGATCAACTGATCCTGATCAACTTATAATTTCGCCTGTAACTATCCACGAAATTTTCTGGTTCAAAATATTGAAACATCACGCTCGCTGATTTTGCCGCTACTCATAACCGATTTTAGATGCAATCCTAACTTTACCCTATCTTTATCTTATGAACTAAGTTTACAAAAAGAGGCGAAATTAAGAGATTAACAGCTCATGAAATTTTGTTAAAACTAACGGAAAAGTGGAAAAGGAAACGGCGGATTGTGCACGAGAGCTCTCCACCAAATTAAGCCGCGTAAAAATTAACTGGGGTCTACCAAATGCTTTTACAGATACTACAATTGGTGTAAGAATGTAACCCAATCCTTGCCTTTTTTGATCCAATTTTGCGTAAACTAAATTGAAAAAGCGCTGAAAGTGTAAAAGCTAGCCTAATACCCCCATGAATTAGATAATCCCCAAAGAAGTGTGAAATGTGTGATAAGAATAGAGTATAAACAAAGTCAAGTCATTGAAAGTCGGTGAAACGTCTCATTTACAATATAAGCAGATTTATTTCATTAATTTAAAAATATTCACAGTGCAAGAAAAGCATCGTTATGTAATATAAATACGCAAATAAATCTCTCATACAACTGTTATCATTTTAAATCCCTTCTTTTGTTAATTTTTTACGAATATTTTTTGTCCATATATTAAATAATGTTCTTCTTTCTTTTTTCTTTCTTTTTCGAACAACAGTTCTATATATTAACGGTATTTGATTTTTTCTTATTAAATATGCGTAGAAAAATAAAAATCTCGGACACAATATGTGCCTTATAACTATATAAATATGGCTAGAGAAACGAATTCAGAGCTTAGAAACATGAATCTGTGGTCTCTTGAGAACACGATCCACCATGGCACTAGCTTCTATAGCACATCCCCAGGAGAAAGTCACACCTGAGCCTCCATGTCCATAGTTGTGCAGAATCGACGGACAAACAGGATCCCACTCCAGACGAACGTTACCTTTACGAGCGGGCCGCAGTCCTACCAACACTTCTTCCACGTCTTCGTCTCCATAGTTACGAAGTGGAGGGTAGAACTCTTTGACTTTCTCAAACATTCTTCTGATTGGTGGATAATCGAGGGTGAGATTTCTGTCCCATTGGTAGGGTTGTACCATGCCACCCAACCACAGTTTGTCTTCGCCTCTTGGAAGGATGAACACAAAGCTTTGTCCGTCTTTTTTGGACTCGTCAATGTCCTCGATCAGCGAGATGCACATAGAATGGTTGAGTTTGGGCATCAAGCTTCCATCATTTCTAACTTTAAGAATACAGCCTGAAAGAAGAAATTGAGCACTGTTTAGAACACAATGGCATACCTTTTCCGTGACAATAACGTAGTTTCGGAAGAAAGGAACTATAGTTTTATTAATCATCGATCAATGCGATCCAAGAAGTGGTCTGTCGTGCTGGTTTATGTTTTTTTTTCATGACGCAATGGCTTTTTTCCAAGGGAAGCATCAAACCGTACCCGCGACACACCCATTTAAAATTCATGCTCAAGATTTCGGCGTGACCAATTTGTTATTTCAGTGGAGAGGTTAGGATGGCATATTGCTTCAATGTTTTCATTGGCGTTAAATTTCATTTATCGAGTAATAGTACTTGGATTGTCAAGGATAAGTCCCTTAAAACATTCTGAAAAACTGGGACTTTTATAATCAAATCCCGCGCTTTACGGACACCCGCTTAATACGGACAGTTAGCTTTGTCCTCGGGGAAAGAAAGACCTTACATTTACCCTAAACTCACCCCGAGTTAATATGGACACCGACTTAATTTCTATGGTCCCCTTATTATAGTGTCTGTATTAAGGGGTTTTGTATTTCTGATATGATAAGAAACATCATCTTAGAGCTTTCGGATTATGCTGATTTTAACTGATCAAAAATGCTACTTTCCAGTGCCTTCTATCAGATAACTGATATGTGCAGGTCTAGAGTGATGATCAAAGAGTGAAATCTCAAAAGAGTTATTTACCTCTCAGAGGGTAAACATCTTCGTCTCCTGCCAGTTCTTTAGCGCTGAGTCCAGAGCAGTTGAAGATCAGCTGAGCTTTGTATTTCCTTTTCAAGTCTTCTGCTTGATCTCTCAGCAGTCCTTTAATTTCATCGTGTACAAAGCGACAGCCCTTATCTTTACACTGTTTGTAAAGCCACTGCATGTACACAACTGTGTCAACCATAGGAGCCATGTGCTGGTATGCGTCCACCACACCCGTGTCAGTGTTCACCGCTAAAGGAGAGACCGAAATAGTTAGCAATCAGTTAGCATTTAGGGTTTAGAATAATCGAAAAGAGAATCATCAATTTTAACTACCGAATACTTCGGTAATGCACACTATACGAAACTATGGAGGATTTGTCCGGAACAAGTAGAATAAAGGAGATGAAAAAAAGAAGCACGATCGCAAAAGTAATGAATCAGCCCAGTCAGTGTTCAGTTAAAGAACTCAGTTAATCAGGTCCTAAAGTACAGCTCCTAAAAAGATGATTTAATATTTTGAAGAGTGAAACTGAAACTGAAAGACTTCACACTTTTTTATAAGACTTAGATTGATAAAAAAAAAAAATACTAAACAGAGAAGAAACTGCTGAAAAATAGATCAGCTTGTAATTTCGGGGCGAAGAGATGTCCACTTACCGGTTTCTTCGATAAGTTTTGCGTCATGACGAAATCCTGGCAAATGACAGAGTTCGCTCATTTTCTCCAACTGTGCTGGAAGGTCTTGCACCATGTCCTTGAAGTAGAAGACCGATTGCCTGAGGTACGCTCCAGTTTCCTTTGGTTTCATAGCCAATTCCATGAACTTTCCATAGCTGTCCATACACCACACCTTGGATCTCTCAAGTGACTTCTCATCTGTGTGACGTCCGCACACCGCAGGAGGCCATTCCCACAAAGCACCGGCGATCTCGGAGGTGATGCATTTACCAGAAGCGACAGGTGAAGCGAACTCCTTTGCAACAACTGTGACCTTATATCCTTTTTGTAGAAGCTGTAATGCTGACGTCACACCTACAACTCCACCACCGATCACCAACACTCTAGGGATACGTGATGGCTTCTACATAAAGAACAAACTCCTTTGCAACAACTGTGACCTTATATCCTTTTTGTAGAAGCTGTAATGCTGACGTCACACCTACAACTCCACCACCGATCACCAACACTCTAGGGATACGTGATGGCTTCTACATAAAGAACAAAAAGCAGATACAAAATTTACGTTAATCATCATATAACGTTTCAAAAGAGGGAAAGTCGTTAGCGGTTGGATAAATACAAAACAACAAACTAAATAGAGTAAATGCTGCCTTCTAGCCAAGTTTGGAATGTAAAGATTGAAAACATGGCAAAAAACAACGTTATGCGCTGCGCGTGCTTCAGTCAAAAGTGCCCCTCAACACTGAGGAAATCGCAAAGTTCTGGCATTTCAGCAAAAATGCACCATCTGAACTATCGCCGGGAACCAGGTGTCATTTTTAACTTCTCTCATCACTCATATTATTATTCATTCAAAGAGAAAAAATACAAGGCCTTTGTCCTTAAGTTAGAATCCTCAATTTCTTTGAGTGTGGGTAACTGAATACAAAATTTTCAAGTGAAAATGAGATTATACTTGCATAATCGAGGACAACCAATTTCAGGCATCAATGGCTCTACACTTAACAGTAGCCGGTAGAAAACTCAGAAATCACCTTATAAAAGTTGAAGAAAATGGGCTATGAACAGCTGTTAAATATACAAAACAAGAAATATTTAGCCTCCTAAAAACTAGCGTTAAGTTCAGTTACCTTTGTAGAACGAGAATTTCTCGGGACCGACATTTCTTGAACTGTTACTGGCATTTTTGTATCTTGATTTCTTGAGTCGTTTTCTCTTCACCTTTACTTGCACAAATGAATTGAACTGTTTCTTAACAGTTTTTCCCTGATATTTATATGGTTCAGGCTAAAGTGTGACGTGACTCACTGGTGACTCTCCAATTGATCTGTTAATCAAACCAGTCAACCGGAATATTCGCACTTTGTGGCAACCTACGTAACAAAAATGCTGACTAGTTATGAGTGGTGACCACATCACGTAGATACGTTCAAAAAATCGTGAGGTGTGAGTTTTCCATGGATGGACTTTCTTTATATTTTGAGAAATTAAGTTAGAAGTCTGAAACGATTTCAAACTTAAATTAGGAGAAGAGGAAAGTATTATATGTTGAGGGTCTGTTTGAAAGTTTCGAGGGCAAGACCTCTGATCCAGTTAATTTTTGCCCCCGCGATCGATAGGGTTGCTAGGGTCAACTAATATTGGAACGCTGGGTCAGCTGCTTTGAGTGCTTGTGAGTGTTAGCTTTTTTTAACCTTTCAATTGCTCTCCAAATAAATAACGAAAAACTCTCAAGAAGCACCGGCTGAATTTATTAAGCGTGCTGGATTTCGTTTGTGTTTCGAGCACTCTCCTATTAAGCGTGTTTGATTTCGTTTGTTTTTTGAGCACTCTCCTATTAAGCGATTTGCAGAATTTTCGTCTGTTGACTCTGTTGGGTGGCTTGGCCTTCGAACCGGCCAAAAGTAAAGAGACGCCTTTAATATGTTGAAGTTTCAATCTTATCTGCGGTTTTCCCAAACATTTTCTCAAAATGACTACCTCGGGCAGACGTGATTTCGTAGTTGTAAAAATCCATTTCAATGTCACGATTTTTGTTCTCTTTCGAATTCTCGGAAGTAGCGGAACAAAAAAGCAGGAACTGACGTGCGATAGATAAGTAAGAAACACAGAAACGTGAAAGTGTGATCGATGTTGTCACACCATCGCCTGCTGGATGGGCCAACATGACAATTAAATTTTGGTGAACAAAAGGAATGCAGGAGTGAATGACGTGAATTCATAAACATCCGAGACTCCAGTTGTTCAAAAGGTGGATAACGCTATCCACCGGACACTAAAGGGTACCCAACGACTGTTTTTTGTAAAATATCTGTTCGGAGAAGCAAAAAATGCCTAGAATTTTCTATAGCTTGAGGAATTCATGCAACCGATTTTCGAAGCTTATCTAACAAATTCCCTTCTATTTTCTAAATTTTAATTTTTCACATTTCACTCCTCAGATGAAGCTATTTTCGTAGAAAGAGGAAAGTTAAAATTTTCGTATTCGAATGATGCGATGGAGAGAGAAACAGAAAGATTCTTACTTTCGTAAACTTTTAATTACTTCTAAAATTCTCGGGAAAATAACACCGAATCCCTTGGGTCACTTTTGATCACTTTTGAAAATGTATTTTGAATAGCATACGAAACGTCAAGTTTATAAAAATGCGAAAGTTGACAATGTTTATCGCCGCTGTTTGTGTTTTATTTTTGATCAAGTGGGGCCCGATTTCCCTTTCCATTTCATTATAAAGATTTCTTTGACACAGACAGTAATGTTTTAGTTAAAAATGGTTCACAGACCAAGGTATCGCAGGGATTAGTGTTTCCCCGTGATGTTCATGTCCCTGGTTTTGAATTCAGTTACTTCTTTGGGACCGAGGGCCGGAGAGGAAAAGAATGCGTTCCTTTTTTCCCTTTCTCCGTCCGCTTAATTTCCCTCTTTCCCGAAAAAATAGAACGCCTGATCGCAGGTTTGTAGATCCACAACTTAGATCAAGTACATTAATCAAGTCTTCACGTCTCTAATATATTTTTGATAGGTTCTAAAGCTATTTTGTAGCGTTAAAGGTTCCCCGAGGGTACTTCTTAGTAATGGGCTAATGGTGATGTGCCGTTGGATGGGGTCGCATTTTTACGGCTGGATTGGCTATTATGGGGTTGCATTTTTATTGGAGTCACTAGAATGGGATCGTACGTTTTCTGGATTTGGGAGATCAGAAAATTCAGGTGGGTAGGGATTTTAAAATGGGAAGATTTTTTCTCTATTAAGTTTAACCAATGTGTCAAGTCATTGCAGAATGACCTAGTTCAGGCTTTATAAAGTAGATGCATAAACAGAAAGTTACTAAGTTGGGATCGCGAAAATTACATTTTCCCAAAAGAGACTAAAAGATGGGGTCTATATTAGGCCACAGAATAGACTATAATAGGGTACGGGTTTTAAGAGACTAGTGGCAGATATGGGAAAAGGTTATCTAGTCCACCGTGACAGCAATGGTCCTTAAAAGCTGTTAAAAGACTTGATACCACACGGAATGCTGTCCATAATGGTTAACGTATTGAACCGTTGTCAAAAAATTGCTGCTTTTTCACAGTTATATCTTCCTTGCTTTCACGACCTAAAAATGATCAGAAATGTATTCTGTATCCCTCCCACGTAGACATTCTTTTGCAATATCATGACATAATCTCTCCTTGTCGCGTGCTTTGGGGAGAAAAGATTGCGTGACTCGTGTGGCGTAGAATTAATAAAGTTTATTAAGATATTTAAGTCATACGTGAACCCAGGGGAAACGTGTCCGCCTTAATTCTGATGGGAGAGTGCGCGTCAAAGACGAGGGCCTTAAACCTCGTGCACCCCTTCATGCACTCGGAATTGAAACCACAGACTGAAATAGCCATTTCTTTGATCGGCAAAAATTTTGACGTTGGAGGCTTCCCCTTTAATTTTATTGTATTTATAATTTTTGTTAAAGATGTTGTAACATTTGGGAGCTTTAAAAGCATTTAGGTCAGCAAGACAACTTTACACGCGGATGAGGCTTTTTAAGTAACGTTTGCGCTGCTGTTACCGTCGTGATTGCTCAAAATCTCCCCGGGTGGGGTACACCTAGGAATTATTGTTGGAGGTGGACCGCCCGGCTCTCCAAATACTGACCCTATTTCAGACCAAGAAATGTCATTTTTCACACCTGTTTACAGACCTAGCCCTTAAGAAATTTTTTTCACTATTACTTAGAGTAGAACAAGAGAAAAAAAGATTTCTTCAAATTCATTTGGAATTCGCATATTCACCTCTTTCTTTCTGAATCATTTGGAATTGAAACAATGAATACTTCATACACTCATCAGGACTCCTACGAGTTCCCTCGAGAACCGTACCCTATTCCATATTAGTCTATACCCGTTTTCAGACCAACAACGCAAAAACCCTACTCGTTGGGGCGGCACATACATTTTTGGCTTATACAAGGGAGTGCCCCCCGGACTTAAAATCCCTAACTTCAGAAGGAAGAGCGGTTAGAAATGTATCAGATAAGTAACCCTTACAATTCCGAAAAAATGAAACGGGTTCTCTTCCTCTTTTGGGCTGTTTTGTGGTCACGTAATTTTCTTTTAACATTGATTCTATTGGGAATGCCTTTGTAAGGCGCAGCTTAGGTTAAACTTGGAAAACATTACCTTCAGAAGCCTATTTAAGGCTTCCGACACTTTAAATGTTCTCCAAGTTTTGATAAAGATGGCTGACAGTCATCGAAACTGTCAGCATCATTAAGACGTTAAGACTAGCTATGTTTTGAGGACATTTAAATCGATATTAACTTCACTTTCAAGTATTTACTTGATTGAGAGTTGACTCAAAGGCATTTTGCAGCGTTTAACTAAAATCTAAGTAATTTTGGAAAAGCTTCACTTTTTAAAAAAAGTTAAAAGGGATAACAATATCTGTGTAGCTGTGTCATCTTCGATTGGCATATGACAGTCAGAGACATCATAATAAGTGGAAGCTCTCTAGGAGTCCAAAGAAACATCAGAAGCAATTGCAATATATTTTTTTTTATCGTGATCGCTGAATCATTCCGTTACAACCGCTTGTCTAATCTCGCGTGACGTCAAATGGGATTATCATCGTTAATCACGCGTGAAGTAGTCTTTTCAAGAGACTTCAATTAAAACGTGCTTTAAAATATAAAACAAAAAAAGTCTCGTTATCCATCCATCTTTTTTTATGTTTCTATTCTTTGTTGCTAATGAGGTTTTAATCGAAGAAGTTTTAAAAGACAGTTTGAAGTCAGAAAACGTGTTCTGTACACCAGTCGTACAAGGTCACGTAATTTGCAGAGAAGCGGAACAAATGCTTCTGTAATGAGCTCATCTTAAAGGCCTGCCAAAGTTAAGAGGGCAAAGGCAAACTTGAATTATGATTTCAAGTTAGGCCAGTGTAAACCTAGCCAAGGGTGTTATCCGTTCCAAGAGTTGAATAATGTAGCTTTTTACAAACTGTATATGCCTTATTATCGGAATAAATGTTTCCATGGTGACAATGGTATATTACTGTTCTGTGATCATAGATCATCTCACAAAAAAAAACTACTCGTTACTTTGAATGTGGAACATGTGGAACAAACTGCATTGTCATGGCACGTTCCATTGAGATATGAGCCTGACGTTTCATCATTGACGTCACTCTGACAAAAATGAAATTTCTTGGAATGTTCAAAACTGATTGTTTCGGTTGCCTATAAAATGGGATCATTTTGGATCAGTACAGCATAAATCAGCTTCAGGACTCAAGAAGGAAGAAACTCAAAGTTAGCTGAGCAGATTTACACAATTTCTGACAAAGACAACCGAGGTTGGAAAAATGGCATTACCCTTCACAAGAACGTTTGAGAACAACAAAAATCTTGAGGTAATGAAACAGATTTAGTCCTTTTTCAGCAAATATTCTTTTTTACTTAAGCTAGAGTGGACGAACTTGGACCTGCAAAAATTAAGCTTGCTTCGTAGCTTGGAAGAAAAATCGATTGTCTTTGTATAGATAGATCTACTCCTTCATAACTCACAATTGTCATGAATTCAGTTTAATGTTAGTAAACTCTCAGTGTTGTACCTAAGAAGGTGCTAAAAACAAAATTTGTTCAAGACGCAGTATAGACATTTTTGTTTTTGCGTTAAGCTGAAGTGGATGGAATTGGAGGAACAATAACGTTGCTTTAGTAGCTTGTGGGACAAACGGTCATAAACGTCCGGTGACTGTTCCCATTGTTCTATATGAGAAGATGGTAGGAACAGAATCTGACAAAGTGTTCCGGTAAAAACTTGAATTCAAAAATTTATTTCCCCAGTTACAACGCCCGATTTTCCTGACATCGACTTATGAGGAGTATCAGCAGCCAAACCTTGTAAATATCAGTTCTTGTTCATGAAAATTTATCTACTTTATGTTTTGTTTCAGAACACACCTAAAGTGCCTCACATTCTCGTGATCGGTGGCGGAGTAGTTGGGATAACCAGTGCTTTACAATTACTAAACAAGGGGTAAGTAACCCTTACAAAAAAAGCAAATTTGAAAATAACTACCTTTTATAACAAGCACTGTCGAGAGGTTCCTTAATTTTCTTAAGTTTGGTTCTTCCGTTCGAATTAAAATATTTCGAAAAGATCCGTCAACCACTAAACATTGATTTTCATACGGATGAATCATTGACATTGCATCTATTTCCTTGTTGGAATACTTACAGAAAAAAATGGCAATGAAGAGCGTAACTAATATCTTAAACTTCCTTGACGACAAGTTATTCAGTAGTTTTTGAAATCAAAACTGACTGATTTAACTCAAATCAGCCATTGTCACAAGTGAACAAAACAAAGTAATGGAATTACAATGTAATACTGCTATCATCTGTTTCACAGATTAAGAAAAATCATTCAAACTTAAAGCAGTGAAATAAATCTATCAAAATAGGAAAACACTTCCTTCCTCTAACAGATTCAGTGGTTTTCCGTTGGATGACTTTGCGGCAAAGGAAAAAATTCCTTCGTGTTAGGGACCAGAGAAAAACGCTGACTCACCTAACCATATTAGGCATGCGCTTTTTTCATTGACACGTAAACTTAAATGTTCAATATTATTTTTCATACAGTAATTCTTTGCGCGACCAGACACGTTGTGTGTGAACGCAGTGTTTTCCTTCGGATGACGAGCGTTGAAATAAAGTCGTATTCTTTATTTGCCTCCAGTTCAATTACCCCTATTTCGCATAACTTGATTTATGATTATAGTGTGCATTCATTCCTCTTAATTAAATCATACCTACTATTTTTCTTAGGTACAAAGTCACCGTTGTAGCAAAGGAGTTCGCCTCACCAGTCGCTTCTGGTAAATGCATCACCTCCGAGATCGCCGGTGCTTTGTGGGAATGGCCTCCTGCGGTGTGCGGACGTCACACAGATGAGAAGTCACTTGAGAGGTCCAAGGTGTGGTGTATGGACAGTTATGGAAAGTTCATGGAATTGGCTATGAAACCAAAAGAAACTGGAGCGTACCTCAGGCAATCGGTCTTCTACTTCAAGGACATGGTTGAAGACCTTCCAGCACAGTTGGACAAGATGAACGAACTCTGCCATTTGCCAGGATTTCGTCATGACGAAAAACTCATCGAAGAAACTGGTAAGAACTCATCTGGCTCCCTATCTCCTCTTCGGTGGCATATTTGGTGCCGCAGAGAACCTGAGGAAAGGCAAAGAGAGCGCCAGGAAAAGAAAAAGCGTCTTTCCCTTTCTCGCGTGCGCTCAGTTTTATTAACATATTTTTTGTGTTTAATGCTCATAAGAGCCTCTTCAAACAAAGGTCCCTCCATATCTTACCTTTTAACAACTTCAACGAACCCGTTATCTTTACGCGCTGTTGCGCTTCACCTCAATAGCAGTTAAGAATTTCAATAGTCTTCTACGTACATGCAAGTAAAGGTTCGGCGAAATGGTACATGTTCTAGACAAATCCTCAATAGTTTCGTCTACTGTGTAGTTCCAAAGTATTCAGTTAGAATTTATAATTCCCTCGTCAATTATTCTATGCATACAAATGCTAACTGATCGCTTACTATTTTTCTCCTTTAGCGGTGAACACTGACACGGGTGTGGTGGACGCATACCAGCACATGGCTCCTATGGTTGACACAGTTGTATACATGCAGTGGCTTTACAAACAGTGTAAAGATAAGGGCTGTCGCTTTGTACACGATGAAATTAAAGGACTGCTGAGAGATCAAGCAGAAGACTTGAAAAGGAAATACAAAGCTCAGCTGATCTTCAACTGCTCTGGACTCAGCGCTAAAGAACTGGTAGGAGACGAAGATGTTTACCCTCTGAGAGGTAAATAATTCTCCCTTTCATTCTTTGTATTTACATACTCATACAAACCTCTCATTCCCCTTTCGAAATTCAACAACGTGACAAACAAACATCTATCATCAAACTTTGAGTATCACATTCTAACAGTGGTTTTTGTTGCAATTTTAGGTTGTATTCTTAAAGTTAGAAATGATGGAAGCTTGATGCCCAAACTCAACCATTCCATGTGCATCTCGCTGATCGAGGACATTGACGAGTCCAAAAAAGACGGACAAAGCTTTGTGTTCATCCTTCCAAGAGGTGAAGACAAACTGTGGTTGGGTGGCATGGTACAACCCTACCAATGGGACAGAAATCTCACCCTCGATTATCCACCAATCAGAAGAATGTTTGAGAAAGTGAAAGAGTTCTACCCTCCGCTTCGTAACTATGGAGACGAAGACGTGGAAGAAGTGTTGGTAGGACTGCGGCCCGCTCGTAAAGGCAACGTTCGTCTGGAGTGGGATCCTGTGTGTCCGTCGATTCTGCACAACTATGGACATGGAGGCTCAGGTGTGACTTTCTCCTGGGGATGTGCTATAGAAGCCAGTGCCATGGTGGATCGTGTTCTCAAGAGACCACAGATTTATCTGTCAAAGCTTTGAGCATTTGACGTTGAGTTTTCAATGTAACCTTTCTTTCTTGAGACTGAACGTTTAACTAGAAATAAAAGAAACGAGAAAATGCTGGTTATAAAGAGAAATCTAGCAAATTAACACGTATTTATTGACTTTTATCTCTATGGCTGATATATCGTATTATTGTCATTGTGAATTATTGAATGCTTTGTAAATATAAAAAAGTTGTATTTGGAAATTAATTATAGCTATGGTGATTATCTATGTTTGAGATTTAATTTATTGAATGCTTTGTAAATATAAAATAGTTTTATCGGTAAATATTTAATAAAAGTTATATGAGTTCACTTTGATTTTGATCATTGACCTCAAGACAAGGCAAAATCCAGGTACGATTCGTGTGCCATACACCCAAGCATGGATTGAGGACGGCACGAGCTGTGCGTGGTCTCAACCGTACAAGTTGTACTGACGGGTCTGCTTCAGTTTAGAGTCTTTGAAGCCATCAATGGCTGAGGGTCTGGGCCCGGTTGCACAAAACCTACACTTAAGTGCCCACTTAAGTAGGTCACTTACGAATCCGTTATGGGTACACTTACCGGTGTTGCATGGAACGCACTTAGCACTCTCGTAAGTTACTGTTTTACGTGGTAACTTACGGGCTCACTTAAAGGCACACGTAACCTTGATATAGTACTTTATTAATGACTCACTCTTTTTTTTTTAAGCTAACCATCGTTGAGTGTAAAGAAAGTTTTAAGTCGTTTCGAACACTTTAAAGACTCTCAAAAAAATGAAATTTACATGCAGACGTTATTTTTCTTCAATATCTACTGAAAATGATAGTTCTTCTTCTTTTCTCACAACGCCGGCTTTAAAGTGTACGAATAACGTGAAGAAAAATACTTTTTTTTCTTTTCTCAGTAAAAGATCTCGTTAAGCTAGTAAAAACAGTAACGATACGGGACCTACATAAGTCCCGTAAATTTACGTAAATTTATTTTTCTCGTAAAAAAGGTTTTATGCAACACCCGCAATTTCAGTTGCATAAACGACACTTAAGTCGCTCTGTTAACCGCTGTTGTACACTTTAAAGCCGACGTTGTGAAAAAAGAAGGAGAACTATCATTTTCAGTAGATCAAAAGACAGAATAAGTCACCATATTAAGTACTTTAGTAAACCCGACCTTAACTACCGAATCAACATAAGCAAACCACAGACGAACAAAATGCTGCTTGTGTACGTACGGGATCTGAGAGAGCCTGAAATCAGGCAATCATAAACGAAGAAGCAAGGCTATTATTACGCAGAAATTAGCTTCAATTGCTGAACAAGCAACCTGGCGAAGACATATTTCTCTGCCGACGTGTACCAAGGGTACGGGGACTTTGGGGTATCTTAACTGCATTTTTTTTGCCATCTTGCTCATGCCGTACTGAAGAACTCCAAGGGGAGCAGATCAGCTGCGCGGATACAGCCCACGGCGGTAACCTTGCTTTGCTAAGGCTTCATCGTTGAAGGAGATTGCCCCAGCTTTCTATGACTGCAACGTTGTTCTCTTAATGCTCTATTGGTGTCGTGATTATGTATTACACTCTTTTTTTATAAGAATTTTGTTTTTCCGGCCAGGCTGAATATTTTTTTTCACCGATTCTGGCTAAAAATACTCTTGCATCATTCTTAAATTATAGCTTATGACTTTTCCGTTTTAAAATATATTGGAGTATTAATTGCAGTTTAAGCAGGTTTTTTCGTGTTGGTAACTAATTTTGCTGTTAAGAGAAAACATTATTCAAGAGAGAATGAGCTTAGCTAAGCTCATTCTCTCTTGCATCATTGTATTGTATTGACAGATTTTCAACACACAAAATCTCAGCCTTGAGTTTATTCTTATTATTTTCTTAAAATTTCGCAAATATCAGCCTTTATATTCTCATTTAATATATTCTTGTATATATAAAGAAAGAGTCTACCAACTGGTTCAACTCTTAGTCGTTATTCAACCAGCAGCACCTGTTAGAGACTCTTTAATTTAGCTCAGTACTATTTTGATCGTACAGTTGACTCAATGACAGTCACCTAATTTTCCCTAGTTGCGATTTCAGGCACTGAAACATGGAGAATTCATTAAAACGGTCTGTTAATTATAAGCTACGATTAGTCCCTCATTTTCCTCTGGGGTATTTGACCCCAGTGGCGCCGATTTTTACGCGTGGTTGCGTATTTTGCTCGCTTTACTCAGTATGAAACCCTAAAGAAAATGAGCGTCCTGTAGTCAAGTTAAGCTCTCGATTCAACTTTAAATAAAACAGATGCATATGAGACTGCAACTTTTCAGTGACACCTGTTTTAAGCGGACATCCGAGGATTCCCTTTTGGAATGCGCTAATACAGGTTTGGATAGAGAAAGTAAAATGAGATATCAGATACCATTCCAAACAATAGTGGAAACGTGGAATACTCCAAAGACTATGACCGGATATACGTTTGAATTAATTTATTAGAAGTGGACAAATTGACTAAAAGACTTTAAACGAACATTGCACCTCATATTTTTTAAGAGATCAAATGAGTAAAACAAGCTATATACAAACAAAACAAAATGAGAGATCAGTACTCTAAAACTGACCTGCGGGTTAATGAAGGCTGCGAGTACGTGTTGCAAGCTGATCGAGTTCCTTGTAAATGGGTTAAAAGATAAACTTCCTGTACCTGTATGCATAACCGGTTTCTTTTTTTCTTGCACATTCAACAATGTTGACGCCAATTAAAACATCTTTTGAGAAGTCTCGTTTTTGATTGAAAAATCAAACATTGTGTGGGCGGAGATCTTTAGTATTTCTAGTGCCCGGCGTGTCAAATGGTGGAATATAATAAGTGTCAGTTTGATGCAGATTTGTTACATAGAAATGACCACTTTATCCACTTTTTAGGTGTCCTCGTCCGATTAACAGAGTTGTCCGCTTAACAAGGGTTTCATTAACAGTAAAGATAAGGGAAATAAATTTGGCGATTTTGGCTACTGTCCTCTTAATAGAGGGTGTCCGCTTAATACAGATTTCACTGTACGTGAAATAGTTACATTGGGCGTTTCCTGTTCCCTTGCCAAGTCACGAAAACTTGCGGAAATAAAATAACATTGACAAAGAAACGTGTAGTTCAAAAATCTTTCTTAGACTTTTGCTAACTCCGGTATAAGGCGATAATGCAACAATGAAAGGCGCATAGAGTCGTCTGCAGTATTTTACTATTATTCCGTACCATTTGAATTGTACCGACTTTCCTTTTTTCATTAAATTCCCAGAAGAAGTAGCCTTCCCGCAAACGTTCTTTGGCCGGTTTGTTCGTCACGGATTCATTTCTCCTCCACGGACGGCTTTGTTTAGCAGACGTCCGTGGGGGAGAAATGAATGCGTGACGAACGAACCGGCCAAAGAACGTGTCTGCGAGGAGGCTACCGAAGAAGAACGGCTTGTCGGTGCGAAATATCGGGAAACCACAAATCACTTTCGTCTTTGCTGTTTTGTTAATCTAAATATTTGAAATTATGATCCAGTCTTTTGTAGACCATTAAACGCCTACCCAGTTTTCACAGTTTATCCTGACTTTTCGCATTTACACCTCACGCCTTTTTTCCTTATCAACAAAGAATTTTCTCCTTTTTACACGTATGAGAGACACAGTGATCTGTTTCTTTCACAAAATGTGCTTACTAACTTTTGCTGCCTCCAAATTTAGTACAAACTTACCTGAGGCCTGTGCAAAGGGTAGTGTTTTAGTTTTCGTGATTGATTTGGTTGAAACTTGTTGATTGAACATGTTTTGTTAGTATGAGTGAATCTCTGGGGCCTTAAAATATAAATTTTAGGCTCCTGGACATAAAGAAAAGATCTTAGATTTTTTTATGCTGTTTGGTTCCATATAACTTGAGTCTTTTTTTAAAATACTTCTTATCAAGAAAATTTTTTGGATATTTTAAAGTGTGTGTTGAAATTGTCACGATTACAATTTGCCGATTTCCTAGTCTGACGTGACGTCAAAAACACTCATCGTCGTTAATCACGCGTTAAGTAAAATGCTAATAAGTTCAAGAGAGTTCAATTAAAAGTTCACTCTCTGTTTTTATCTAATTGTTAAAAAAATCAAACAAGAACTCTCGTGTATTTTTAACTTTTGTATGTTTTCATTTTTTTGCAAATTAGGTTTTGATCAAAGAAGGTGACAAGGTGCACAAGTCACGTAATTTGCGCAGAAGCGGAACAGATGCTTCTCGAATTAACTCATCAGTTACGCAGGCCACAAGATAAAAGGGTAAAGGCAAACTTGAATTATGGTTTCTAGTTAGGTCCTTGGAAATCTTAAAAGACAAATGAATATTGATAGGACATTCTGAAATGGAGTTATTCCTTCTTAAAGTTGAATGATGTGGCTTTTTATAAAATGGAATGAGATGTGTATGCTTAATTATCGGAATAAATGTTTCCATGGTAACAAAGTTATATCGGCTGGTCTATAGATCATCTCATAAAACACTCGTGGCTACTTTGAATGTGACTGGACGTACTGCATTGTCATGGCCCGCCCTAGATGTGAGCCGGACGTTTCACCTCTGACGTCACTTTGACACCACACAACGTTAAACGATTGCCTATAAAATGGGATCATATTGGATATACAGCATAAACCAGCTTCAGGACTCAAGAAAGAAGAAAATCAAAGTGAGCTGAAGAGAACAGGCTCTAAAAATGGCATTGCCCTTTACGGGAACGTTTGAGAACAACAAAAATCTAGAGGTAACAAGAAGAATTTTTCTTTTAAAATAAAATTTTATTATTTTTGCCTTAAGCTAGAGTGGACGAAATTGGACGTGCAAAACTCAAGATTGTTTGTTAGCTTGGCACAAAAAGCGGGTGTCTTTCTGTAGATCTACTCTTTCATAACGCATAGTTGTGAAGTTCAGTTCAATGCTATTATATACGCTCTCAGTGTTATACATAAGAACGTGCTAAGAACAAAATCTGCCCAAGACGCGGTACAAGCATTGTTTTAATGTTGGATGGAATTGGAGGAACACAAACGCTTTTCTCGGTAGCTTGGGACATACGCCCGGTCACTCTGTATCTCCTATTTCCTAAAACAACAACAACAAAAAAAACAAGTGGGATAAATTCATTCAATGCGATTTTATAATAATTTCTCAATGATATATATAAAAAGATGCTAGGAAAAGAATCTGACCAAGACCCGATAAAAAACATTTTATTTCCAGCTACAGGGCCCGTTATTACCCTGACTTATCAACGGTTATGTATATCATCAGCTCAACCCAGTGAATACTCTTTCAGTGTTCTTGAAAATTTACGTTTTTAATATTTTGTTTCAGAACACACCTAAAGTGCCTCACATTCTCGTGATCGGTGGCGGAGTAGTTGGGATAACCAGTGCTTTACAATTACTAAACAAGGGGTAAGTAACCGCTAAACACAACCCGCAAAAGTTGAAAATAACCACCTTTTCTAATAAACACTGTCAAGAGCCGCTTCCTAAATTTTCTTAACTAGTTTAAACTAGTTCTTCCGTCCGTTCGGATAAAAAATGTTTCGAAAAGATCCGGCGTTAACTCACATTTAAGTTTATTTTAATACGGATGAATCGATTGACATGGTATTTATTTCCTTGTTGGAATACAGGCAGAGAGTAATGAGAGCGTGACTAATATTTCAAAACTTCCTTGACGATAAGTTAGTCGGCGGTTTTTGAAACAGACTGTAATTTTACTTAATCTAATCTTACAACAACAACCTAAAATTTTTTAAAAATACAGTGTAATACTGCGTATCGGTCTGCTATCTGTTTTACACACAGGTTAAGTAAAATCATTCTAACGAAAAGCGGTTAGATAAATCTATAAGAATAGAATAACACTTCATTCCTCTCACAGACATAGAGATTTTCCATTCATTGGGCTTTGTTAGCAAAAGGAAAAAATCTTGCATGTAATGGACTAAAGAAAAACGTTGACTCACCTGTCTTTATTAGGCATACGTTAATTTTCCTTGACACGTAACTTAAAATGCTCAATATTACTTTTCATACAGTCACTTGTGCCGCAGCCGGACACTTTCCGTGTGAACGTCATGTTTTCTTTCCGGTGGCGAGCGTAGAAATAGAGTCGTATTCTTTAGTTGCCTCCCTATTTCGCCTAGTAATTTTATTGTTGATTATAGTGTGTATTCATCCATATTAATCAAATATACCTCTTATTTTTCTTAGGTACAAAGTCACAGTTGTAGCAAAGGAGTTCGCCTCACCAGTCGCTTCGGGTAAATGCATCACCTCCGAGATCGCCGGTGCTTTGTGGGAATGGCCTCCTGCGGTGTGCGGACGTCACACAGATGAGAAGTCACTTGAGAGGTCCAAGGTGTGGTGTATGGACAGTTATGGAAAGTTCATGGAATTGGCTATGAAACCAAAAGAAACTGGAGCGTACCTCAGGCAATCGGTCTTCTACTTCAAGGACATGGTTGAAGACCTTCCAGCACAGTTGGACAAGATGAACGAACTCTGCCATTTGCCAGGATTTCGTCATGACCAAAAACTCATCGAGGAAACTGGTAAGGGTTTGTATGGCACCCTATCTAACGTGCGCTCATTTTGTTAATATTTTTGTTTGATACTCATAAGAGCTGCCTCTCCGAACAAAAGTGCCTTCATATCTTACCTTTTAACAACTTCAACGCGTCATTTATTTGTACGCTGTGTTTCGCTTCACCTCTATGTTCTCATACGGACCTTTTGACTAAAAAGACCCCGACACGCGGGGTACTGACTTATGGTTTTTTTTTTTCCACTAAAGGTTCAGTGGAATGATGTATGTTCCAAATCCTTTATAGCTTCGTCTAGCGTGTAGTTCCAAAATATTCAGTTAGAATTTAGAATTCCCTTGCAGTTATTCTATTCATATAGATGCAAACTGATCACTAACTATTTCGGTCTCTCCTTTAGCGGTGAACACTGACACGGGTGTGGTGGACGCATACCAGCACATGGCTCCTATGGTTGACACAGTTGTATACATGCAGTGGCTTTACAAACAGTGTAAAGATAAGGGCTGTCGCTTTGTACACGATGAAATTAAAGGACTGCTGAGAGATCAAGCAGAAGACTTGAAAAGGAAATACAAAGCTCAGCTGATCTTCAACTGCTCTGGACTCAGCGCTAAAGAACTGGCAGGAGACGAAGATGTTTACTCTCTGAGAGGTAAATAATTCTCCCTTTTAATTTATTGTATTTTGTAATATAAACATCTCATTTCCCTCTTACTCCCAAACACACGTTTCATCTAAATTCAAGCAGTGATCGCATTCTAACAGGATCGTTTTTATTGGCATCTCAGGTTGTATTCTTAAAGTTAGAAATGATGGAAGCTTGATGCCCAAACTCAACCATTCCATGTGCATCTCGCTGATCGAGGACATTGACGAGTCCAAAAAAGACGGACAAAGCTCTGTGTTCATCCTTCCAAGAGGTGAAGACAAACTGTGGTTGGGTGGCATGGTACAACCCTACCAATGGGACAGAAATCTCACGCTCGATTATCCACCAATCAGAAGAATGTTTGAGAAAGTGAAAGAGTTCTACCCTCCACTTCGTAACTATGGAGACGAAGACGTGGAAGAAGTGTTGGTAGGACTGCGGCCCGCTCGTAAAGGCAACGTTCGTCTGGAGTGGGATCCTGTGTGTCCGTCGATTCTGCACAACTATGGACACGGAGGCTCGGGTGTGACGTTCTCCTGGGGATGTGCTATAGAAGCCAGTGCCATGGTGGATCGTGTTCTCAAGAGACCACAGATTTATCTGTCAAAACTTTGAGCATTTGTTGTTGAGTTTTCAATATACCCTTTCTTTCTTGAGACTGAACGTTTAACTAGAGAAAAATAAACGAGAAAATTCTGTTTACGTAGAAAAATTTAGCAAATTCACACGTATTTATTGACTTCTATCTCTGTCACTAATATCTCGTATTTTTGTTATTGTGAATTATTGAATGCTTTGTAAAAACGAAATAGTTGTATTTGCAAATTAATTTTAGCTATGGCTATTATCTATATTTGAGACTTAATTTATTGAATGCTTTGTTAATGCAAAAAAGTGGTTTTACAAAGAAATTTTGCAAAGTAACAAGTATTTATTTTTAGCGCTAATGACTAAGATCTATTTTTTAGATTTAATTTATTGAATTCTTTGTAAATATAAAATATAGTTTTATTGGTAAATATTTAATAAACGTTGTATGATTTCGCAAATCTCGTGTAATTTTAATTGACAGTGCGAGGCAAAATCCGGGTACAATTCGTGACACATACACCCGGGCAATGAGGGAGGAGGGAACGGAGCCAAGTATGTATTAAATTGAAATTCTTATTTTGTGGGGTCAAAAGACAGAATGTGTCAACTATTTCAGTATTATAGTAGACCCGACCTCAACTGACAAAGCAATATAAGTTACAGTCTGAGATCATGCCCGCCCTATATCTCCATTCATGTCTTCTAAAAAAACGGGAAAAAAAAAACGCCTGATCAGAGGTTTTATAAGGAAAGGAACACAGTCAATGGAAATTCTGCGTGAATACGTCCGGGATCTGAGAGAGATAAAAATCAGTAGTAAATTACAGACAAATCAGCAATGTTGTTATATCACGTGGAAATTAGCCTTGGTGCTAAACAACAAACCCGATAAAAAGCCATTTTTATACTGAATTGTACAGAGTGTGTTTCACGTTCGCGTATTTTTACAGCTTTTTTTGCCCATCTTGCGGGGAACTGAAAAAATTTACCGAAAGCAACTGTCAACGGCTACAACCTTGCTTTTTTAATCCTCTATCGTAGTAAAATTTATGCGGGTTTTCACCGTGTGGATTAACCTTTTTTATTAATTTTTTTTTAAGTCAAGCAATTGGTTCTCTTTTTAAAGTTTATTGTTTTTTGCTGGATAACCTGAGTCTTTTCTCTAAATCCTTTTTATCCAGGAAACAGTTTCTGAAGTAAATTGGTGAGTAAAATAATGTCGTGGTCTGTTACAAGGTCAGAAGGCTGATTTCGCGGGCGATTTCGCAACGCTGACTAAGCCGTATCCTTTTTCACGTTTCTTCCTCAAAACGTGATCTTTTGTAATGGAAACGCTCTAGGAAATAGCGACACAATTTATCAATTCAGATTATTTCCTTGATGCGGGATTTTTATGGTGGAAACCACGTTCTACTGTGCAATTGAAATCGAAATTCTTTTCAACAAAGAACGTTTGAAGAGAAAAGCAGAGCACAATATAGAGTTGAAAATGATGAAATGAGTGATATTGGGAGACTGAAATACATAATAACTTCAGAAAAATCTGGATGATGTTTCTAGTAAAAAAGATATCAGTAGGTAACAAATTTTAACCAACCTTAACAAATCAGTCATGATCACGATACGAAGCTCTACGAGGGAGTCGTGATCCTTAGAAAATAAACATTTACACTGAACGTTTAACGATTCAGGAAGAGCTGACAATTACAATTAACCTCTCTGAAAATTTCTCGTTTCATTCATAGTTTACTTAATTCCATTGTTTGACGGCCACTTTGCTGAAAAACTTTTTAATCATTTTTCAGTTGTGAACAAAAAAAAAATCGGTGTTGGGGTTGTAGGTATGACGTCAGCATTACAAGGTTATATAATCTCCTGCCGGAGTCACGCAAGCTCCCTGCCCGTACGCTATGGTATGCCTGTGCTGCAACTGTGTTGTGACACAACGATGCCATAGCAACAGTTCAGAGGTAAAGATGGCGGCGAGCTCAAAACTAACGAGCCGTTCATCGTAAAGGAATTTTAACCGAATTAGAAGGCACAAGACTGATATAGCTTAAAGCACAAATACAGTACTTTTTACAAGAGCTCAGGCTAAACTCGCCAGCATGGATGATACGCGTATAGAGTGGATTAGAAACAAGATTTATCTCGGACTTGGGATCACAGACCCAGAGGTGTTTGATGATCTGGTCACCCGAGAAGATGGGCAATATGAAAACGAAATACTTAAATTTCTGAACGAAACTCCAAAAGAAGGCTGCACCATGATATTTTACTCCATGTTAAAGGAGGAAGAAGAGGAAATTGAAGTTGAGGCAGGTATGTTTACCAGCTCAAAATTTAGATTTCTTTCTGGCGCCATTTTTGTTCAGTTGAAAACAATGCAGGGGCTTTGTTGTTGCGTAGAGGATTAGAAGCATAATAGACTCGGTTTTGCCGGTTTTTTCTCTTGTTCTCTTAAAGATGGTTAAATGTTGCTATAGATAAGAAAGAAAACTGGTCTTCATAAACTGGAAACCATGTTGTTTTGTCTAACGTAATAATTGGACACTGTTTTACGTCTCTCTAAACACATTGCCTTCGACCTTTTGGATTTTAACTCAGGCCTTTTATAATTGTAGTATTTTAGTATATGGGAACATCAGTTTTGTCTCTTAAATAGCTCTACTGGGTTTTTATTTGTGCTTGTAGAGTTTAGTTGGATCAACTACATACATGTACACTTTAAGGTCAGTAAGGAGCCACATGCCTGTATTACAGCTAGTGTACAGCATGTTGTTTTTTACTTGTCTGTAGCATATAGTCGTACCTCCCATAAGCAACCAACTAAAATGCAAAGATTCAGTGGTCGCTCATGGTAATCAAATGAAATAGTATGTCTTCCGAGGTGTGGACATACCTACTTTTGCGGCCTTTTGCTACTTTTGCAGGGCTGTCATTAAGGGCCTGAGGGGCAGGGGGCAGGGGATTCTAGTATGAATGTGACCCCTTTCTACTTTAATAGGAAACTAGAAGAAAAACAGAACCAAACAATATTCCTAGCTGTTTGATTTCCCACCTACTTGAATCGTAATTACTGTTTACAATAATTAGTAAGTTACAATATGTGCAGTTATATGCTTTCACTAAAAGTTCTTCTGTATATACTCTGTGTAGGTAGTCGATACAGTGATTATAGTAATCAGACTGTATGTCATCTCAAAATATGCAAAATTATAAATCCTTTAGTCCAAAAAGTGGCAGCAACGCAGACAAGGGGTGTTCATTTAGTAGAGGTTCTAAACATTATGCTTTGGCGGGAAAAATTTTGTTGTTAAAGTAACTGGATTGGTGTTTGCTTATAGGAGATAGTCACTTATGAAAAGTTGTTGGAGTTTCATTTGCATAATCATACACGCAAGAGAGTTGGGAGGGAGGAGGTTGGCTATCCTCCTCCTAGGAGTCTAATATTGTTTGTACATGTATTGTTTTGTCATTAGTTTTAACCGTAATTTTTTGCAAACTGCATTGTCAGTAACAAAGTACGTTACTGACTTTATTTTCTTGGTTCTGCAAAATTGTTATAATGTTATTGTTACTCCTACAAATGGCTAATTTCAGTAACCATTCATCAGTTGTACTGGTATGTCTAAATTTTGTACTGCTGTGTTAGTGTAGTCTATGTAATAAATAAATGTTATCTTTTTCCTCAAGAACCCGAATTGCCAGAGCTGACAGCTAGTGGTGACGAAGAAGGTGAAAAGACCTCCACAAACGATGCAGCTGAGGCAGCAGCTGAGGGGGATGAATTGGTAATGGAGAGAGTGCCATCAGCTTCTGCACGTTCCAAGGCTGCTGATGAAACCTCATCTGTCAGAGAAGGTTCCCAAGCTGCAGAAGCTGCACCACAAACAAATCCTGAAACTGGAGAAGATATGCCTGCATCTGCTGCTGTGGAGGGTGCAGAAGGGGGAGGAGCAGAAGATGGAGAGGAGCATCAAACCACCCCTCCTCTCCCTCGAACCGTAAGTACAGTAGTTGTTGTCTTGACTCTTAGTACTCTCATTTACTGTAATAGTGTTAAATAGATTTAAGTAAATTTTGTTCTTAATTTCAGAAAATCATCATACAGAAAGTTATAAGGACGGTAATGTATGTTTGCTATGAACACCTCCCTGAAGACTTTGCTGATGAGAATGCCTTTTATTTTGTACGAAATACCACTGGTCCAGTGCCCCTTCCATCAACACTCGATGAAGCAGAAGAAATACTTCCCCCTCTATTTGAGTTTGGCTCACATAATGGGGCTTCCTTACAAATGCTTGAGCAGTTGTTAGCTTTGGTCTATATGCCGCTGCTCTCACACAATGGTCAAAGAAATGAGAGTTCATCTGATGGTGGAAGTCATAAACAAAGCAGTGTAACTGGCGATGACCAGGGCTCCGAGGAAAGCCGTTCAAGGGTCATCTTACGAGATGAATTTTTAATGAACATACAGAAATTTTCATCCCACATCAGCCGAACAATTCACCAACTGGAGGGAGACATTCGTCTTGAAATGCCAGATGTTATTCTGGGTGATGATATTGCAGAAATGGCTAAAGATACTGAACTGGTAGCCATGTTAGAGGAAACTTTGCATAACTGGGAAGTCACAATATCTTCTGCACTGGAGATCCAGTTAAAAAAGACACCACAGGGGAATGGACCTTTAGCCGAAATAGACTTCTGGAGAGAGAGAAATGCTACGTTGAGTGCGATCACTGAACAGTTAAAACTTCCAACAGTTAATAAAGTGGTAGCTATCTTGACTAATGTCCATTCTGAAAGTCTGGCAAGTTTTGAGTATCACAGAGCAGAACTAACAAAATACTACACTGAAGCGAAGGACAATGTTCGTTTTCTTTCCACTCTTGAGAGGCATTTTAAAAACTTAGCTCTTGGTGCTAGCTTCAACATTGTTTTGGAGACTATCCCATCAATGATGAATGCCTTGAGAATGGTGTGGATTATATCACGACACTACAACAGAGATGAGAGAATGGTGCCATTAATGGAAAGGATTGCTTGGGAGCTTAGTGAAAGAGTGTCCAAGATTGTCAATGTCCGCACAATTTTCAGGTGAGTATAAAAGAATTTGTTTTAAGTTGTTGAACTCTCAATAAAGGAGTTTTTTTATAAAGAAAATGTGGTGCTGCATTGGCGGAGATTGATGGGCTTATCAACTGGATTGAAACAAAGATTGAAAAGCTTGCATTAGTAATGTTCTTCATGATGTAGTTCTTCAACTGAAGGCTCCTGGCAAAACTATCCCCTTCATAATAATTATTATATTATTAAGATTGGGTTATGCTTAGAAAATGACCTCTCCCCCTCCCTCTCCCCCTCTCCCTCCCCCAACCTGCCCCCTCTCCTCCAGGGTAGATGTCCATGCAATGCCCTTAACCACTTTCTTTGTCAGAACTCTTCCTCCAGACAATAAACTCACGCTCAATAAAGAACAGAACTGAGTTAACACCTCTAACTCTCTCTTGGTAAAATTTACAATCTCTCGCCATGGGATTTTTTTTGCTGATCGATCACAATCTTGAAACAAGATCCTATAATATCCAGAAACCTCGGCTTCCATGCCCAGACAACCTTTCAGGGAGTGCCTTACTAGTTCACAAAGGAAAAGATGCAAACAAAACGTTATTAACATCCTAATATCATCCTACGAATTCTCAGATTCCTGCAAAATTCCTGTGGTGAGCATACATTTTACATTGTACCATGTGTCAGGAATCCAGAGTGAATTAAATTTTAGTCTGGAGTTTGCAATGAGTTATTACTCCGAAAACCCGCCAGTTTACGGGACACAATAAAATCTGTCTGGTTGTCCAGGACTAGCAAATTTTCTTGTCGGACAAGTAACTTTGTTTCCACTTGCCCAGTGGGTAAGAGTTCAGGCAAGTCAACATCTTGAAGCTAACTCACTAGCTAAAACAATCAATGGCCTTAAGCAGGCAAAATGTGAGACCTGCTTATCCAAAGGACAACCTAAAAGTCAAGAATTTTTTTAGTCTTGAATTTTAAGCAATTGATGCAACATTTTGCTTGTCCATTGATTCCCCAGGGAGCCTCCATACCTTATGAAACAAAAAACTACTGAAGCCAAGAGGACATTGGAAACATGGAAGGAATCTTACTTTGATGTGCGAGCTAAGATTGAAGCTTCTGGCCGAGATGCGAGGTGGGAGTTTGATAGAAAACGTCTATTTGAGAGAACAGATCACATGGCCTCGATTTGTGAGGATTTGAAGGAGGTGGCAACTGTCATGGAAGAGTTCTACAATATTTTTGGACCCGAACTCAAAGCTGTTACTGGCGATCCCAAGCGCATTGAGGATGTGTTGAAAAGGGTTGATGGGCTTGTTAAACCTATTGAAACTGTAAGTTAATGGTGTAGTGATATTGTAGAATGGTTTATGTCCCATTCACACCAACTCAACAAACAAATGAAAAACAGTAATGGACATGCTTTTACATGGAATTATTCAAATGAATCTTTTGAAATGTTACATAACAATATTTTTTTATTGCGCTAAATTTGCCCTCAATAAAATTACAGTAAGAAACTTTTATAAAGAAAACAAATTTAAACGATGTTTAACTAAACAGCTTTTAAGCATTTTTAAGCTTTGGTGTGAATGGGACTTAAGTTGAGATGCATGTAACGTAATACTTACATCAGAGTGAAGAATAACAAAACTTGCTTGGTATAAATTGTTACACGCAGGTTAAATATGAATGCGGCTTTGATTTTCCTTTCATAAATGTCCTTATATTCTTGAAATGCCTTTTTGTTCTCTGCAGATTGGATTTGATGCATTTAGTCTCAGGCATGCTGCCAGTTGGCGCAATGTTATGGACTGGTTTCACAGGGAAGTAACAGCCATTGAAAATGAAGCAAGGCACTTCATAGATGATTCATTCAAGACACTGCGTTCTGCTGAGGGAGCTTTTGACATGCTGCTCAACTTCAGACACATCAGATCTCGTGAAGCTATTAACTCCCAAATGATGAAAAAATTCAACGACATCCTGGTGCAGTTTGGCAAAGAGGTGTGAATTATAGCAATAATTACATAACATAAGCTAAACCTAAACTGATAAGTCTACATGTATGTTAAGTTAAAAAAAATTACACTGTAATATAATTTTCCACAAAGTCATCAAATACAGTGTTAGATGTGCAAGAATGCCGTGTTACATGACACAGAAGCTAATTTTCTCAAATTTTACAGACCGTTCCAAGATTAGCAGAAAGTATGTGCAGTGACTAAAGAAAGCAACCTTCTTGAATAATTTTCTGATCGTAAAATGACATTCTGTGCATTTTTTTTTTCACTAGGTGGATGCCATGTATACATTGTTCAAAGCTAATGTGGACAAACCCCCAATCTTCAAGAATCAGCCTCCAGTAGCTGGAGCCATTAGCTGGGAACGATCTCTTTTTCTGCGCATTAAACACACCATCCTGAGATTTCAGGAAATGGAGGACATGCTTAATTCTGAGCAAGGAAAACTGGTATGAGTCAAGTTTTCAATAACATTTTATTATTATATTAAGATATTTTTCGAAACACAATTTTCTATTCTCTGTTAGGCAAGTAAAAAGTATCTAAATGTGGCGCGGCAAATGAAGGATTATGAAGACAAAAAGTATGAAGCATGGAGGGAACAGGTTGAAGCCAATCTGCTGATCTATCTCAAGAAAAATCTTCTTACAAAGCCCTCAGCAAGCTCTGCTACTACACACAGAAGTGTTGCCGATGAAGGCACGGGTTCTGATGATGCTTCAGTTAGCCTGACAGCTGCTCTTCAGTCTCAAGGTAATTTGCAGGGCCACACTGTTAACCTTAAGAGTCCATCAATCATTATGTAAGGAAATTTTTGCCTATAAGAAAATACTGTATTCCTGGCATGGCAATCTTGAATTAACAGTATTATTATTGATGCAGACAACAATACATTCTAGATTGCTCTCTCTCAAAACAAAATAATGAAATTTGTGAAATTTATTCACATTATTTCCATTTCACATGCTGAATCTCTCATTTCATTTTGTCACATAATTTTGTTAAAAAAATAAAAAATTTGGTAGAACTGGCCTCCCCCACACAGTTATTTTTCTGCCTCCCTTGAGTAGGTCTTTTTATTGGGGAGAGCTAGATAAACAATTACATATGAGGCTTTGTAAAATTAGAAGCCATATACATGTTCAAATGTAGTCGAAATGGTCTCACTTTTATTGGCTTCTACCTCAGGGTCTTTTTGGCCAAATAATACAGTTAATCAAACTGAAAAATACAGAATCTGATGTATACTTTCTCTGCACTGCACTTGACGTATATTTTTATGAAGTTAACGCCTGCGTCGCAAGTGGAGGTTGGGTGCCCATGGGCCAGGGGGCTGCAACCACAATACACCCCAAGGTGGAAGAACACCCACAGGCCTACCAACCCGCAACCCAGCCACGAGCCCCCCCGCACCCAGCCCCTCACTATAGCACCCGTCACACTGAGGCCAGAAGCCCAGTGGAAGTAAAATGAACCAACCCCTGAAAGAATAAATAACTAAATAAATAAATAAGAAAGAAAGCGGAGGGAGGGAGGGGAACCAAGAGAAATGCTACGCTACTGGAACGCCACGCCAAGACACGCCACGCTAACAAAGCTTCGAGTACAACGCAAACACTACGTAGGCATGTGGCCTCCTCATGCGCCAAAGCGACATACCGCTGGACAGGAATCTGCCCCCATGATCACGAACAATGGTAAACGCTACAAACGCAAACATAGTCATGCACAACGCTACAGACGACCAACGCGCTACCAAAGAATGTCCAAAACACCTGAGACCATAGCTCCTAGTCGTTAACTACATTAAATATGATTTAATAGTATCCAAATGTCAGTACTGTTACCATTATTGTGTTTTTTTTTTCAGCCTCGCCTCCCAATGTACAGTATGTGGCAGATTTTGCACCTGAATTAGGCATGATAATCATGGAGACCAAATACCTAGAGCAGCTTGGCTTCCAGGTTCCTGAACTCGCAAGGAATGTTGCTTTACAGGTAAATTGTCATGTCATGAACAAACGTTGTTTCCCACCATTCAATTTTTGTCTTGAAGCAAATAAGTACGGCTTTGAGGCAGGTGAAGCGGCTGTTTTCATATTTTAAACGTTTTTTGGTATGGGGTCTTATGTTACTGACTGTCCTTCTCTATCTAGTTCTTGCTTTCTACAACTTCGGCTATCATTCCTAACTTAACTACTAACAGTTTAAAAGGGCTGCCAAAAGGGGATAAATTTTCCTGTGATGTCAGCAGTTGATGTAGCCTGCAAAGCGCAGATGTATTTCTGGTCGTCGCTTCTCTCCCTCCGAAAGTAGCTAATTTGATTCAGTTAATTTTCCGAGGGAGAGAAGCGACAACCGGAAATACGTCTGCACTTCACAGGCTACAGTTGATGAGAAGGGAATGGAGTAGTAACCCAGTAGTGAAGGCTGGAGAGTGGAGGGCATAATAAGAAAGAACATGGAAACCGGGAGTAAACACCATGCTTTTAGTTTTGTGCGAAATTTGAAGAAAAATATACACAGATCAAAGTGGAATATTGCATCAGATAACATTACATGTAGGGACAAATTGTACAAAATATATTCTTCTATATATATACCCCAAGGAAATTGCTCTTGATGTATTCCCATTATCATGTGATAATTTACTGAGATTTTTGTTCTTGTAACTTAACGTATTATGTAGGAGGAGAAGTACATAAAGTATGTGGATGGCCTGAAACTGATGTTGGATCGATATCACACTGTTATTGGTAGCTTAAATGTTGCAGAGGTAAAGCATTTACACTTTGTAAAACTTAGTAACATGGATTCAATTTCTTCACATTTTGATGCAGTAAAATAGTAGTAGGTTGATAGAAATCTCGTTCATCCCAACGTTCAAATATCTCTGAATTACTCTACTCATAAGTCCATTGTAATTTTTGGACTTAAATATCCACGGCACCTTTCATTCATTTTTTTGTTTTCCTTTAGACCCAACTACTTGATGATCACATCAAAGAATTAAAACGAGTCCTTAAACCGGGTGCAAAGAGATTGAACTGGAACTCACTGGGAATAAGTGACTACATCACACGATGTGGCCAGGTAAATATAATAATATGAAATTCGAAATGTGCAAAATAATAGCTACAACATCATACAATTTGAAAGCAATTGCTCAGTCATTCAGAGCTTAGAAAAGTTTAATTTCCTGAGAATGGGGTATTACCAGCACGTTATCAACTAATCTTTTAAACTTCCGCACAGGCAATCAGCAAATTTGAATCACTTGTGAATCAAATTCAGAAGAATGCTAAAGATATCAACAGTCGTTTGGAGATGATAGAGAACACTATCCTTTTTAAGCAACCTCCACCAAAGATTGGGGGAATGCTGCCAGATGCTAAGGTTTGTCAAGTGGTGCATACCGTACTTACATTATTATTGTCTTCTTGTATAATGCATTTAAATGCAATTTTTAAAGGAGTTAACAACTATTAAGAGCAAAGATAAATATGATTAGTGTCTGCAGGCATCGGAGATGTTATTTACTGTTCCATCACTTACTAATGTGCTTGATGTTTTCTAATAGGAATTCTTTGAATACCTTGAAAAAGCTCGAGCTTTGGAGCTTGATAACTTGTCCAGGAAATACAGAGCTATTGGTCCACTGTTGACAAAGATGGAGGGACTTGTGGTTCATACCAACACCGGCAGATCTACCAAACTGCAACCTTACTATGCATACTGGGAGAATGCTGTATATGAGTCTCTCACTAAGGTTTGCAACATCTGTTATTGAAAAAAAATTAACACTTTAAGCCTGGCCCTGAGGTAAACTTTTAATTTTGTTTTCCTCTAGCCTGACCATCAGTCGATTCTGGAGAGAAAAGAAAAAAGGGAAGAAAGCGAAGGGAGAGAAAAGCTTTTATTTCTCTGTTCCTCCCTTCCCCCTTCCCCTCTAAAATTTCCTCTCCTCTAACCCCTTAGGCTAGTTTTCTCTAATTAATGTTCCCTCAGCTCCACGGAAAGTATTGCGTTCCTCAAGTTAGTTTCCCAAGGGACCAGTCACTTAGTCACAAATTTATGAAAGTTAAAATCTCAACAAGCCGTCAACATCAATATTGACGGGTAAAAGTGTTCTGTTATATTGGGACGTCTTAGATTTTGCAATGTATGCTGCTCAGAGACGTTTGATGGGAAACAGTTTTATTGTTAGATGTCATGTGACCTCAGGGTAACCAATAAACAAAACACATGCAGTTGAGGGAAAAGTTCCAGCTATGCAACAAATGGGGCGTGAAGACTGGAACACGGCGATGGCAACAAGAACGTCAAAACAACAACCCTACACATGCAGCACACTTTTTTGTACATTATTTCTCTGCCGTCACTGCATGACCACGACGTGAAAATGCCTAATTTCAAGTGCTATAGAGGATGTTATCAAGCGACAACAAAATTTTTTCCTGTTCCTGGACTTGGTGATGGTTCATAGGAATTTAACTCTTTGAGAGTTCCTAGTTCATTCGAAAAATTAAGTGAGTTGGAATAATCGTGATAAAAATTGAACTGAAAAACCTGAATTCCCTTTATAAGCGAAGTTATCACCGCCGTCGCCGCCAGGGTCCCTATTAGGGTCCTTAAGATCCGAGGACGGCGACGGCAGCGAAAACGTCGCTGAAAAAGTGAATTCACGTTCTCTCAATCTTCATCGCGATTACTCCAAGTCACTAACTTAGTCAAATGAAGGTGAACCCTCCTAAAGTTGAATTCCTAAGAATCATATGCAAGTCCAGAAAGAGAGAGGTGGTCGCTTGTGTACTTCCTCTGTAAAACGTGAAATTAGGCATTTTCACGTTGTAGTGGTGCAGTGACGGCAAAAAAACGTACAAAAAACTACGATGGACGTGCAGAGTTTTAGTTTTGGCTATTAAGCCTATTGCTTTTTTGACGTTGTCTTTGCTGTCGCCGTTGTCGGATCTTAAGGTCCCTATTACCGAATATGTGGTGTACAAGAAGAGGAGTGTTCATCACCTTGAGATAAATGTGAGAGTTTACTTCCAGACAGCAGAGAGATGGAATTAACTATTTAAATAACGTTTTTTGCTTTATTATAAATGTAATACAATCGTTCCTAGCAAGTTATTGAAATGAATATCATGTGGCATACACGAAATGTAAACACACAAGTCATTAGTTTATTATTCTCCACTTTTGATTGATTGGGAAGCAAGTCAAACTTTTTTTGCTTTATTTAGATGGTGACAAAGAACTTGCAGCAATTTAACCAACAGCTTCATGCTCGCCAGCCATTGTTTATGATAGAAACAGTGTTATCTGCACCAGAGATTGTCTTGTCACCTCCTGCAAATGAGATCTACAAGTTAATAATGCAGAGTGTCAGGGATATGGTGGAGGGGTACGTTGCAGAAATCACTTAGTGTAGTTAAAATGGTGGTTGATTGAGTCCAAGAACTGCTTTGCACTGTTGGTACCCTGGGTGCCAGAGACATTTCATAGGCAGTTTAAGATCTGTTGGCCTGCAGTCCACACCGAAGCATCCCACCGCACGCGAGAAAAAACCTCTGGTACCCAGGGAATACTGTTGGTTGCGTACCAGACGTGTGAGTGGTTCAATTCCTGGCCGGACCAACACTCAGCAGGGCTGTCACTAATAGCCTGGGGTCGGGGATTTCCCCTGGCTACTATAAGGATAACCCCCGGCTTGTTTTTAAGGGAAAAATTGACAAAATCAAATGAATAGAACTTCCTAGCTGCTCAATTCCCGCCTACCTATAGCATACGAATACTGCGTTCTCTCCTCGCTCCTTGCCGCTAGGGAGTCTCTAGCGGCAAGGAGCGAGGAAAGGTGGCTGTATTCCCAGGCTAGCCTACTTATTACATATATCCGACACCCTCTAATCTTAGTGAGATCCCTGACTCAGGGTCTTAAAAAAACTGAAGAGAATGTGCTGTCTTCGTTACACGTATGCAAATTGTTAGAGTTTCTAGTCTTTACAAGGACGAAAAACACCCTAGGCCCTCTCTCAAAAAGAGTATACTGACTCTTAATGTACTTAAATGAAAACAAACTGCTGTTCGTGAAGAGTAAGGACACGTAGATCCCGGTTGTTCGGTTATTAATAGCACTCGTACTTTTTAGTGCAAACTGATTGAGGAGTAGTTCATTAAAGTCATGGTTGAATTGAGGATCCAGATATCTTGCATAAATTTTGAATACCTTGGTTTTGTGTTTATTGTTGATTTAATGTTGCCAATTGACCACTCCAGAAAATACCATAACATACCATAATGCTCTTTGTTTGCCAGCCCAAAATTTTGCATAAGCATTGGTTTCAGTTTCTCTTGGGGCCATTCTCACTCCCAAGAGAAACTAAAGACAAAGCTTATGCAAAAATATGGGGTGACAAACAAAAAGCATTATGGTATGTTATGGTATTTTCTGGAGTGGTCAATTAAGCTTCCTCAATTCTCTAGGAGGTTTCAGTTTGGAATAATGAGATTTTTACCACCATTCTTTTACAGAACACGTATGTTTGTGCGTTGGATGAATGGCACATGTATAGAGACTCCGCCCCAGCATGCTGAAGGTGAAGATGAACCAGTAGTGTTTAGTTTCTTTACAGACATCTCAGCCAACCCTGCCATCATAGACCTGGTGACAGCATTATCTAAGAGTGTACAGAACACTCTGGGGATGCTTAACAAGTACTTGACGCGCTGGAGGAGGTACCGACTGCTGTGGAAACTTGATAAGGTTGGTGTTCATCAGTCCCTGCAAAGGTTTAAGCCAAATGAAGGTGTTACGATCATTGTCTTAGGTTTTGTTGACGCTATACCGGATATCTTTCGTGGTGTCACTAAAAGATATCCAAGGGGCTCAAGTCGTTCACACACATTTAACATCGTGCCGGTGCGGTTGGCCGCGAGGGTTTGGGGCACTTAATTTCAGTCCTCACTCCTGAATATTTACTTCCGTCTCAGTGGGTTCCAGTTCTCACTCTTACTCATTAGGCTGATTTAGCAACAGAACGTCATTTGACGACGGGAAAGCGCGTGGAAAGGACTAAACTCGACTTCCGCTCTGCCAGTGGTCAAGCCAGTTGTTTGATTTGCGTGTGCAGTAGTCAACTGGCGTTCCCCTTCTGTTGCTAAATCACCCTATTTACTTCCGCGACGGGCCGAATAGGTTTTCACACTGCACTGAAGTATGACACAAAACTTATCTGATAAGTCACGCTTCACTTTTGAGATCGGCGCAGCGCAGCTACGCTCCGTCACAGAAATCGCGCCGCCACAACCGTTCTTGTGTGAATTCTGTAGACCAGGAGCCCTATCCGTTATAATTTTCATGGCGGCGTATACTTTCTTAAAGCTATCCAGTACAGTGTGAACATAGTGTTACATGGATCAAGGAAAGTAGTAAAGCAAATTGTTGAGCGGGAGCACACGGCAACACCCCTGCTAACCTCCCTGTAGCTGCTCCCCCCCCCCCCCCCCCACCCGATTGGTAAGCCTGCTACAGTGACTTTTAATCTTGCTTAAATTAAATTTAGCCCCCTTTGAACGTACAGTAGGAGAAGTTATTCTATTGCAATTTTAACTCAACCTATGGCTTTGTGGTCTGTTTGTTGTTTTACCGAAACAAGTGAATAAATGTTGTAAAAAGTCAAGAAAAGGATGTAAGCCAATTTTTTGACAGGGAACCACCGCACACCCCCAGCCAAACCCCCCGGTTGTGCCCCCCCCCCCCCCCCACACATCCGATTGGTAAGACTGCTACAGTGACTTTTAATCTTGCGTAAATTAAATTTAGCCTCATTTGAACGTACAGTAGGAGAAGTTATTCTATTGCAATTTTAACTCATACTAGTGCTTTGTGGTCTGTTTGATTCTATTCGACCGTTTATTGTCAGCAAACATGAAAACCTTTCTCATTTTCATACATTCGCCTGAGAAAACATCTGACATTTCGCGACGCCACCACTGGTTTCTCCGCGAAATCATGTCTGAGAAACAAGCACACAACTGATTCCATAATGTTGAATATTTTCTCAGGCTATTTCATACATAAAACGAAAATTTTTTTAAGTGGCGGTTGCAGTAATTGTATGGCTGATAGAAATGTCCATCCTTATTTTACGTAGGGCTTTTTTGATTTCTCTATTACTTTTAACATAATAATTTCTGCTAACTGTGTTCCGCCGCGCTTAACTTGGCAGAGTAACATGGTAGAGAAGTTTGCTCAGAAGAAGCCAACGTGTATCGCTTATGATGAAAAGCTTCAGTTCTACTCAAATCTTGTCATTGAGGTGAGAGACGTCGGCATTTTAGGTAATTATGTATGTACTACTTAAAACCGAAGTAAAGTAATTACTTTGGCCTAACATAAAGCATGGGCTTGCAGTCGAATGAACCAATCATACATTAAAGAAAACGCAAGTAGCGGGCGCCAAACGTGACAATACACTTGCACTAAAGCAAGTCACAACTGGTTGTGTGTTCGGTTCTCATCAGTTGAGAAAAGGCGCGAGATATTTTAGCCAATCACAGAGCGTAGACTAGTGTCTCAAGACCAAAGAATTCACAGAGTTCCTTTCAAGAGTCAATTGAAGTCGCTCTAATGTTTGCGTGGATCAAGTGTTTATTTATCTATATGATATTTTTTTCAGGTTGGGAACCAGATCATGATTAAAGACGTAGACTTTGTGCGCCTCAACCTTGATCCACTGGCCACAACTATCCAGGCTAATGCCAGAGCTTGGGTTAAGGAGCTTGCCAAGTTTTTAAATGAATCAGCAAGAGAAGATCTTAACGCACTCAGAGGAGAAATTGAGGTATGTGTATCCTGTCTGGAGGGCGATGCTACTTCTAGATACTTTATACGGCTCAATTAAGGTTTCTGGGAAACTGCCCATGGACCCCTCCCCTAACCTAACATTTTGCCCTAATTGAGAAGTAAGTGATAACGTTGAGTTAGGGGAGGGGTAGTTGGGCAAGTGACGCTATATGTTTGTGGGATTCCTGTGGCCATTTGCCCTCCTCTTCTCATTAAATTAAGCTGAACTACATTTATTACTGAATGGCAGATGAAATGCGCACAAATGCGTGTTTTTCTTCATCAATATCCAGTCTTTTCAGAAACATCTTAGGCCTTCAACAAATGCCCATTGAAAACCATAGCACAAACCAACATGATATGTTCGGTTAGCCAGTTCCAGGCGTTCAGATAGTAGAGCGCGGCATTCAGATGGTGGGGAGCGAGTAAAGCCATAGGCTGGGAAAACATAGTCTCCCCTCGTTTTTTTTTCGTCGTCAATTTTTCGCCTGCGCTCTACTATCTGAATGCGTGGAACAGTCTTGGTTGGCCCAGGGTAGGCCATCTTTCGTAACAATGTAATTGAACTTCCCTGCGGCTGGAATTGCAAGCTCATTTGAAGTCGTTCCGAGATCTGTAACCTCCAGCGATTCCATGGCTTTTTCAATACTTGTAAAAGATAACATAACTACCTTTTTTTCTTATCTGCCTTGTTGTTGTTTTTTCTTTAGGGGTTAACAGAGGATCTGAAACGTCCTCCAGACACACTGGAAGACCTGAAGTTTGTGCTGCGTGTGATTGCAGACATCAGAGACAAATCTCTTGAGGTGGAGCTGCGCTATGTGGACTTGCAAGAAAGATACAGAACCCTACTCATGTATGATATTGAGGTAAGAAGACAAACTTCTCCGAGAGCTTTGGGAATGGGAAGAGTTTCATATCAGTTAAGTAAAGGGGAACTCCATTTAGACAGCTACACTTGCAAAGTTCACAGATGCCGCGATTTTGTCGCTTCTCCTGCGCGCACCGAAAATCGCGCTCGAGTCTTGAATACCAAACCTGACCGTTGAAATCGCAGGAAAGAGTAACGAAAATTAAAGTTTTCGTTACAAAATCACGGCCTCCCGTCCACCTTGTGTGTAATTATTTTCCGTCCCATATGTGTATGGTGTGGCGCTTTTTTGGCAAGTAATTTTTCTCGAATTCACCACTTACAAATGTAACGACGGCTACGGCAAGACACGCATTGCAGGAAATAACACAATTATGGCCAACTCTTCATGTGTTTACGTTGGGTTGTAAAAGTATGCTTTTTGTTTTCGGTTTCTCAACTACAGTCTTTATCTGAGTGTCAAGATTTGGCGTTAGCTGAAGTTAAGACTAGTCGGGTTTAGTCAGTGTACATTGGTATGATTTACGCTGTCGTTTTATAGCCGTACACTGAGTACCAGATTTCTGTTTAGACTTAACAGTACAATACTAATAAAAAGTGATTTTAAACAATTATTGGCTGAATTTTTATGAAGGCCTTGGCCGCTAACACTTACCTCTACCTTGATTATTCTGAATATCACAAAAACCGAATCAAATTAATAATTGTTTTATTTACCCTTTAAGTCCCAATGTCAACATGTATATTCCCCTCGCTGTTCTTCATATATTTCTTATTGTACTGTGTGTGAGAGTTAGTTCAAACATCAAGGCATTTCATCAGTGCTGATCACTCCATTCATTCTCTTTATCTGTACAATTGATGTGGCAGTAATATTTTTGGGAGAAATTTGATGCTGGTCACCACTGGGAAGAAACTTACCATACCGCGTAACACAGTTTGACATTTCGCTTAGAAATCATGCACTGCTCGCGCAACCTACAGATTAGCAGAAAACCGACTTACCTGTAGGTTGCGCTGATTTCCAAAATAAACTGTAGGATATTGGCCAGTGAGAAGACAGACAGTGAGTACACTGTGTAATAATGTAATGAAATAAATGTGCTCTTACATGAAAGGTTCCTGAGGGTGAATTGGAGTTATCTACGAACGTAACGCAAGCATGGGATGATCTCTTCTTGGAATCTCGCCGAGTGGATGCCAGTTTGGTGTCTGTAAAGAAGAAGTTCACTGAAGTAAGATTCCTGTTATGACTCTATGACTATATGACCGTGATTTCAATATGTTGTAAGTTATATGAAAAAGTAAGCCACTGAAGAATAAATTAGTATTATTTGAAACTTTAAATGCCCAAGAATGTAAGTTTGTCTTAAAAAGATATACCCTAGTTAGTTATTACTGATTTATATCTCATGTGACATTCAATTATCATCTTATTTATATCGTATCTATATATTTTAGATAACTCAAGACCAAGTGGCTGACTTTTCCACAGACATATCTAAATTTAAAGAGAGCTTCATAAATGAAGGACCAAATTCTATTGGTACAGACTTAGATGCAGGTAATACAGTATTTTGAAACTTTCAGACAGTTAAACTCTCAAGGTGCACTGGACTCTAGTTTGGCAATTTTAACGGAGCTTAAGTGATGCACGTCACCCGGAAGTGAAGCCCTCTCCCTTTTTTATATGCCTTGACGCAAACAAATTTGTATTACTAAGTTTCTTTTCACTTAGACGATTAACCCGAGAGTTTCAAACAAACCACTGCCCAGTGATTCAAAAAGTCAACTTCTGGTTGACGTCCGTCCCTCAAAAACGCTGTTGCTTAAGCTCCGTAATGATTGATTCCCAGGCCTGAGTTGAGTATATTAAGCGATGCACGTCAACCGGAAGTGAAGCCTTCTCTCTTTTTATATGCCTTGACGCTAACAAATTTGTATTGCTAAATTTCTTTTCTCTTATTAAGACGATTTACCCGAGAGTTTCAACCAAGCCACTTCCGGTTGACGTCCGTCGCTCAAACACGTTTTTGAGCGACGCATGTCAACCGGAAGTGAGGCCTTTTCTCTTTTTTATATGCCTTGACGCAAACAAATTTGTATTACTAAGTTTCTTTTCACTTATTAAGACGATTTACCAGAGAGTTTGAACCAAACCACTGCCCAGCGATTCAAAAAGTCCACTTTCGGTTGACGTCCGTCGCTCAAGAACGCTGTTGCTTAAGCTCCGTAATGATTGATTCCCAGGCCAGAGTTGAGTATATTTGGTGATATTGTGTTTTTGGGTAAAGGATTCTCCACTAATCTTAGCCTGCGAGCAAGCTCTCCATTCGGGGAAGTCGCGAGAAGTCACGCGAAAGGATACGCAATATGCTGGTAGGCTACCATATTCTCCGCCTAACATCCTCGAAAGTTTAGCATTTTGAATTACTTGCCCATTTGGTATTCGACAGGCACGATGTACGGAAATTTGGCCATTATATTAATATATAAACAGTGTTTTAGCCTGTAAATTGGCCTCCAATATTTTGGTATAAAGCCGAAGGGATATCGTTTCTCCATCGGCCACATTTTAGGGTAGATAATGTCACTTTTCCTGCAGTGTTGTAAACCAGATGTTGACCGCAAAGAACTTAACTGCTCGTAGGAGTGCTGAATAAATGTATTTTTTAGTTGGGTTCTTAACGTCAGTAACTCTCTTCTTTCAGGCGTGGAACTGCTCAAGAGGTTCAAAGAAGAGTTTGCTAATTTTGAAAAGGAGCGTCAAGAGTTGGCCAATGCTGAGAAACTGTTTGGTTTATCCATCACCTTGTACCCTGAGCTGCTTGAGATGGAGAAAGAACTGAAGGGATTGGATCAGATTTTCTCCATCTATGAGAATCAGAAAGTAAGGAAATTTATGAGGCAATAAAGAGGAGGCAGCGTGGCTGAGCGGTTAGAGCACTGGACTAGTAATTCGCAAGCCCAAATTTCTAGTCAAGCCCTAACCGCTAGCTAGATTTGTTCATGGTGGCCCCAAATTTAAATCCTCGACCACGCTTGTAAAATTGCCATCAGATTTGTCTCCGGCCAGTTGGGATTCTTAACCCTCTTAAGTAAACTACTGCCGAGGGTAAATAAAGAAATATAGATTTTATTTTTTTAATACTAGGTCGTGCTACTGTAGCAACCTCTTTTCTCTCGTAATAATGTTTCTTTTTACACATAAACTGTTATCTGTATCTATGGGCCAAAGTGTAATTGACAATTGATTTTTGGCCTCTGAGCAAGCTCTTCGTTTCGAGTGCGGAGCGAGTGGAGCCGCGCGAAAACTCGTCTCCTCTCACGTGTTGCTCGCGCGTGACTTCTCACGATATCTCCCAAATGGAGAACTTGCCTGCTGACTAATTGATTCCCTCTGACTCAACAGGCGGCTCGAGATGAGTGGGCCAACACACTGTGGGCTAATCTTGATGTATCAGTGTTGTCAGAAGGCATTGATGGCTTTATAAAACAGCTCAAGAGATTGCCTCGGGAGGTCAAGGCTCTTCCACTCTGTCATATCCTTGAAGAGAAGATGAAGGAATTTAAGAACTCTATTCCACTTTTCTCTGATTTGAAGAATGAGGCTCTAAGGGAACGGTCAGTAACACAATTTACTAGTTTTCCTTTATTTTCTATTCGATTTCCAACCATGCTTATTGCAAAGTATGTGCGGGAAAACACTGTTGTCCGGTTACTGAAACAAAGTTGAGGTGGTGTTTCACAAAACCGTGGTCTTAACCAAATTCAGTCTGGGCAGTCATAATAGTTTGAAAACCTCATAAGCACACAGTGCCAGGAAAGCATAGAGCACGGTTTGGGGAACACTTCTTCTTTTGTAAACAGATTTAAAAGTTCAAAAATTAATTGTCCTAATTCGCGTTCTGAGTTAAATTACTGACCGTGTTGATTTTTCTAAGTCGTTGAATGTGGTTAACCCTTTAAGACCCAATATCATCATGTATATTCTCCACTTTGTTCTTCATTTATTTCGTATGGTACTTCGTGAGAGAATTAGCCTGCGTAACAGGCGCTTGGAAGTGATGGGCGCAGGAAAGAACATGGTGCGCGAGAGAGACACGCGTGTCTCCCTCGCGCGCTCTGCTCTTTCCTGCGCCCATTACTCCCAAGCGCCTGCTACGCAGGCTGTGAGAGAATTTGTTCAAACTTCAAGACTTTTCATCTTTGGTGTTTGTTTTATTCTCATGACCTGTCTGTTTGATCTGGTAGTGTTATTATTGGGAGAAATTAGATGCTGATCACTGTTGGGGCTTCAAGGGCTCAGAGAGTTAAACGGTTTCTTTTCTCATTAGTCACTGGAAGAAGCTAATGGAGATGACGGGCATGAAGTTTGACCTCAATCCCGACACCTTCACCCTCCAAAACATGTTCGCCATGGAGCTGCACAAGTTTCAGGATGTCATCGGCGACATCACTGCCAGTGCCACAAAGGAGCTTGGCATCGAGAAAGGCATCAGTGAAGTGTCTGACACCTGGGGTACCATGAAATTCACTGTATCCAAATTCATGAAGGGAACACAAGAAAGAGGCTTCATCTTGGGATCTGTCGATGAAATCCTGCAGATTCTGGATGATAATGCAATGAATCTACAAAGCATGTCCGCCTCACGGTTTGTTGGCCCTTTCTTGGAAACGGTCAACAAGTGGGAGAAGAGCCTGTCGCATATTGGGGAGGTTGTCGAGGTGAGAATGATACTGCTTGCTCACTAAGCTAGTTCTAGTATAGGTTAATTTCGAGATCCAAAAACCCTTACTTTCAAATATAGACTAAGTGGAAAACCTTTCTTGTGAAAATGAGTTTTAACTTCTTGACAATACAAAATCATTTTCGTGTCAATGGCTTCACACTTACCCTTGCTTTGAAACAGAGGCTCGAGGCAATAAATCTGTAACTCAGTCAAGGCTCCTTTGGCTATTGGGCGTTTGGGCATGGGGAACTCACTGTAATCATTTGCTTAAGTGACCGCCACACAATAGCTTCGCTGCTAGTGCGCAATTGCCCAATGCCCAATGCCCAAAGCAACCTAGGAACGAGGTTGAAAGCAACTGTCATTTGATCAGGTGTATATGTTGTGGTTCAGTTTTTTCCTTTATTTAAATTTTATTTTCCTTTGTTTTAAACTCATTATCACACATTACCAAAGCACAAAACAAAGGAAAAGAAAATTTAAACCAAGGATAAAATTGGACCACAACATATGCGTCAGAGTCTTTTCTCCAGTGAATTTTATCGTCTCAATTTTTACGTATATTTATATCAGAATATTGCTTACAGGTGTTCCATACACCCTCATTCGATTGATGCATGTGTTGTTTATAGGTGTGGATGGTTGTGCAAAGAAAGTGGATGTATCTGGAAAGCATTTTCATTGGCGGAGATATCAGAGCACAGCTACCAGAAGAGGCCAAGAAATTCGACGACATTGATAAAACTTTCAAGAAGGTAGAATAATTGAATTTTGTCTTTTTCAGTGCATCCATTTTCACGAGTTAATCAGCCTGTTCCAGGCGTTTACATAGCAGAATGCGGCGCGAAGTCAGAGAGCGGGAAAAAATAATGAGGAAGAGAGAGGGGGGGGGGGGAGAGCTTTCACCCCTTACCCCACCCCACCCCCTCGCTGTTTTTGTTGCTCACATTTCTTTGCGCCGTTCCCACAAACTGAATACCTGGAGCAGGCTGCACTTACTTCAGTAGCTTCCTATACTCTTTTTCCATTGTTCAATAATGTACACCGCATCTCTTTCAGATCATGAATGACACAGCCAAGAATCCCAAAGTGTTGGAAGCTTGTCACGCCGCCAGTCGTCTGGAACAACTTCAGATGTTAGTCACCGGTTTGGAAAAGTGTCAGAAGAGTTTGAATGATTACCTGGACTCTAAGAGGAACGCCTTTCCACGGTTCTTCTTTATCTCTGATGATGAACTGCTTTCTATTCTGGGAAGCCATGATCCACAGTGCGTGCAAGAACACATGATCAAGGTATTTTATCATGCTCCTTTAACTGTATTAGAACGAAACTGAATGTTTTTCCGACTTTTGCACGCGCGAAAATGCCACCTGAAATGCTAAGAATTGTGTTCGCCGGGTAACTCTGCTTGTTAAATGAATAAATAAGGGAAGTTTAGTATAGTAAACAGGTGAAATTTAGCTTTCTGAGAACGTTTTCAAATAAGAATTGACGTTTAAACGAGCTATTATCAATTTGGTCTCCATCTAAGCTTCACCAAGAATAGGACAAAATGCCGGCTTATGTGTCTTTTATTGGTTGCTAAGGAGTCTGCTGCAGGCACAAGTTGTGCGAAAGGTGTGTACTGTTATCCGTTGTATAAATAAAGCACTCGCGTCCTATCAATTTTTTTCCGAATTCAAATCCCAGCGTGAACGCCATATATGGGTTGGGTTTGTGGTTGGTTCTATCCTTTGCTCCAAGAGGTTTTTCTTCGGGTACTCCGGTTTTCCCCTCTCCTCAAAAAAACATTTTCAAATTCCAATTCGACCAGGAACCAGGTACACGAAGAACCACTACGTGAATGTGCTACCTCTAAATCGCTATTTATTTATTCAATTTATGGTTGTTTATTTATGCGCTGGATTGTAATTTAACCAGTGGATAGCGCTATCCAACTTCCGAACAACCTTGCTGATTCAAGAGCAACACAAAACAAAATAAAAACTGATCAACGTTATGATAGCTCGTTTTGGTCAGCACAGGAAACAAACCCCGGCTGATACTCTCGATCTGTTAATTTATTGTTTAGATGTTTGACAACATCGCCAAGCTTCGGTTTGAAGAAGGCACTGGTCAGGAGATTCTGGCCGGTGCTATGATCAGTGGTGAAGGAGAGGTGATGGACTTCAGACAGCCAGTGGCTGCCGAGGGGAGGGTGGAAGATTGGATGACAAATGTGCTGAATGAGATGAGGAGGACCAACAGGCTCATCACCAAGGAAGCCATCTATAAATACGGTGGAGACTTGCCAAGGTAGACAAAACCATACTAAGGAATGCCACAAAGCTTAACAAAACATAATTTAGAACAAACGCCACTGAATCGTAGCCAACAGTTACCAGCGCCGTACAAACGACTCATTGACGAGATCAAGCAAAACTAACTATGAGAGAACGACTGGAGAACTGACAATTTGACTAACGATAGACGACTGTTTAACTGTGACAATAGACGGATCGAAACGCACCAATTACTGATTTCGAGTCTTCATAGCCAATAACATCACGGCATAAGTGACAGACGACCAATAACATCGCGACGTAGTCGACCAATCAGATCAATAATCAGAGTATAATACCATCAACTGACGTGATACAACTCACTTTGACTCTGAAGATGGCTACCGCACAGGTTGTCGAAACGTCGGTCACTGTCAACAACAACAGTCCTATTCAGGACTACGTTCACCCGGACGATCAAACTCAACCTACTTTTGAAATGACTCTTGGGTTCAAACCTTTCACAAAACATACACTGTCATACAGCCGACTTGTTACCTCAATTGATCTGATACCAGACCTCGGAGCGGTAGGCCCAACCAATCACGATCACTTTTTTCCGTGCTAAATCGTGAACAGCAATTCTCGGCAACGTTCACTTTTAAACCCCTTAGAGAAAAATGAGTTCTCTTCAACAACATATCCTACTAAAGAGGCGGCAATTTCGAACGCCCTGCAACCCAAATCTGAGTATAAGGCCCCTGGTATCAGGCATTCCTCACTGACGGGTTTGAAGGAAAACCTTTCGCCTGGTGCTGAAGTAACCTCGTTCCCAGGACTTTTTCCCACTTGGGGAACGAGTAAGGCTGCTGCAATCTTCGCCCTCCTCCACCCCCTCCCCCACCCACCTCTTACGTTCTAAGATAGGCTACACACCACTGCGATGAGTTGCATTCAACAAGATAAAGTGAACTAACTTCGCTCAATGCAGTCCACTCATTTTGAATTTTCAGGATCGACTGGATGATGGCTTATCAAGGTATGGTTGTATTGGCTGGAAACCAAGTCTGGTGGACTTGGGAGGTGGAAGATGTGTTCCGTAAAGTAAAGAAGGGCGACAAAATGGGCATGAAAAACTACGCCAGAAAGATGCACAGACAGATCAGTGACCTTGTGACGAAGGTTTGTTAATAATGTTATCGAGAGAGCCTTCCTTAAAAACATCTGCGTGGGAGGCTACCAGTTAGACAAACTGATAGTGGGGTACTAAAAGAGCGGGAAGATAGTTTGGAGATCCGAGATTAGGATTGCTGAGCTTAATTCAGTAAAGTATTAAACCATGTCTTAATAATGCTTGGATATTCTAATTGGACATTCGTTCTCGTGTTTGACTGACAAGGTCCTTTCCTTCTGGGAAGCTATAGTGGCGCCTCCCACCAGTGTGGCTTAGGTTCGAATCCCAGAGGCGACAATATATGTGGGTTGTGATTTTTTTTTTGTAGTGAAGTTTTTCGTCGGATACTCGATGTTTCGCTCTCCTCAGTAGTCAACACTTTCTAAATTGCAACTCGATCTGGAACGTACAAAGACTTGGCTCCTAACTATTGTAATTTGTAATTGTAAATATCTTATTATCCACTCCCCACAGAGCTTTTCAGGGATAATTTACAACACTGGTTGGGGGACTTTGCCAGACTGCTTAAGTTGCAGTTTACAAGTACTGAAGGAATGAGTGATGATGCCCCCATACATGAGTGTGAAACGGTTTTCCGTGGGTAAACAAATTACAGCAGTGGCGGATCAAGGGGAGGCCCCCGCCCCTAATTTTTAGACTAAGTTGAGGCCCAAACGGCCCGAAAAACGTTTTTTCAGACCCCCCACTGTACAGTTCCTTTTACTTCAAGTCCTTCCAAGGGTTGGTTGTAGGTACAGGTAAATTAAAGAACGCATTGTCTGTTTACGACACAGGTTCGTGAACCAGCCTTGACTAAGAATGACCGCAAGAAGTTCAACACAGTGTTGATTATTGAAGTTCACGCCCGAGACATCATCGACAGTTTTGTTCGAGACAGGTGTGTATGCATTAGTGTCAGACGGCCCAATCCACACTTGACTTAACGTCCACTCTAAGACAATCATTAGGAAGTTTTACGAAAGGGGAGATTTTCGGAAACGTTTTGGAAAGTGGAGTCTTTAAAAAAGGGAGGTCTGTCTTCTCAGTATGGAGACGAACGCATGCCTGACGCTTTTGCCAGCTTTAAAAATGGCGGGAAAAAACTAGAGTGTCGAATGTCGTAGTATCGCTGGCGTTGTTAGAGACTTTTAGATTCTAGGACGAAAACGACTACGAGTGCGAGATTTAACTTCGCGTATTCTCAAATAATAGACAACCCGGATAGCTTCATTGTACATCTTTTTCACCAAAAAAAAGAGCACTGCTACCTTGATTGAAGGCGTTTAAGGTATCTCCCAGCCGCAAAATAATAAAAACTACATCACTTTATAACTTGCGTCCGCTAACACTACATTCTCGCTAAAACTCCTGGCAGAATGACGATGACTATCACATTTTCCCGCCAAAATGGCACTGGTTTACACGTGCGTACTCCTTAGTATTGAGAAAATCTCGTACTCGTAGTCGTACTCGTCTTAGAATCTAAAGGTCTCTGTTGATCCAAGTGCACTGAGAAGTAGACACTTCCTGGAATTATTTGGGTAAGAAACCTTTCGATATTTCCGAAATACATTTTCGATGGCTAAGTGTGGGCGGTAAAAAAATGCCGATATGGATGCGTTGTTTTCCATGCGTTCTGCTAACACGACCGGTATCCTAACCTTGAGCTTTGCAATGTCCAATCGCAACGTAAGCGGAAAACAGGTGAATTTTTAGTTAGTAATATACTCGATGATAACGAGGAATTGAATATGTGTAAACTGGCGGCAAGACATGTTTTTTTAGTGTTTAAAATTCATGAATGTGTTTGCTTGTAGTATAATGGACACTCGTGAATTTGAGTGGGAGAGTCAGTTGAGGTTCTATTGGGACCAGCTGCCTGATGAGTTGATGGTGCGTCAGTGCACGGGAGAGTTTGGATACGGATACGAGTACATGGGACTGAATGGCAGACTGGTTATCACACCTCTGACTGACAGAATCTACCTTACTATCTCACAGGTAAAAGATGTTAGAGCAGGAAGCTTAAGTAAGGGCATCTTCGAGCGACATTACTCAAGCCAGCCGGAAGTGGACTTTTCGCATTCGCATTCGCATAAGAGTAAAGAAATTTAGTAAAACAAATTTGGTAGCTTCAAGGCACATTAAAAGGGAAAAGCCTGACACTTCCGGTTGTCGTGCGTCGCTCAAAATAGCCGTAGCTTGAGCTCCCGGCAGATGTTTGAGCTATGATTGCAAGATTCACTGACTGGGAGTATGAGTGCGAGTTTGATGATTCCAGTTCTAACTGAATTATTTCATGTGCTGTGTTAGGCCTTGTCCATGTACCTAGGCGGTGCCCCAGCAGGACCCGCTGGTACAGGAAAAACCGAGACAGTCAAGGATCTGGCCAAAGCTTTAGGATTATTGTGTGTCGTTACCAACTGTGGAGAAGGCATGGACTACAAGGTAAATGACAACTGACAAACCAATGAAGATTGTGTGACAATGAATATGCATGACATATTACTTCTTCATGATGTAGTTGTGCTTGACTTAACTGGCATCGCCTATCATTTTTTTTACAACCACTGCTTTCTAAACAAATTTTCGACTGAAAAACATTCAGCCATGTCCTCATCTGAGAAGAGGTTGTTTATGGGACCAGATTTTTGGGCCCGTTGGGTGGTCGCACTAACGGACTTTCATTATATCTTTTTTTTCTCTGCGTTTTGTTTGTTCCCAGTCTATTGGCAAAATCTTCTCGGGCCTAGCACAGTGTGGCGCCTGGGGTTGTTTTGATGAGTTCAACCGTATTGACGTTTCTGTGTTGTCCGTCATCTCTACTCAAATCAAAACACTGCAAAACTCACTCAGCAACCACCTCAAGAGACTACAGGTAAGACCTCTGTTTATTCTTTTGCTCTGTGTGTGGCATGTGAAGTAGCTTCCCACGCAGACGTTCTTAGGGGTTCGTCACGCGTTCCTGCCGCACGAACAGGAATGCGTGACGAACCCCTAAGAACGTCTGCGTGGGAGGCTACATATAACGTGGATGAAACTGTTTGTGGATGTAAACTTGGGCGTGGCTTTTTAGATGGAACCTGTTGTGTAGTGCGTTAGTGTCGTTTATTTCCCCAAGCACTATCCACCATGTAATTAAACAATTTTCTTGATTTTCTCCTTTTTGCGAGTGATTATCGGTGGGTTTATCTCATCGTTTCCAAGCAAGTTTTCAAACTGTCTCAGTCACCAAAAGAGGAGGCTTACTACCAGGAAACGTTGCTCTTTAAAATTCACAAACGTTCTGGATCAATTTGCGGTATCATTTTATAGCCTGCGAACGCAGACGTATTTCCGGTAGTCGCTTCTCTATACCCGAGAAGCGACGACCGGAAATACGTCCGCGTTCGCAGGCTACGGTATCATCAGAAACGTTGCAAAACTTCTTGCTAACCAGATTGGTATGCTGCTGTTTAGAATGTTACTCTAAGCTTCTGGTTTACGACTTTCAATCGCATCAGTTGGCTGATGGAAAAGGTACCAGAGCAGCTCTAATGTTTCGTGCTCCCGGTAGAGTGAAAAGTTCAACTGCGCAATTCGCCTTACAAGTCCTTGCAAAAAGCACGGACTGATTTATTCGACATTCTTGAACCCCGTTATGTTCTAACAAGTATGTATTTCATTTATCAGTTTGAAGGTACCGAGATAGCGTTAGATGGTCGCATGGGGATCTTCATCACCATGAACCCTGGTTATGCAGGCCGTACAGAGCTCCCTGAGAGTGTCAAAGCTCTCTTCAGACCTGTAGTGTGTATTGTTCCTGATTTACAACAGATCTGCGAGATCATGCTTTTCTCTGAAGGATTCTTAATGGCCAAGGTAATCAGCGTAATGAGTTAGTTCAGTAGTTCAAAAAGGGGCTAGGAAGCGCAATTTTAGGTAAATTTCAGCTCTTACCAATTGGTAATGTAACTTACTGAAGTATCAAGATGACTGGTTGAAACAGTAAAAGAAAACACAGTAATGAAGAAGCCCAAAAGAGGGCACGGATATTTGACATGGGAAAATTTAAGCAGATTTTAGTTAAGTGAACTTGAAAAACAGCGGCACGATCTTATAATATTAACGAAGTATTATAACTATTATTATTATTATTTAACGTGGCCGTGTTTTTTGTCAAAGGTCAAAGTTCACAATTAACGAAAATAATTACTGTAACAATTATCGAACGTATCGTGACCTGGCCCTTTAAAGGCAGAAGACCCTATTTGAGAGGAAGTTCCTTGATACCTATTTATACTTGCAGGTTCTGGCCAAAAAGATGACAGTTCTGTACAAGCTGGCATCCGGACAGCTATCCAAGCAGTCTCATTACGATTTTGGTCTCCGTGCATTAAAGGCTGTTTTAGTGATGGCAGGAGAGCTGAAGAGAGGTTCCCCTGATTTGAACGAGGCGAGTTTTACCCTTTAAAAGCCACTAACGGTGATCAGCATCAAATTTCTCCTTGTAATATCATTGCTTTATAAAACAGACATGTGATAAGAATTTAGGACATGATCACATATGATGAATCTAACTGATTCTTCGACAACTTCTCTCCACTACTACTGTAGGAAACTTACAGGGACAAGTGAGAATTTGAATGTGGATATTAGGGGTTTAAGGGTTAAGTAGTAGACCAGTTAGAAACTGTTGTAGATCTACTTGTCAGAACCATTTTCTAATAACACTTGTTTAGGAAGACCTTTTGAGCAGGCAGCAAAAGTTTTGGTGTAATATTACAGTACATCTCTCCCATTGACGGATGCAGTGTTGATGAATTTCGTGACGTGACATTAACAATAGTTTTAGTGTAACAGTATTTTATCTCTTCCTGTAGGATTTTGAGTTGACGCAAGCGTTTCGTGACAACAGTTTTGCTGATTGCAAAGTTTCGTCGCATGAAATTTCCAACAGTTTTGGTGTAACAGTATTATATTTCCTCCTTTAGGATGTAGTGTTGATGCGAGCGTTGCGTGACATGAATTTACCCAAATTCGTGTTTGAAGACGTACCACTCTTCCTTGGCCTCATAGCCGACTTGTTCCCAGGCCTTGACTGCCCGAGGGTTCGCTACCCAAATTTTAATGATGCTGTGGAAGCTGTTCTACAAGACAACAAATATATACTACTTCCCCATCAGGTATTTCAGAAGAATTTTGACATAATATTACATCCAAGAGAGTGCCTTAGTTAAGACTGACAACAGCAAGAACAATAAGACTTTTTGTAATGTGCTGCATGACAAACGACACCACAAATTTCTGGTCACCAAGTTTTATTTGTGATAGTCAAAAGATTTCGTCCAGAAAGATTCTGGACATCAAAAGTCTACGTCCATGGTGCGAAACTAGAACTCGACACTTGCTAAAACTTAGCAGCCAGCAATTGTTTCTTTCAAAACCCTCATTTACAAGCATGAAATGCTGCTAAAAGATCTAATTTATTAAAAGCTGTTGGTATAAAACATGGTGCGACAATACTGTTCACACTTACTTAAGATTTTATGTGTGATTGCGTTACAGGCTGACAAAGTTGTTCAGATGTATGAGACCATGTTGACGCGTCACACAACCATGATCGTTGGTCCGACCGGTGGTGGAAAGACTGTTGTTATCAATACCTTGGCACAGGCGCAGACACGGTAAGATTGCCTGTCCGCACCCACCTTCCACTAACCAGAACGATAACTTTTTGTTATAAACTTGAAGGAATTATGCTATTGATGCGCATAATGTTCATTAGTGCCAGGATGTAAAGGGGAAAACCAATTGCAAAACTAACAACAACGGAGCTGCCATGCAACAGCCTCTCCGGTCACCCTATCCCCAGTGTCTTCTTGTTTCTAAAGGCAGCGCTACCTTGGAAAGGTCCTGGTGAAGAGTACAGTACTGTTAGAAGGTCTCAGTTGTTCCGTATGTTTTGGCTTCACTGTCAAACAAAATTTGCCCTATATTCCCTGCTATTGTTTTACAGTTAAACCCCTTAAGTGCGCAGTCAAGGAGGCAGGTGGACTGGCATCTGTGTTATAAATAGGCCCTGGAACTTTCTGTCAAAGGCTCTCTCAAGATCTACTTGTTGTTGTTGAAACACTCGTCTCTAGTGTTTATTTGCTTATGGAGTCAGCCATTTCAAATTGATCAAGAGTAGCTGGTCTGCTTAGCTTTAATTTGACTTAACTGTCTAAAGGCTGAGACCTTTCAGGGTGAACAGAAAGACTTCTTTTTAAGGATGTCCGGCTTTGAGTTGACTGGCGGTCTGTGTTTGTTTTGTGTTTTCAGCCTGGGTATGTCCACTAAACTGTACCTAATGAATGCCAAGGCCTGTACAGTGGTAGAGCTGTACGGAACATTGGACCCAGTAACTCGGGACTGGACTGATGGATTACTATCCTGCATCTTCCGTGAGATCAATAAACCAACCGACAAAAACGAACGGAAGTATATTGTGTTTGATGGCGATGTTGACGCCTTATGGGTTGAAAACATGAATTCTGTCATGGACGACAACAGGCTGCTGACGCTAGCTAATGGCGAGAGAATTCGGCTGCAGAAACACTGTGCTCTGCTGTTTGAGGTATGACCCTAGACTTATCATGCCATTTTTATTCGACCAAGAAAAGTGGCTTCCCAACTGTTTGCATGTGGTTAAAAGGATCAACACGAACTCTACTCGGTTTTCTGCGAAAATTGAATAATTTAATAAGGATGGTACTCATAACACAGAGTTATTTTAGCAAGGACAACTGCAGCATGCAGAGGTAGTTGTATATTAGGTTGAAAATAGAACAATTTAACTCTTTATGGTAATTTTAGATTATTGCGTCGATTCTTCCTTTTCATCTCAGTGATTCTTGCTAAGATTTACCTTTGCTAAATGGTCAATCATCACGCTAAAATAACCTGCGTTCCGCAGACCTTCCCGTAATGCGCAGAGTGCACAGTAACAACGCCTACAACGCCTTTTACTGTTGCGGGCACCTCCATAAAAGGGACCCTTCCCTATTGGAAGTCTGAAATATCAACCATCCCCTCCCCTAACCAACGGGACGCGCGGTGGGTTAGGTAGAGAGTATTTTATCGCTGCCACCCTGTTGCTCCTTGGCTTGCTTGTTTCGTAAGTTAACCAAAGGTCGGGCACATGAGAGAGACTCTTTTGTAATTAAACACAGACGTTAAAGTGGCCAACTATTTCCTCAGGTTGCAGATCTCCGCTACGCGTCTCCAGCTACTGTATCACGGTGCGGTATGGTGTACGTGGATCCCAAGAACCTGGGATATAACCCTTACTGGGAGAAGTGGTGTAATGCTCGCGGAAGCGATAAGGAGAGAGAGGAGCTCAACAGACTGTTTGAGAAATATGTGCCACCCTGTATAGACCTCATACTTGAAGGAATCGTCGAGGGAAAGATAGGAAAGAAGTTAAAAACTATCATCCCTCTCACAAATCTGAACATGGTAAGTGAGTGGATGGGACTGCTTTGAAATTTTCATCGATTTATGTGAAAATAAAAAGACAAAATTTCCATATTTATATTTTACTAGAGGTAATCATTGATTACAGATCCGCGTTCGCCACTTTAATACGGAAACGAAATCGAGTCACAGGAACTCAAGATTAGGAAGCGTTCTGACGAACGCGATAAGTAAAATGTTAGGTACGCAAAGACTAATCGAGGCCAATATTGTGGCCTACAGGAAAATCGGAATGAAAATTGATGAAAAATAATAGCAGATAATGACAGTCATAAGAAGGAACTGAACTTCGTGAACGGTTACTTTCTACAGGACCGTGTCGTGTTTGTTTGTTTGTTTGTTTGTTTTGTTTTTGTGCTGTTGCTTTCTCCAACTAAAAGTGGATGAAGGACGAATATAAGGGCTTACGTCGAAACATTTCTTTTATTCTAGAATAGGTGTATCTGCTTGTAGGCTTACCCTCTTGATCGACTGAAAGACATTACCGGCACAGCTTGTTTGCTAGGCTGTCTGATCGGCGTGTCTTTGCTGTGGTTTATTAACATACAAATTACCTTGAGAACGCATATTAATACAAACAAATTTTCAAAATTTGAATGAGCTGTTACATTAAGAACACTTAAACCACGTTTACATGGTTGGGACTGCGCTGCAAAACTGAGCTCCAGTTTAAGTGTTACCTGGAGATAGTCAATAGAGGTGGACACTACTAGAGATTGTCACGTCACTCGTGATGTTTTTCGTCCCACCGTTGTTTTAAGGTCTTAACTTGCCATGTGTCCATCAAAGAGTATACGGCATGTCGATTTCATTTTTAGAGAAGTTCTTTCAATATTCGATTGCTATTTTTTAAGACATGAATGGTGAACTTACATCGGTGAGGAAGAATATGTAGACAAAGATAACCACTGACAAGTTTGATTATTTCCGTTGTCAGGTTGTTCAGTTGTCCCAGATGCTGGATGCGCTGCTTCCCCCTGCAGAAAGTGCGAACTTCCTTGGTTCTGAAACAACAGAGGCCATATTCATATCTGCATTAACCTGGTCTTTAGGGGGAGGGCTGCTCGAGAATGGGCGGACTGTGTTTGATGGGTTTGTCAAAAGAATTGCTACATTGCCTCAGAATCCTGCTGAGGGGTCTGTTGTTGGACCAGGTATGATTTCGTTTGTGTTGTTGACAAGGCGGTTATGCTCCTTTGCATGTTACGTGATTTAAGGGAAACCAACATGCCACTTGATGCAAAGCTGTATAAATTCAGGTTAAACATCTCGAATATCTTATGCACGAGAAAAACACACTCACACAAATATCTGAATCTCTTGCAATTCTGTGTTTCATGTCTAGGATTCTTCGTTACCTGGTTTCGAGTTTTTGATGTTGTGATAGTGAAACCCACTTCATTTTCTCCTTAGTAAACTGGAACTAGCGTGAAGTCGAGTCTTTTACGGATGAATACCCAGCGTGAGCCTCGACTGTTTTCCAGTTACAGTTTTTTACCGAGGATGAAATTGAAAAATGAAGTGACAATACCCTGGCTACTACACGATGACTAAGGAATAACTTCAGTTTCTATGCACCCAACATTAACACTTACTTCTCATTTAGGGCAAAATGATGGCTTAAGGGAGGGGTAGGTGGACAGTTTCCCAGAAACCTAAATTTATCCCTTTCTTCTTTGTATTCGCTAACTCTGTCCACGTTCCCTGTCTGCTTAGGTGAGATTCCTAGCGCCCAGTCCACGTTATTCGAATATTTCTTTGACTCGAAGAAGCTCCTCTGGGTCCCCTGGGTGGACGTTATCCCGGAGTATGTTCACGACCCCGAAAAAAAGTTCTCTGAGATTTTGGTTCCAACTGTGGACACTGTGAGGACAACATGGCTGCTGGAACTGATGGTCAGTATAAAGAGGCCTGTGGTACTCGTGGGAGAGACTGGTACTTCTAAGTCTGCAACTACCGCGAACTTTCTAAGGAGTCTCGACAAGGATTCTACGGTATGTTATCAGGAACTCACGGTTTTTGCTACATCTGTGAAAATTGGCTTTTGTCCGAATAGCAGCTCTGGAACTTAATAATAGTTGTCCACCTTATTCCTCGTATGTTAATCACTTTGTTATCCATCTTTAAAGGTGCTAGCTACGTCATGCTATTGGCTATCTGTTTTTATTAAAAACTGAATCATTGGATAATGCAATTCTAGAGCTCTGATTGGCTAAGCCATCATGGTATATGAGCCATTATACCATGCTCTCCAAATATGGTAACTGTACGCGTCTGCTCAAAACTAAAAACAAGCTGAAAAAAGTCGGTTGTTTTTACAAATAAAGTAAGGAAAAATTCTCGATATTTTGTGGGCGTTTTCAATAAAACAATTATTCCACTCGCGCTTGTTGGATGTGAGATGATTAAAGCCAACTCGGCGCTATGCGCGTCGTTGGCTACCTACCATCTCATATCCAAAGCGAACTCGTGGAATGACGGGCATCAATTTTGTTATTTACATAAACTCATTTCTTATTGACTTTATTTGTCCCTCCTGACTCACAGCTCCTGCTTAATATCAACTTCTCTTCGCGAACAACTTCCATGGACGTACAAAGGAACCTTGAGGCCAACGTAGAAAAGAGGACAAAAGACACTTACGGTCCCCCTATGGGGAAGAGATTGCTAGTGTTCATGGATGACATGAATATGCCACAGGTGGATGAATATGGCACACAGCAGCCAATAGCATTACTGAAGCTACTGCTAGAGAAGGGAGGCATGTACGACAGGGGCAAGGAACTTAACTTAAAGAATTATCGGGATATCGGCTTTGTGGCTGCCATGGGAAAGGTACAGAGTGTTTAGCACCTTTGCATGCACGCAAGCTCCTAGGACGTGAGGTCACCATTTCCCTGCTTTTTGACACACACTGAAGGCTTTCAGCGTTTGATTACATGAGCTGCGTTAGCACGGTTTACACGTGAATTAAACACAACAAAAATCAGCTCCTTAATCGACAAACGAGCCTGCTTGTTAGCCAGGATATACAGGGATCGCGGCCTATTTCTCTTTGCATGAGCAAATCAAACTTTTATCATCATCTTATACCGCTTGCAAAAAAACAAATAAACAAACAAACAAACAAAACAAAACAGGACTGTGTGGAAACAGATCCTCAGTAACTTGTAATTTGAAATTAATGATTAGAAATTTACCCTTTGTTCTTTAAAGTCATGGCTCCATCATTTGGTACCATATCCATAATACGTTTGGTGTCTTTCCTAAATTCTCCAAAAGGAGAAGCTTACATTAGTTTCACTTTTTGTTAAAATTTGTTGTTCGTTGTGAAGCAATAAATGCTTGTTCATGAAACATCTCATTACCACGCATGTTCAACACGCCTACACCTTTCCCCTAACTTAGTTTTGAAACCTATTTTTAGCCTGGTGGTGGTCGCAATGAAGTGGACCCGCGCTTCATCTCTCTCTTCAGTGTTTTCAACGTCACCTTCCCGTCACAGGAGTCACTTACCAAAATCTACTTCTCGATTCTGAACGGCCATTTGGAGCCATTCAAAAAGGAGGTTAGAGAGCTGGCCTCAAAAATCACGTCTGCAACTCTGGAGTTATATAACAAGATCATACAGAACCTGCCACCCACCCCTTCTAAGTTCCACTACATCTTCAATCTGCGTGACTTATCCCGTATCACCCAGGGACTATGCCTGAGCACGCCCGACAGGTTTGATAATCCTGGACAGTTTGTTCGACTGTGGAAGAACGAGTGTCTCAGAGTGTTTTACGACCGTCTGATCAATTCGTCAGATAAGAAGATCGTCAATGTAAGTTTTGACTAGCATTTTGTTTTTCAAAGGAAAACATGCCCTGTTACAAAAGACAAGTTTCTCGTCAAATGTCGTTTTGTGATTGGCTTAAAAATGTAGCGCAAGGTGAAGGTTAAAACGTTTAACCTATAAAGGCTACGTTCATCGGAGGAATTTCCGACCCGCTGGAAAATTTTGATAGGACGGTTCGTTCACCAAAACCGTTCAATATTTTCCCACTGTTCACACGGAGCTGCCGAAATAGATTAAATTTTGAGCGCTACTTTGGCAAATCCAAAATGGCGTCTCCCAACTGAGTTACCACGCATCCATATGCAACCACGCCTTCGCTGAAAATGGCTTTGGCATTCCACCAGACAAATTTTTGACCGTACAGCGTACTGGCTAAAAACTTTCAACTCTATTTTGGTATTCAAATTTTTCACGGCTATTCGTTAAAAATTTCGTAGGGTTAGGGTGTGACGAGCATTTTTAACTGTCAAAAATTCGGGATCATTATACGTTTCTGGGAAACTGCCTACCTACCCCTCCCTCAAGCCAACATTTTGACCTAATTAAGAAGTGAGTGTTAATGTTGGCATAGGGGAGGGGTAGGTGGGCAGTTTTCCAGAAACGTATAAGGTGCCTTATAAACGTGTAGCATGAGTTTTACAATTTTGTCGCCGGATTGTAATCTATGCTAACCAATGTTAATCTTTGCTAATCTTCCCCCTTCTAAACCATCCTTAATTCTTTTGAGTCTCATTTTACCCCTAAGGTATTTTCTGTTTACCAAACTATATTATATGCTTTACTCTCATTTCTCAGGGTTACGTCAACGAGCTGGTCGAGCAGAACTTTAGAAACCACCTGGACTTAGTCAACAGAGAGCCGATACTGTTTGGGGATTATCGTAACGCATTAACTGAAGACCCACGTTTGTACGAAGACATTGTGGATTATGAAGCTGCTAAGGCTGTGTTTGATGAGGTTAGGGTGGACTTGTTCTCATTATTGGCTTCTGTTCTTGACTTTTTTAGGCTCGAGTACCAGCCGCTTTTCGGGAAATATACTCGCGCTCCTTCCCCGAAAAGACGGCTGGACGTGTGGGTTTGCTGTTGTTGATTTCCACCTATCAGATCTTTAGCAGGTAGCGTAAGTTAATTCCTCTAGAGCAGATTTCAAACGGCAGATACAAAGGTGTTGTTTGATGTGGCGTGCGATCGGAGACCGTACAAGAGCGAACCTTAGAGAGCGGCAGAAATCGAGGCTAATTCTCGATTTGTGAGCTTTGGAGTAGAAGAAGTTGCTCGCCACTCTGTTGCCACAGTTGATCCTCTTCATTTGGTCCTGACGAAGCCAAACTTCGTACAATCCCATCTTCTATGATACGGACACTTCTGTTCTGTGGACACTTGGCTCTGTCCTGTTTTAGTCTGTATTAAAGGTTTAACTGCCAGTTCCTATCTCAAAGAGAGGTATCATGACACTATTCGCACAGGGACATTTTTAGAAGTTTCTATAGAAGCTTCTGGCAATAAACCATTCTGTTTTATCTTCAATTACAGATCCTAGAGGAATACAACATGGACCACGTGCCTATGAATCTTGTTCTCTTTGATGACGCTATCGAGCATTTGACGCGTGTTCACCGCGTCATCCGCATGGAAAAAGGTCACGCCCTGCTGGTAGGAGTAGGAGGCAGTGGGAAACAGTCCCTCACCAGGCTGGGCGCCTTTTCTGCAGGGTGCGAGGTGTTTGAGATCACGCTCACCCGTGGTTATGACGAGAACTCTTTCAGAGAGGACCTGAAAGGACTTTATTCAAAACTAGGGCTGGAAAACAAGAAAATGGTTTTCCTGTTCACTGATGCTCATGTAGCACAGGAAGGTAATGTAGCTGACATATTTGACGTCGCACGTAGTTTTGTCAAATACTTCAGGACGAGGTGCGGCTAGCAGTGGGCTTTTGACTTGCTGTACTACTGTAGTATTAGGGCATGTTTACATGGAGGTAGGGGAGCCCAGGTAGGTGAGGTAACCCGCTTAGGTGGGGAACCCGCCTGTCCACATAATCTCTCATTTAAATTTGATCACGTTTACATGATAGGTGGGGTGACCCGCCGCATGTTACCTAACCTATCTGGGGTCCTCCACCTCCATGTAAAGAGGCCCTTAGATGTAAGCAGCAAAAGCGTTAGTTTTATTATAACACTATGGTTTCGCCGTTTTTTCTGCTCTTGCCTTTAGCTTCTTTCGGCAGCTCTCGTCCTCTTCTCAGCTGTTGCCCAGAAACTGCGCTATGTGAGGAGAGAGTAGAATCAGTTTGGAGGAATCAGTTTTAAATTGTAGCCGGCGATCGACTACACCGTGCAGCGAAATGACTTTGTGTATGGCAATGGCTGGCAACCACATGAAAATTATCTGAGTACACTTTCTACTTCGGCGTTTTCAGGTTATGGTAAAATCTGGTATTTTTCCCCACTAGATCGATCTTACAGTAGTTTCTGTTGTATTTGCTTTCAGGTTTCCTTGAACTCATCAACAACATGCTGACGTCAGGAATGGTTCCCGCGCTTTTCCCCGATGATGAAAAAGAAGGAATTATCGGACAGGTAAGTAAGGACAATTAATGGGGTCTGCATAAGGCCTCCCCACCCCCCAGGGTTCTCATTAAGTGCGAGCAACCGGCTAAAAATACCGGCTACTTGGAAGTTTGAGCCGTCTACTTTGTGGGGATAAAGGGTAAAGTGAGAGAGTGAAAGCCTGATATTGCCTATACAGCACTCAGTGACCTACTTATACATCCTAGACCCTCTTAGACATTAAATAAGGAGAGCCCTGAAGGGCGTGGGGGAGATTGTGATCCTGACAAGCTGCGAAAATTATTTTGTACTTTATCAACTTTAGAACAGCTAAACCTTTATCGATGAAGTCTCTCTGCTGGTCTGATAGGTTTCTTTACTTCCCGGTTATCAGTTGTCTTACTGTATTCATGATTTGATGCAGTGTTGTCGTTAAACTCGTGTCCTCTCCTTCACAGGTTCGAGACGAAGCAAACAAAGCAGGAGTACCACCCGCACGGGAATCTATCTGGCAGTACTTTGTGAACAAATGCGCCAATAATCTTCACATCGTGCTGGCCATGTCGCCTGTGGGAGAGACCCTAAGGACTCGCTGCCGAAACTTCCCAGGTCTCGTGAATAACTGCATCATTGACTGGTTTACAGCCTGGCCGCAACAGGCTTTGCACGCCGTTGCCTCCGTGTTTTTGGGAGAAAACGTAAGTTTTTCCTCATTTTGACACACGCTAAGTTTTCACTCAGCTAGCTTGTGCCTCCTTGAAGGCGCGCGATTTTGGAAACTGCTTCTTCAACTAGAATAACTACAAGTTACACATTAAGTGAGACTACACACTAAGTCAGTACACACACTCCGAGACTATAATAAATTTTATTCTAGTCTCGACGTGTTATTACTGACTGGTGTTTCGCTGTGCCTCGTTTGTAACTTGAACAGTTGTGGCGTACAGTACTTGGTGATGCCCACCTATTTAAACTCTTTCACTCAGGACAGCAGACAAATTCAACACAGTTTTAACCCTAAAAACAGAGACGGTACCGTACAGAATTCAACTTTAAGTTCCTAGATCCGAATCGGACAAAGGGTAGAGTTAACTTTAGATACGTTAATAGTTTGAGTTTGTTGCGTATGTCCTAAGGATACAATGTCATATGGCCTGCGTCGTCGGCATTCGAAGGGGAATGCCGAGTTCGAGCGCGCTAACACGCGCGTGATCCCCTTCGCGTCCTTGCACGCCCGAATTTTCCCATTCATTTTCCAGTTTGAAAGCCTGCCACCCAGGCTAAATGAAATATTGTCCAATATTATTTATTTATTGGAACATTTTTTTTTTAGAATGACAAAATTCCTGATGAATACCGTGAGAATGTCGTCAACCACGTGGTGTACGTACATCAAACCGTTGGAGTGTTCAGTAAAACGTTTCTTCAAAAGCTGAGGAGAGTGAACTACACTACGCCCAAGAACTATCTGGATTTTATCAACACTTACAACAAGTTACTGGAAGAGAAAGATAAATTTGTTTTGGAACAAGTAAGTTATTTCATCATGATGCTTTCCGTCGGTGCCCTTTGATCAAGTATGCATAATGTTCGCACTTTCTCAAGCCCAAGTCGCGACGATCGCTATGGATGAAACGACGATCTTAGAGATTAAAGCGATAAGGGCATTGCCTTTCAAATCAAGTTTGACAACGTGAATCGTGCGATAATGGCAAAGAGTTCTGCCAAAAGGTGTGCTAAAGTTCAGAGTGTCTGTTTTGCTTATTAAACGTGTTTCGTTGTTGTTTATTTTCTTGTCTTCTTTGTCATCATTGTGGTTGTTTGAGCTCGCTAGTTACGGTACCGTGCAAAACAATTGACAATACCCGACGATTTTGTTGAAAAACCGACGATTTGATGGAAAACGCGCAGCACAAACGACGTCCGCAGGTACCCATTAAGAGGCTGAATCATGATATACATTTTGACATTTTGAGGGACACCGTAGGTACACATTCTTTTACCATACTTTCTGACAAATTGCTACTAGCGTTTCATCTTGAAAGGGGTTGCCCATTTGTTAGCCTCACAAAAAATGTTCAGCGACGCAAATGTTAGGTCAGGTTGGTTGGTTCAACGTTCTCGTTTCTTTTTCTCTCTTTTTTTTAGTGTCATCGCCTTGATGGCGGTCTCAGCAAACTTTTGGCAGCCAGTGAGCAACTGAAAGAACTCAACGAAAAGTTGGAAATTCAAAAAGTAGCCGTGACTGAAAAGAGCGAAGCCTGCGAGAAACTGCTGGTGGAAATTCAGCGCGCCACTGAGCTAGCTAATGAGAAGAAAGCCATGGCTGTAGGCAAGAAAGAAGAGATTGCTGAACAGAACAAGGAAATTGTCGTAGAGAAAACGGAAGCGGAAGAAGCTCTTGCGTTGGCACTTCCGGCGTTAGAGGAAGCAAAACTGGCTTTACAGGATCTAGAAAAGTCTGATGTCACTGAAATCAGGTACTGAACGGATGGTAACTCCACCCAGCGATCAAGTATTTCGCTAACAGTCTTTGCGTGTAAGGTGTTCATAACTTGCTCCTACGTGGATATCTGATGTTGATCAAATATTTTTTAAAAAATGCTCTTGCCCAACATGGCATTTTGTTTTAAAAACAACCTTCCAGTGAAATCCTTTGTCGTGCTCAAATGCTTGTGAGAGGAAATCTCTGTCGGTGTAGAATCCTTGTTTACCAACGTTCCTACAAGCTGTTTTACGCAAGCTAGAGACTGATGCAAACCTTGCTGACCGCAAAAAAACCATCTCATGCGAACCCCTTGAATTTCTTATTAAGTAACAGATCGTCCTACGGATAACAAGATGGCGACCACATCGCGAGAGAAACGAAAATGCTCTTAATGAAGGCAATTCTGTAGGCGTAAATTAGTAAAAAGAATTAGCCTCACGTTTTTGGCAAACGGCTTAAAGTGGCTGTGACGTCACGGCTGTCTAGTTTATATTGTCAATAATCCCAATTACGCGTCCTTGCTCGCAGAAAGACTTAAGAAGTTACTCAGTATAGGGCCTGTTTACATGGAGGTGGGGGACCCTAGGTAGGTGAGGTAACCCGTTTAGGTGGGGTAACCCGCCTGTCCATACAATTTCTCATATGGTCACCCCACCTATCATGTAGACGCGATCAAATTAATATGAGAGATTGTATGGACAGGCGGGTTACCCGACCTAAACGGGTTACCTCCCCTACCTGGGGTCCACCACCTCCATGTAAACAGGCCCTTAGTGGCAGTTCCCGTCGTTTGAATTTTTATGCATTTCGTGACAAGGCTTCTTTAAGACAGGGATGACCTCGTGACTAATTACTTCATCCCATTTAATACGCATGCTTTTTTCAGTGTGACGATCAGTGTTGTCTCATCCATGAGAAAGTTCATGAAGTATGAGTAATCATATCGTCATCTCTGTCGTTTGCTTTTCTATTAGCCTGGTTACAGTTACCCTGTGACTAATCTTTCCCCTGATGTTCTCCCGCAGATCGTTTGCCAAACCCCCGCGTGCAGTGCAGATGGTGTCCGAGTGCATTGTAGTGATGCGCGGCTATAAGGAAGTGTCGTGGAAACAAGCCAAGGGGATGATGTCAGAAGCAAACTTCCTAAAGTCTTTGACAGAAATGGACGTAGATGGAATCACTACAGCGCAGGTACTGTGTGTAGGCCTTTCAGTGCGGAGCGTGTGCAAATGAAAGCTTTCGTTGAAGGAGCAGATTATTTTAAGGTTTCCATGTAATCGTGTCTCGTTCGCCTCGATATTTTGGGGTGGTGGGGACTATAGGGACGATTATACGGAAACAAAGCTAGACCGAGAGGTCATATCAAACTAACTAACTATCTGTCTGGAACGAACGCCTCAGCCCTCTTCGACCACTCTAAGTAGTATAGGAGAGTAGGACTTAAAACTACAAGACACAGTGAGCAGCACCACAGTAGTAGTCAATAGCATTTGCCCTATTCACACCTGCTAAACATGTTTGATTAAACTAGGTTTTAAAACTGGAACACAGGCTTTTACACAGTAGAATTCAAATGAACTTTAACACAATACCCAATTGCACTTATTTGCAGTCGAAAACAGTACAGTTAGGCAACTTTTCATAACGAAAACAAATGTAAACCCTGTTTAAATACTTTTGTTTAAGCTTTGGTGTGAATGGTGCTTTAGTTGCTTAAGAACGCTATCACCAACAATCAATTTGAATGTATCATTCTTGATCGCGTTATATTAAGTTTAGAGCTAAAAAAAATTACTGACCAATGACATTTTCTGTATCAAACCAATAGACCTTTCCCGCATTCCGCTCCAGTGAGCAAGCATAATGAAATGAGGTCGAGGCTCGGGTGGACAGTTTCATACAAATCACTGTGTTTTGTCCACCCAAGCCTCGACTTGATGCCTTTGTTTACAGGAATGCGGCAAAGGTCTATTATTTACTTGTCCCATCTCTTCCCCAGGTGAAGCGGTGCAGAGAGATGTTGAGAGAGATGAACATTACTGTGGAGGAGATGAGGGAAGTCAGCAAAGCAGGAGCTGGTTTACTCAAGTTCGTGATCGCTGTTATGGGATACTGCTCTGTTGCTAGAGAGATAAAACCCAAGAGAGAAAAGGTGGGTGACTGGCAGTAGAATAGCTAGACTGCGTAGGTAGAGTGCGGGCAATTTCATTGACTTAACTCAGTATAGGGAGCTTGTGAGCTACGCACGGCAAGACGCGGGGCTAAGGAGCTCTAATTCCTCCAGTCTTCACAGTTCGTTCCCTTAAAGAAAAGCATTGCTTGCAACTTCATTTCAATAGCTATGCTGAAGGATTTTCATACGCGAACCCGGAAGATAGAGTTATGGTGCGTAGAAACGAGAAAAATACTGTTCAGAGGCTTCAACCGAATGGTCACACTCCCAAATCTCATCTTTACACTCCAATTTAAAATAAAATTATGATATTTCCTCCAATAAGCGCTCGGGCGCTTAATAAAATTGCCGCTTATTGGAGGGGCGTTTATTGGGTAGATAGCAGGAGAGCGTTTAATCGAGGTGGGCAGCGGGCTTATTAAGAGCGGATGTCAGTAAATATCGACCAGACGTCTACAAAACTGAAAAATCGAAAATTCTCAAAAAAATTCACAAAGTAGCACTAGGCAAGCTATTAACATAAATGTAATTTTTACTTCGATCCGATAATTATTTTCCACGTACGGGGGGGTTATTGGTTTCGCGGCTCTCGGACCGGGTTTTCCAGGCCCGAGACCATGTGTCGCAAAAAAATCGTTTTAAAATTCAAATCCATTGTAATGCGGAAAACAAATAACTTATTCAGAAGAGTACTTAATTGCACACATTCTGAGTGGTGATTTACTAAGTTTGAACGAAAGTGTAATATTTTGGAGATTTTTCATTATTTTCAATATTTTGAACGTTTTCGTTCAATGAAAAAATGGCAAATTTCAAAGCCCAAAATCGTCGACTGGTACCTCGATTTCAGTAACGAGTCTTATACCACGTTAAAGAGCGTTATCTCTTCTTTCAAAATCTGTTTTTAAAACTACGGGCAACTTAAAAGAAAATGTTTGAGGCCAAAAAATACTAGTAGTACTTTTCTGAAATTTGAGCTTTCCAGACTCAGCGGGTCGATGCTAAAAACTCAGAAAAATGCAATAAGAAATCAGTTTGAGCAACAGTGATTTAACGTTATCAGCTATCAGAAACCAACACGTGTTTATCGAGCGATCTGATAAAATTTAAAGCCGTTTTCCAACAAGAAAAGCAGAGTTTAGCCATCTTCTGCTACCAAACGCACGAGTGACGTAAGGTTGTCAAAGGGCAAAGCACAATAATAAACTTCAAAAAGCACAACGTTTCTGCGTCCAGGAATTAGACTTTAGCGGACAGAACAATGCCTACGAGTGTATGTTTCATACCTTAGCATGGGTTTCCTAGATACTGGAAATAAAAAACATCAAGGACAGCATCGGCAAGAGCATCTTCGGCTGCTCTCAAACGACGGAGATTGCGTTACTTTTCACAGATTGACCGCTTACCACCTGTTTTTGGGCTCGCATTTCGACGGAACGCTTGCCTCGAGAGGCGCGCGGCACGGATCTGAACTCTTCTTCACGAGACATTGAGCTGAATTTATCGGAAATATGCCACCACCACCAACAACATGAGCTTTTTTCGGGTATTTGTCGTTTTTTATGCGAAAAGTTCGGGTAAGCAGATTCTCGCAAAAACCATTTGGCTTAAAAAATGTGTTTAAAAGCCCACCCTGGATTTGAAGCAAAAAGTATTTCCTCGAAATAAGCTAAAAATACCCAATTCACGCGGTGAAAAAATGGATGATTATGGAAGGATTATCGAATTCTTGCCTAACCTGAGGGATTTCCCGTGATGTAGGATTAGGGCTAGGAAAAAAGCCCATAACCTGCTCCTGTCGTTGTGAATTTCCTCAAGATCAAAAATTTCAGTAAGAACCGAAAACAACAGCTTAAAGGAGGTGCACACACCTTGAACTAGCCAGGGAAAAGGGGCTTCTGATTGAGCTAAACTGTCATTGATGCACGGTGCAATTAGGTAGACCTGTTACTATCCCCCGCGCAACCACATGGGGAGTACTTTGAAGCGGTCCTGTCGGGGACTTTCGGGGGTAGGGGGCGGGGCAAATCGAAAATAACTTCTCTTTGTTTTTGTGAAGTACATCATTTCTCGCACGGTTGACAAGGTGACGGCGGACTCCGTACCTTTGGAAAGGCCCTTTTGAAACATGTCCTGGCAACATGCAGGGCATCACGAAATTAACGTCAACACCTTGAATCAACTCCATGAACAGGGAGAGGCGATAAGTCCCATCTTAAAAGATGCTTGATGTCTAGACGTGAATAGTCTGTCCACAGTCATTTTTCATTTTGTATTTCGGGACCATTTGACAGCGTACGAGTGAACCGGAGCGCAGTAACGAGCCCTAACCCCACCCCATTGCCCTTGCGGTCAATAAATCATCGCGTTTTTCATTTTTTTTATGCGCGTTCGAGAACCTCCAAAGGGAATATTGAGGGTCTTTGTACAGTTTCAGTTTATTTTACCGACAAAAAAGAACAAAACAAAGCAAAAGACAAGTATACAGAAACACGCAGAAGCAATGTGGTGAGGAAGCCCAAAAAGAAACCATAAGGCTTAGGTCATCCCCTTTTCGTTCGTTTAGCGTCGAATAGGTTTCCTGGTTTTGGGTGGGTCGGTCGGTGGGGTGAAAAAAAAAATCACAAGAAATCTGAGAACGGGAGGCCTGAAACACCAGCATCATTGCCGTGGAGACTGAAAACAACAAGACATGGGCACCAAATCGACACAAACTCAATATGGCGGAAAATTTGATGGTCAATTTCATAAAAAAAAGGCCCAAAAAGGGTAAAAAGCAAAGAGGATACACCACCGAACGTTTTATGCCTCGAAATGATGTTATAATACTAATTTTTTAGATTAAAAGAATTAATCTAAGTCCAAAAAAAATAAACCTTGTCGTTTCTTTTTCTTGCTTTTTTAAAAAATGCCAAAAAACTGGGTCTTTTGGACGACACTAAACGAAGAAAAAATTAATATAGGTATTAAGCTCCCTTAAAGTATAAAAGTATAAGTTTACAAGGACAGGATCGAACGTATACTGAGTAACTAAATGATAAAAATTTGATCAAAATTAAATGAAAGGCTAAGAGCCTAAGCGCTGTCTGATAACGAAACGGTAAACAAGAAGTGCTGCCTCTCATTTAAAAGAGACGTGAAATACTGGGTGGACCACATCCTGAACTCCCGCGAAAACCGCAAGAGAGGAACGCTCAGGGCTAAGGAGACTAAACAGGGGCGTAGCTACTTGTACGCACGGTTTGCACGTGCGTACCCGAAAACGTTGAGGAAAAAAATAGAATGAAATAAACATAACTAAAAAAAATCGGTTTCCAGAGAAGCGACGACATTAATTGGAGAACCGAATCTTGGATGATTTATTTATATAGCAAGCTTGATGATGTAAAGCGTGAACGCGTTGTTTTCTCCACGACCTGTCTTCGGAGTAGACGAAGTAGGGCACAATTACGTCAATGTGTGGTGCTTTTGTCGGTCAAAAATAATGTGACAAAAAGGGGTAAAAAGAGTCATTTGTAAACTAAAGTCGGAGGTACTACAAGCTTGATTTTTAATAGCTGAATTAATGATAAACGGTTGACGTCAATGAACATAACAAGCCGACAGAATTAAAGAATTTTAGAGGTTGTGTCATTTCATAAACAGCAAAAATGCTTTTGCTTACAACCGTTAACCCCACCTTTAATAAAGGCACCTTAAAAAAATGTTGAGATTGGGGTGGAGGGGGGGGGGGGGGGGAAGAAGATGTAGAAAAAGTTGGGCGTACCTCCGGAAAAATCCTGACTACGCACCTGCTAAAGCCTGAAACTGAACAACAGGAGTCTTGACGAAACGTCCTCAGTTATCACCTGTCCGGGGTCGTACTTTCAAGGAAACGCTGATCAAGAATCACTCATGACGGAATGAAAACTCCTCGTAGCTTCCAGCGAAAAAAGGAGTGACAACAGTGGTAAGCGGTCGTTCTGTGAAATGTAACGCAATCTTTGCCGTTTACGATCTTTCGGCGCTTGGATTTGAAACGTTGTTGTTTGGTATGTTCTCCCGTGTGGATACTTGACATTTCCAATATATGGAAACACCATGCTAAGGTACGAACAACAGACATTCACAACATTGTTTTGTACGCTAAAATCTGATTTCATGGACGTAAAACGTTTTGAATTTTAAGACTTTTTAATATTAGTGCTTTGCCCTCCCTTTGACAACTTCACGTGACTGGTGCACTTGGCAGGAGTTGACAGCTTAAATCTGCCTTTCTTGATAGCAAACGGCATTAATTTATATCAGATCGCTGTATAAACACGTCTTGGTTTCTGAAAGCTGATAACATGAAACCACTATTGCTCAAACTGATTTCTTACTGTATTTTTCCAAGTTTTTAGCATCGGCCCGCCGCGTCTGGAAAGCTCAAATTTCAGAAAAGTACTACTTGTATTTTTTGGCCTCAAAAATTTTCTTTTAAGTTGCCCGTAGTTTTGAAAACAGATTTTGAAAGAAGAGATAACGCTCTTTAACGTGGTATAAGACTCGTTACTGAAATCGAGGTACCAGTCGACGATTTTGGGCTTTGAAATTTGCCATTTTTTCATTGAACGAAAACGTTCAAAATATTGAAAATAATGAAAAATCTCCAAAATATTACACTTTCGTTCAAACTGAGTAAATCACCACTTAGAATGTGTGCAATTAAGTACTCTTCTAAATAAGTTATTTGTTGTCCACATTACAATGGATTTGAATTTTAAAACGATTTTTTTGTGACACATGGTCTCGGGTCTGGAAAACCCGGTCCGAGAGCCGCGAAACCAATAACCCCCCCGTATGTGGAAAATAATTATCGGATCGAAGTAAAAATTACATTTATGTTAATAGCTTACCTAGTGCTACTTTGTGAATTTTTTTGAGAATTTTCGATTTTTCAGTTTTGTAGACCTCTGGTCGATATTTACTGACATCCGCTCTTAAGTTTTGCCTTCAACGAACTGTTACTTTATTTTTGCGCTTTTGAATATTTTATAGAAAAGGCGCAATACAAATAATAAATGTTATTGTTATTGTTATTGTTAAATATTAAGTAGAAAAAAAAACTTCAACTTTATCCTCGTAAACGTCAAGTCAATAATAATTTCTTTCGTTTGTAAAAACAATGGTTGGTAATCAAGCGTACCTTAGTCCCACTGTACACTTTATACACAGATGTATCAATATGAATGTTATAGTTCAAACTTTAAAAGTTAAAACATAGTGGCAATAGAAACAGTTTTTCCTTGTATATCTTGTTCAGTGATATTTTAGCCTAGGGGGGGTGGGCGCTTAGTCCGGGGTGGGGGCGCTTATTCGAGGAAATATGGCAGGTCTTATTCTGGAATTTGGTGAGCGTGCTTCTGATTGGCTGTGTGGTCATTCTTTGAAGGTGGCAAGGTTGGAGAGAAATTACCATCTCAGCAAACGTGAGCTTGAGAAGATCGAGAAAGAAGTGAAGGCTTTGGATGAAGAATTGAGGAATCTGGGTGAGAAGTACGACGCTGCCATGCGGGAGAGAGCAAGCCTGCAGGAAGAAGCAGAGATTATGGAAAGGCGACTAATAGCCGCGGATAAGCTTATCTCTGGTCTGGGGTCGGAGAAAGTTAGGTAAACAGTTCGTGAAAGTCTTTACTTATCAGCTAAATTAGCATGCGAATCACCAAATTCTTTTATTAAATCCGGGTGGAGAGACGAGAGTCTTGTATAGGCGATATAGCTGTATGACTCTCTGGAGGGTGTGATGTAGCTACCTGCCTCGTGTGGTTAACTTTTTAAGAAATATCCAAAATCATAGCTTAGGTATAGGATCAAAAAGTTTTAGTGTAGAAAAAATTGTTATTTTTAAGTACCTGGTTAAATTGAATAACATACACTTAACCACATAAACACTTAAGCTTCTATTTGAAGGCGACACCGTGCACAAGCTTTACGCGCTTGGTGATTTGGTGAAGTTTTATCGGTTCTTTTGCAGATGGACAGAAGATTTGGAAGAGTTGAAGCTTCAACGTGTCCGTCTGTTGGGTGACTGTCTCCTGGCTTCAGCTTTCCTCAGCTATTTGGGCGCCTTTACCTGGGACTTCCGCCGGGACATGTTCCGAGGGGAGTGGGAGAAAGATGTCTTAAACCGGGGTATCCCTGTAAGTCAGCCGTTCAAACTAGACACGTTCCTTACTAATGATGTGGAGATCAGTCGTTGGACTTCCGAGGGTCTCCCGCCGGATGAACTGTCAATAGAGAATGGTATTCTCACTACACAGGCCAGCAGGTATCCGCTGTGCATCGATCCGCAGCAGCAGGCGCTTAACTGGATCAAGAAAAAGGAAGAGAAGAACAATTTAAAGGTGGGTTGAACTCATGTTTGAAAAGAAATTGTAAATACTGTTTCGTAAAAGTGCTACTTGATCAAATGTTTATCTGCACATTGCAATGGTAACCTTAGTTTTTAGAGGCTTCGAATAAATATTATTCCTTTTTTAGGTCGTGACGTTCAACGACCCTGATTTCCTGAAGCAACTGGAACTGGCCATCAAGTATGGCTTCCCAATCCTGTTCAAGGACGTGGATGAGTACATAGATCCTGTCATTGATAATGTACTAGACAAGAACATCAAAGGTAAATAAATAAAATAAAGGACTTGGAGGAAGAGCGCTTTTCTTCTCCTGATTTCTCTTGCGGCCTTGTCGCTTGTTTTCTCGGTTAATCCTTCGGATCAATTTAGGTTTCTAGGAAACTGCCCACCTACCCTTCCCCTAAGCTAACATTTTGCCCTAGATAAGACGTAAGTGTTAATGTTAGCTTGAGGGGGTGGGGGAGGGAGGGGTAGGTGGGCAGTTTCCCAAAATCCTAAATTGATCCAGTCCTTCACCGTAATCCAACAAAACTGCCAGCTATTAAGGATAGAAAATGCCAAGAGAGAACTTATAGAAAATATTCACGAACAAACGAATGACCAAACCGTCAAAAAAGTAACCGAAGGACTTACAGAAACCTAAACAGTTTGAACAAACGAGTGTAATTCAATAATTGCAGTCGATCCTCCCGTAAGCGATCACCCCAAATGACAAGATTTGGTAGTCGCTTATTAGAGTTTCCAACTAGATTGCTTGGACTGACAAAACTGATCCTGGTGTTTTGGATAGGTGGTCGCCTTATGGATAGCCCGCGAGCAAACTCTCCATTTCGGGAATATCGTGAGAAGTCACGCGCGAGTGGCACACACGAAAGGATACACGAGATAGGAGGCGAGAATCCTCACCTCCGCCGCCCCTTGCGACTTTGCTGCTCGATTGTGGCTTCTCCCGCGGCTGCCTTTGCTAACCCTTACGAAATGGAGGGCGTGCTCGTAGGTTACTTAGGAAAGATGGTCACATAGGACGGAATGCAGCTTTGACAAGGCCTCACAGGGTTGACTTAGAAAACAAACAGACAACAGTGACAATGTAGCCTCACCCTAAAACGATAGAGCTGCGTGCTATGTCTATCCCATGAAACTAGATTTTCTAGAGGGTGCGTACTATCGGCTGACATAGAGGTTCGACTGTACTTACCTATTTATTTATTTATCTATCTATCTATTTCAGGGGAGCCGGGTCGGGAGTTTGTTGTACTTGGAGACAAAGAAGTTGACTACGATCCGAGTTTTCGATTGTACCTGAACACGAAGCTCTCCAACCCCAAGTACACCCCGACTCACTTCAGTCGCTGTATGGTGGTGAACTACACTGTAACCATGAAGGGACTGGAGGACCAGCTGCTGAGTGTTATTGTAGGATTTGAAAGGAAAGAACTGGAAGAACAGAGGGAAAGATTAATTCAAGAAACAAGGTCAGGACGGAAAACTTGAGTTGAGAGCTTGCACTTTCAAGTTTGCTTAAAACTGTACTATCAGCGAAAACCGAGAAAAAGTAACGAAAGTGTTAGAATGGACTGTTCAAACCTTAGAGGGAAAATTCATGACCAGTTCTGCGGTGGTAACAGGAAAACTTTACCGCAGTTGTCATTTAATGCTACGATTCTTTGGGTTTCATGTTACCTACAGACAAGAAGTACCTTGTATATCGTAGAAACAATACTAAAGGAAAGTAATTTTCTTGAATTTTCGTTGAAATTTTCATGTCCTTTGGCATGTCTCGGTTTAGGTATTTATCCACAAAGTGTAAGTGGTGAAATTACAAAATTGAATTTTGAACTCAATTTAAATCGTATGTGGAGTTTGATATCAAAACTTGAAAGGTTAATCTATATGTTGCAGTGATAACAAGCGACTTCTGAAAGATCTTGAGGACACTCTTCTTCGGGAACTCGCCACTTCTCAAGGTAACATGTTGGATAACGTGGAGCTTGTTCAGACTCTAGAGGACACCAAGTCCAAAGCAGTCGAGGTAAATGTTCTTTTATTTTGTATTTGAATGATATATATTTTTTTGCAACTAGAGGGAAAATAACACTATTCGCTACTTTAGAAAAGAAAAGGAGACTGGGTCGAGTTTACTTTCGCAAAGGCTTCTGGGACTGTTTGTAGGGACCGGGGAAAAGAATTGGCCAATAGCTGACCGGCGCGTCCCCAGTAACGATCCCGGAAACAATCGCGGGACACAGTTCGGCTTTAATTCCCTTCTCGCTGCTTTAGAAAATAGAAGAAAACTGGGTCGAGTTGACTTTTGCAAAGACTTCTGGGACTGTTTCAAGGGACCGGGAAAAAAATTGGTCAATAGCTGACCCGCGCGTCGCCACTAACAATCCCAGAAACAATTGCGGCTCACATTTAGGCCCCAGTTCCCTTCTCGTCTTTAAAGTGGCGAATTGGATTTAACACTCTAGAACTTTTCACCAGTCCTCGTGTATTGATTTGTTTAGGTACCCAAAGTTAGTTTTGATTGGTCGATGTCTTTTGAAGGCAATCATTAACCAATCATAGCTTAGGCTTCGTTCAAACTATGCCAAACTAGTTGCTTCCGTAAGTTAAAAATAAACTATCCCAGAACACTAGAATGCATTCTCCCCTCGGTTTCTTAGGGGGCGATCTTTGGTCATATACGTGTCTTTCACAAATCGTCGATAAATTCCTTACTTGCGTTTCTGACTCTTTCTGTTCAACACCGCACTACCCACGTTGGGTAAATGGTGGTTTCTTTCAACTTATTGTTTTATTTTGCTGTCTCGTCAGGTCGCTGAAAAGCTCAAACTTGGCGCCAAAACAGCAGTTGACATCGACAAGCTCCGAGATGGTTACAGGCCAGCGGCTAAACTAGGTGCCGTTTTATTCTTCGTGTTATCAGAGATGTCAGCTGTTAACTCCATGTACCAGTACTCTCTGGCGTCCTACCTTCAACAGTTTGATTTGTCCTTAAGGAAAAGCTTGCCCGATTCCATCCTACCAAAGCGACTGAAAAACATCATGGACACACTAACCATGAATGTGTACAACTATGCTTGTACTGGTAAGTATCCCCTTATTGGTTGAGCGTGCCACTGGCGAAAAGCGCTTTCTGTCATAGGGCCAATCAGAGAGCAGCCAATCGTGCGATACAAAAGAGACTGTCGTCCCGCTCCTGACTAGGCGAGCGTTGTATGGACGAATTGTAGCGGTCCTTTACTGTCGAACCGAGAACACCAGTATTTTGTTCTCGATGTTTTTGAGCTGCAAGGAAAAAAACGATCAGTTTTGAGATAGAAAAACCGTGAAAAGGATTAGGTCATTAGTGTATGATTTGTTCGTGTCTTGATCTCCCACATGACGGCTGAATGACATCATCAACTCTCGCAACATATCCCAGGCTTACACACTTTTCGTTCACTACCAGTATGAGCCACAAGTTGCTCTTGATTTTAAGATTCTGGGTTACAAGGCAAATGTTAAGCTGAAATTTCACTGCTGTATATATGTCGGGTGTCCCTTAAAGTTGAAAGGTACGTAAGAAAGGTAAATTACTATCGTCATACGTCCTTGGCGTCTTATTTAAACAACCGAAAACACTCCTTTAGAACAATGCCACGAGAGATTTACCAATGTCCTGAAATCTGTAAACTCGCACCCTTCAACATCTTCAATTATTGATACAATAAAAAACATTTAACTTTGATCATACTGCAATAGCCTTGTAACTTTAGTTCTTTATCAGCTGTAATTTCCTGTTTCTTGCGCCACATATGTTAGTGCAACTTAATGTTATCTCTTGTATTTGGTACCATATATCTTGTATTAACTACCCGCCTGGATTAGCTATTGCTACTTACGGCTAGATACTTCCCCTCTTCTAATTCATGTTATAATAAAGTTCCTGTTGTTGTTGTTGTTGTTGTCGTTGTTATTGTTGTTGTTGTAGACAGCTGTCAAATTGCTATGTTTACTCAAAATGTTGTCTTTGTTATTTTCTAGGACTGTTTGAACGTCACAAGCTTCTATTTTCTTTCCAAATGACCATCAAAATCCTGGAGGCGGACGGCAAGTTAAACCCAGAGGAGCTGGATTTCTTCCTAAAGGGTAACATCTCTCTGGAGAAGAGCTCCCGTACAAAGCCCTTTCCTTGGCTGCCTGATCAGGGCTGGGAAGATATACAGAGACTGATAACAGTCACGCCAGAGGCCTTTAGCTCACTGGCTGATGACATAGAAAGAAACGGTCAAGCATGGAAGGAGGTATGGTTTCTTAGTCAAATCATTGTCATTGTCCGCCGGAGCCGGGTTGCACAAAGTTAAGAGGAAACTGGACCGAGTTAACTTTCGCAAAGACCTTTGGGGCTGTTCTAGGAGCAGGGAGAAACTGGCCAATAGCTGACCGGCGCATCATCAGTGACGATCCCAACAATTGCGGGACACCTTTCGGCACCAGTCCTCTGTCCTCTTATGGTTTCTAAAGTGGCGAATGTTGGAGCGAAATTGAATTCAGATATGAAAGCTTAAAAGACAAATTCAGTTAAATTGTGTACAATTTGACTGTTGAATGGTCTATAAACAATACAGAAAATTATCCGAGAAAATACTTTTGAACAAAAGAAGGAAAGGCATACTAAAATTTAACCCCGGGTTAACGCTAAACGGCGTTGGAACAACTGGGCCCCGAGGGTCGTCCTTAACAAACAAATTTTCTTGGTGCTGACTGATTAGATTTCTGAAGATGTGTCAATAAAATATCTGCCTCCAATCCAAGGAGTGTAGAAGATAAGCAGCTTTGTAGGTCGTTACCGCAAGGATTCTGTAGTCATTTACATTGCCAGCTTATCGCTTTCTCTTGTGACTGATAACGTGCGGGTCATAGCTTCGTGTTTAAAACTCAGATGAATACATTTCAATGAATGTCTTTTTTTAATTCTTTAAATGTATTTCTTTTCAGTGGAATGATCACGATTCTCCCGAATCCGCGCCCTTCCCTGGCAAATACGAAGAGAGCCTGACAGACTTCCAACGTCTCCTGCTACTCCGTTGTTTCCGCGTGGATAGAGTATACCTCGCCATCACAAACTTCGTGACCGGAAGGATGAGCGAGAAGTATGTGACCCCGCCGGTGATCAGCTTTGAGGCGATATTCGAGCAGTCCAATCCCTTCTCCCCTATTATCTTCATCCTCAGTCCTGGTTCGGATCCTGCCAGTGATCTTATGAAGCTGGCTGAGAGGTCAGGATTTGGCGGTAACAAACTCAAATTTCTTGCCATGGGACAGGGACAGGAGAAGGTAAGGGCGTTAGTGAGCTTAAGCAACTAAGACGTTTTTGAGCGACGCACGTCAACCGGAAGTCAACTTTTTATATTCTTGGGCATTGGTTTTGTCCAAATTTTCAAGTAAAGAGTCTCTGTGCACTTAGCAATACTAATTTAGAAGCGTCAAATGTGGTATATCAAAAGGGAAAAGAGCTCACTTCCGGGTGACGTGCGTCGTTCAAAAACACCTTTACTTAATCTCCTTATTACAATCTCTGTGATGCTTTTTGTCCAATGATAGTTGACTAGCAGGCAACTCTATCCTAACAGCACTTCTCTAGACGAATATCTCTTTCCCATGATACAGACATCGACCCCTCCCCACTAACACAGACACCATGAGTTGGTCCCTGCCAGTTTTCAGTTTCTTTTTCCTGTTTGTTTGTTTCTTTGCCTCTCTGCAAGGCCTACGCTTACTGCTGGTGACAGAGGTGAAAGCGTTCACATTCTTAAGCCGAGCAACGTTGTGGAAACGTTTAAAGTACTTTGCGAGCTGTCGCTTAAATCAAAACAACACTTTTTCCTTCATCAGTTTCCTTAGTATGTGAACGAAAACAAAACGCTCAACATCAAGTCTTACTACCTGTTTTGTTGTTCGTTTTATAGTTGGCGTTGCAACTCCTTGAGACAGCGATAGCAAGGGGTCAGTGGCTAATGCTTCAAAATTGCCACTTGTTGGTGAAGTGGCTGAGAGAATTAGAGAAGGTCCTGGAGCGAATCAGCAAACCTCACCCCGATTTTAGGCTGTGGCTCACTACAGACCCCACCCCAGAGTTCCCTATTGGCATTCTACAAAGGTCTCTCAAGGTATTGTACACAGTGCAAATTATTGTTCACATTTAAGAATACCTTAAAGGATGAGACTGTAGTTCTATAATTTATCTTGTTGAAAAGCGTTTATAGGTTACCCAATTATTGTCTCTTGGTTACTCGCAGTACCAAAGAAGTTATGCATGCCCGAACCAGAGCGACTAGGCTAAAAAACCAAGACCTAGACCATACCAAGTCGCTTGTGTATGTTTAGCCTGCGGGCAAGCTATCCATTTCCAGTGGCAAGCCTTGCGAGTTGTAAAAGAACGCGCGAGCGAGCGGAGAAGCCGCGAGGGGTGTCTCCTTCCGCCTCTTAAGGTATCCCCCAAAGTGAGAGTTGCTAGCAAGTTATTGTATGTTGAGTTAGAGTGACTTTATTTTTATCTCCTTTTTAGGTTGTCACCGAGCCGCCAAATGGTCTTAAGTTGAACCTGCGCAGTACATACCACAAGATAACCAATCAGGCACTTGCTGATTGCCCGCACCAGTCCTTCTCGCCTCTTGTGTATGTAGCATATTTTCCCATATATGATAAATGTTCCCAGCCTGTCCTGTCGATGGCAGTGTCTAAATTTTTTAACGCACCATACAAAAACAGAGTTAGAGCTTGCCTGCGAGTTGGGTCTTTTGCGTTCTATATTAAGGACACTTTGCAAGAGCGACTGCTGTGCATGCTATCTCCCGCTCCCACCTGTCTCCTCCAATGCGTTAGATTAGTTTGTTTTCCTTATGACGCAAATAAAATTATTTACTGCATTTAGATATTGTGACTGAACGGAATAAGTTCTTCCTCGTTCGTTGTTCAATTGTAAAATAAAATGAAAGCATGTCACTAGCAAGGTATACATGTTAGCGAAATACTGATGCCTAAATTTACTTTCTTTTCAACAGATATGTGTTGGGATTCTTCCACGCTGTGGTGCAAGAAAGAAGAAAGTACGGCAAGATTGGTTGGAACATCGCTTACGACTTCAACGAGTCGGACTTCAGAGTCTGCATGACATTACTGAACACTTATCTAACTAAATCACTTGAGAGTCCGGACAAGAGAATCCCTTGGGCCAGCTTGAAATACCTCATAGGCGAGGTGGGTAGCTAGCTGAACGGGTGTTTGGTTAAAAGCCAGTTGTATACATAGAACTTGCAACTATTCATTGCACAGAGCCCAAATAGTCGGTTTGTGTAACCGTTAATTTTTCGATGTAAAACGTGTTATTTACGGTACGTACGTTTTACAGTTTTAAACACGTTGATTTAAATCCGATCCATTGTAAATTACAGTTACAATAAGCTGTTTATTGATGTGTCCTGGTTGTAAGCTTTTCAAACTATCACAGTGTTTCATAGTCCTGTTGGAAGCCAACTGTTTCATATTGCTGAGGTAAACTGATAGCCCTTAGAAACAAAAATTTACTGGGCCTGCCGGTGGTCGTAGGTAGCCCCGTCGAAACATTTGGATCTGTTTATCATTAGTACGATCCTTTTCATGGCCTCAACAAAGAATGTGAATGCCAGGCTTTTTTTATACCCCCGGTATGTTATTCCTCAAGTTCCCGCGAAGATAATCTCATGTATTCTTGAGATGTATGGTTTTCAAGCAGTTTTACAGTTTGGGATTGAGTATAGAATTCAAAGGGTATTATGCCAAATTTATCGGTGGGTATAGAATTAGAGTGAATTAGAGTTAGAGTGTTTGTTTAATATATTTAGAAAGTGTTGCAAGATAAGATTGAAAAATCTGTCAAAATTAGCCCTAGGGTTTTCGGGTCCCCCGGGACAAACTACAGATGAGAGTGGGTAACGTCATGGTAGAACAGATAGAGAAAAGACACTCGAGTGAAACCTCTAGATCCTGACAATTTTGGCCTCACTTCCGGTTGATCGCGTTTAACTTCTTTTTCTGTTCTAACGATATTCGTTTTTGGGTTTCGAACTTTACTGCTTAAGTTGATAACAACTTGAAATTATAACCTTCCTTCAGGTGATGTATGGTGGTCGTGTGATCGATGATTTTGATCGCCGTGTGGTCAAGACGTACATGGACGAGTACATGGGAGACTTTATCTTTGACACTTTCCAACCATTCCACTTCTACAAAAACGAAGAGGTGGACTATTTCATCCCCAAACCTGAAAAAGGTGAGTGTTCATGTTAGGTCGATTGTTTTATCTGTAAGTACATGCTGAGAATTCAGAGAATTTGAGATTTTAGATCTATAAGCTTGTCCAGAGGTGTTAACCCTTTAAACCCTAACATCAGAATTCAAATTCTCATTTGTTATCCCGATATGTCTTCAGTAGAAGTAGTGGGGAGAATTTGTTGAAGTATCGATTAGATTCATCTAGTGTGATCATGTCCCTAATTCTCATGACCACTCTGTTTTACAAAGCATAGATATTACAAGGAGAAATTTGATGCTGATCACTCTTAGGGCTTAAAGGGTTTTAAGGTAGTGGCTTTATACTTTCCCCTTCCCCTCTCATTTCAGGACCCGTCACTTTTGTGTAAATTTTTCGACGATTGCACAACTCACTCCTTCTACAAGAGACATCCGTTAATGACCTTCACCAGTAACATCGGGAAAAATGGTTTGACATTTATCCACATGAATGAGCCATTGTGGCGTACTATTCAATCACGAATGCACTGTGAAAAAGAAAGCATGATAGAGAAAACGGGCGTTTTTGGTACAGCAGATAATCCACACTCCCTTGTAACGAGTACATGTTTTCAAACGAGCCTTCCCATTCATGGAAGCCAAAAAGAAGTTCAGTGTGGAACATTGTAGCAGTTACTACTTCTTTCAGAAACAAGACACAATATTAGAGACGTGACTGTATTGACAAAAGCAGCAGCTTGTGCTTATGAGTAACTCCTGCGTTGTTCAGTGTAGTGAACGAGCAACTGAGAGCAAGAGGAGCAAGAGTGGTGCAGTGGTGAGAGCACTCTCCACCCACCAATGCGGCCCGGGTGAAAATCCCGTCGTCGACCGAACCTATATGGCTTGAGTTTGTTGTTAGTTCTCTCTCATACTCCAGTTTTCCCCGCTCCACAAAACCAACACTTCCGAATTTCAACTCCATCTGGAACGCACGGACACGACACGTTTTTAAGAACTCGTACGTGTTTTTAGGTGAACCAATTATAATATTTCTTTTAGGTGCTTCGGAGAGTAACCGAGACTTGTACGCAGACGCCATCGAAGCCCTACCCTTATCCAATACCCCGGACGTATTTGGACTCCACCCCAACGCCGAGATCGGCTACTACACGCACTCAGCCAAGGATATGTGGAGTCACTTGGTTGAACTACAGCCGCAGACGGGCGGCGAGTCGGGGGGTGTAAGCAGGGAAGAGTTTATCGGGAAAATAGCCACTGATATCCAGGGCAAGTTACCACCATTGTTTGATGTGGACAGAGTGAGGAAGAGCATCACGGATATCACACCCACGTACGTGGTATTGCTGCAGGAACTGGATAGGTTTAATGTTCTCATCAGGAAAATGTCCACCTCGCTTATTAACCTTCAAAGGGTAAGCTGCAGGCAAACGCGTCTTACTTATCATTTCTTCCCCCACCCTTCCCCTCAGCGTTTAATATTGAGCGCCTTCACATGACATCACAGCGGCCATATTGGTTTTCTAAAACAATGAAATGCGGCAATGTTAGTTCAACCAATCCTGTGAGATCTGAACTCTTTTCTTATGTAAACGCTTTCTTTTGCTGCAATACATTTGCATAGATGCTGACCCACACATGAGTGAAAACACTCTTTTCTCTTCCTTTGCCCGTTTGCCAACGTTCGGATTTAATTCGTATAATTTATTGCTGGTTTGCACATTTGCTTTTTTACTCTGAGTGTTATTGGCGTTTCCTGGTGCATCACGTACTTACCGCAATATTGTTTTTCTCCAGGCCCTTGCGGGTGAAGTGGGAATGAGCAGTGAACTGGACGAAGTTGCGCGTGCGTTGTTCAACGGGCAAATTCCTAACATTTGGCGCAAGCTGGCTCCAGCAACTCTCAAGTCTCTTGGAAATTGGATGGAACATTTCCTCAAACGCTTGAACCAGTATAACAATTGGGTGAGTGCTTCGTTCTTGTGTCGTTGGCGCATTGTTGTTCTTTTTGAATCGCAAAATCAGTCTTGGCTTGATGAGATTTAATTTGTTTGCGTCCCTTTGCGAAAGTTATATTTTTGTGATTTTCCATTAAAACACCATGTTCAAATACAGATTTTGTGCGTGAATCCGTCAAGTGAAATCCCTGGTTTGCCATACCCGGATTCCTCAATTTATTCTATACATTTTGAAATCTCTAGTGATCCGTGCAATCTGATTGGCCCTCAGCAGTGTGATTTATTCACGAGTCACGCTATTTTTTTTATCTAAATCACATGTGTTGAATCGCGTCATTCGTGTTCTAAATCGCATCATTTCTGCTTTAAATCGCCCCATTTTTGCTCTATATCGCATCATTTCTGTGTCGAAATGAGATGTAAAAGTCTTTCTTTTTCCGCTTTTCAACAAACCGGCTACTTGATCAATGAAATATTGGTACTGACTAAATTCTGTGATTTCAAAACCGCTATAATAAAGTCGGGTAATCGAACTTTGTGTCGTGCAATTTTGGTCTGAAATCATTGAAGTCACGCGTATGATTTCAGACCAACTTGCACTCCACTCAGTTCAATTACCATCATTAAACTCACCCTAGGAGGTTCAAGATGGAGCACTGTCAATAAATCGAGATCTTTTTCAACACATATCCCACTAGAGCAGTACCTCGTTAAGTACTTTCGTTTACTTTGCTTGTAGGTCAATGAAGGCGAACCTGCAGTAATCTGGTTATCTGGTCTGCATATCCCTGAATCATATTTGACAGCTCTAGTGCAAGCTACCTGTCGT